TACTATTTAATATGTGTAAACCTTTCTCAGCCCCAGATACGCACCAAAAGTCCAAACGGGCCCCGCCCCCTTCACGACCTGAACGAGGTTTGGAGCACGCATCTGTTCACATATTAAATAAGACTAGGCCGAGTATATAACCTTCAGACTATGTAAGAAGACCATTTCAGACTTTCAAGTTCTCCCAAGCGTTGGGGGGCTGCAACCAATATCTGATCTTTGCAATCAATGCCTCCTGTTTCAAAAGCTGTCTATTGCCTTGACATACAAGACCTTTTCCGGCTGAGAAACGATTGAGTAGATGAGATGTAGGAAGTTATGGTATCTCCTTCCAAAATTGTTTTATTATAATAATTTACATACTTTGGAGTCTTCAAACGCATATATTTGTCTTTTGAAAGTTTATCTACTGTATGCTATGCACTGAGGATTATTACAGCCCATTAAAAGATAATCGTATTGTTAACTAAATCTTTTAGGTCTCATTAACTCTTTCTTGTGGGAGATAATAGAGCTGTTTAGGCGAGAGAGCTCTCATTATGCCGGATATGCCGTTGGCTCAGAGAAGTAGACTGATAAGCCCAATGATCTTCATACCGGAAGCGTACGGTAGTAACGGAGAGTGCTTTTTTGAGGCGAACTACCCTTATGTGATATGACTTACCCTTTAAACCTTGTTTTTCGATAGAATTTCTTGATTAAAGGAATAAAAGCATATAATACTATATATAGAAACCTCTTTTCAGCTCTCAGATCGTACCAAGTGTCGAACGTCGGCCCGTTTGTGTATAAAATATCACGTCATCAATCCCCAGAAAAAATCTCCTGTAATAGTCGCTTCAACTCAGATGGCTGGAAAGAACTCAAGGAGCTAACTCCTTGCGACTCGTCACATCTTTGAGTGTATACCTTAAAGTCGTGGTGACGAACCAATTTAACTTTGTTAAATTATATAAAAGTTGTCATCTGGGGCCAAAATTGCATTCAAAGTCCTGGGCTTGGTAGATTATAGTTCTTGCCACCATTATTTGGATGTTTCACAGATGTTGTAAAGATGCATAAGCAAAACGTCTGTGGCGTCTTCGTTGTTGTGGATTTATAAACCTGAAGATCCTGCAACATTACAACTATTCCTTTGAATCTTGGAACGGTATTGATTGAGTCCGTAATAGCTCGTATATCGTTAAGAGCTAAACCAGCTGAGGTCCATATATTCTATAGGCCCGGCTTCGCCGAGACACTAATCGTCTTATATGCCCGGCCTCAGCGGAATACCGTGAAATCATAACTGAGCCTTCCAAAGAAATTCAAGTCAGAAGTATTGCAAACGGTGTAAATATATGCATACACTCTTAAACCACAAGAATACCAATACTAATGCTGGTATGAGTGACACCCGTCGGGTTGCGTCTGCGAGAACGAAGATGCCTTGGATCTCCATTCCAGAGGGATTCAGGAGACGCCCGTCATATTTACTACTTCAGAATTTTGGCTCGTAAATGTCGAGAAATTGTCGACTTTGTCCGTCAATGAAGAGGGTTCAGGAATTGCTTCATTGAAAAGAGCACGTTCGGAATTCTGCCGGTTATATAGGAGAGTAACGATATTTCTGTTTAGAAGATTCCACAAAATTATTCTTTCACAAAGTCAGTTCAGGAATTCATCTATAAAAGGGGCCACAAGAGTGAATCCAGAAATTTATCCATTAATCAAGGAACTCCACCAAATTACCCATTAATTAGATAAGTTTACGGATCTAGCTAGTACAGCGAGAGAAGTTTCAGAATTATGTCAGTTCAGAAATGATAAGATTTATAAAAAAGGTTGACTAGCTTTTGTGCTGAATCAGGAACATTCACAAATCCATCCAAGAAGTAGGAAAGTCTTAAATTGATCCATTGAGGTAAGAGGGTTCCTAATCTATCCCGTTTTTCAAAAACAATTAAAAGTCTAGCTAGTACATTTAGGAAGCATTCATGAATATATCTGATGATAAGAAGAGTTCATGGATACATCAATTAAGTTAGAAGAGTTTACGAAATTATTCTTTAAAAAGAAGGATCCACAAATCCGGCTATTATTTAGAAAGGATCCAGAATTAGGCAAGTATATGAGTTATCTAATACATTTACAAAAGACTCACGAATATGTTTGTCAAGTAAGAATAGTCCTCAGATATATATGAGAGTTCAGGACTCTTTCTGGCTTATCAAAAAGTTTAAGAACCTATCTGTTAATCAGAAGAGGTCAGAAAAATAGCTTTTACATCCAGAAAAAGGTGCGATTAGAATCAATCTGTTTGAATAAGGAAAGTCGACGGAGATATCTGTTAATCAGAACAGTTAACGGAATCGTCTGATAAATCTGAGAGAGTTCAAAAATCCACTCGTTGATTCGGAAAGTCCACGGATCTATCTCTATAAGGTATAATCATTATACATTTTTTAACCATCTCACGATTAATAGATATAGATACTAAATTTAGAAAAACAAGATTATTAACTTTGTTTTTACTATACGTCTATTTCTATCAGATCTATATTTTTAGATCCTACACTACCTTTATAATTATTTTTTCTATTTGTTATGTGGGATAGATATAGAATTTAACGTTGATATTCAGTCGGTCTTGGTAGTTCTCAATCAATATCAAGGAAACAGTATGCAACATGCTAAAAGAGTTCAGGAATCCAGTCATTAAATTACAAGACGCCCGTAATATGTCTTAGTCTAAGAAAAAGTTCAGGAATCTATCTACTAAATTTAGTAAAGGTTGTCAAGTCTGTTCGTTACATTAAGACATATTGGGGTTCGTTCCAACAACTCTAAATCAGCTCGCAGACCTCTATCCATCACATCTTAGTGGTCTCACCGAGATTCAAATCGCTCAACCACCCCAGCTTTCGATCCCTAATAACTGGAATTTCTTCAGGATTTTCCCTGATTTCTCACCATGCCTTTTTGCGATCTCAAACTATCGCTTCTGTTTCATATCTTCCATCAAAACAGGGATTCATTGCCTCTCATTGTCTCTTTTGGTTTTATATGGATTCATGTACCTTCTGATTGGGTAAAGTGGTGCTCGATTCACAGCGTCTTATATTACTCCCCATTATAATTTCTCACATGTCTTCCATGGATAAGATAAACTTGAATTATTGCCTAGTTTATCACCTCAATGAAGCCCTGACATCAAATGCCTGAATAGTGTCTGATCTCTATGCATGTCTTTCAAACACAAGCGAATGTCCCAATTTCCTGCCAAATCTAGTCACGCGCCGGAATCCTTTAATGTAGTCTTTCCTACAGAATAAAAGACAACCGAAATTTGTATCGGCGTCATCCTCCCATTTTTCGCCACATCCTGGGGTCTCTTGAGGCAAGCATAGACCGTCATGTGATGTTCTAGCAGTCTTCTCCCAGAGCCAATGCTTGCGCAACTTTCCTCGGTTGCTTCTCGACAGCAAACCCAAAATAATATCTTTCACTCTCTTCTAATTTCTGACATTCTAAGTCCACAATTCACCTATAATTCTTCGTTCACATAAAATAATGATTTTAGTAATACAGTTGAGCTCCTTGAACAACTTTTTGGTATCAGTTCGTACACTGTCCTAGGATATTCAAGGTATTACTCAAAATGCACCTGCTCGAGTGACCAGGTTTTCGTAGCACGCTATCAGAAAGTCGATTCTTTTCCAATTTTTGTAGTGGTGCTTCTTCTTCGCGATGTTCTATTTCGTCAACAGTCAGCCTTGGGCCTAATTCTTGAGCTCCTTATCCTGGCTCTCGATTTTCAATTGCAAAGCAAAAAAGAATTTGGCGAGCGGCCCCACTTACTATAGCAGTGGTGATCTGGTGTACAGTCTTTAAGGATTCAACTTGCGTCAGATCAATATTTCTGACACGTATAATGGCTTCGCACCGTTTTATTAAGCTCGATTGCACCGAGAATGGCAGTATGCCGCCTGGAAGGACTTGTTTTGGAGGCAATACATTGGCCTCAAGCTCGAATTGACTTTCCGGCACTACAGATGCCTTGACCTAGAAGATATCCGCTCTAAATATGTCAAAAGGTAGTCACTCAAGCTCTTGTTCCTGTCATCAGCTCAGCAAAACAAGCGCGAGGGAAGTTGATACGATAAACTCAAAAGGCGAGGATTTAAAAACCAGAGACCTTCATACGGCTTTTTCAGACCACCAATGATCAAGAATGTCCTCAAAGGCAAACGAATCAAAAATTTTGATACATACCTTGCGGCTATCAGTGAGCTTCAAGTCAGTAGAATTCGTCACCCGTTAACTTGTTGAAATTCGAGTATTTGAAACATTTGGTTTCATTCTTGGCATTTCCATTCTCAGTCCTTTTTTCCTGATCCTCATCTTTTTAGCCCAGATCCACAGAATTCCAGGAATTTGTTTCACGTCATGGAGCCTTGCACCTCCTGACGTCCAATTACGATCAATATCACTAACATGAATTAGTTGGCTCTCTACACGCCGCAGAAGGTAATTTCTCTTACTCTTTTGTTGTCTTAATTGGTCTTCTCTGCCGTTCTTCGTGTCTTTAAACACTCATATCATCACGATTACAACGACACGCTCGTCTCTGCTTTCTGTATGTTAGTGTCTATCGGATGGTCAGATCTCCTTCTTTGCTCTTCTAAGTTATATTCTGATCTACCGGTCTCCGACTGCTCGTGCTCTTATATTTAGTATTTTTTAAACACCTCCCGCTTCCGGTAAGTTCAGTCATGTCTAGCAGAAACAGACAACCTCTACTGTGGACATGTACGCCAATGATGTCCGAGGCAATATTTTATAGTGATCGCGTGTTTAAGTTGATTTCATCATTGAACGCCTACTACTCATCGTCGTATGTACGGTACTAAAATTAGGCTTCAAAGAATTGATTGCATTATAGTTATTTGCGTCTTCGCTCCTAGATCCTACACCCTTTATGGTTCCTTCTTTTGCACTTGGTGAAAGTCTGCTGCCTGTGTATTTAGCAGTCCTAGCATCATGTAGACATCCAGAAATTGAACAAGAAAAGTCGTAATGGCCCCCCGGTGTTTAACCAGCTAGCACCTACATACCGGTATATAGCAGACCTTTAAATAATCGTAACACGGTTTGAGATCTGGAATCTTACATTGTTTCGTCCATCATCGCCAGTGCGGCTTTCTTGCCAATATTGGTAATAACGTGTCCCCTCGAGCACAGAGAATTCCAGGATATTGTCCATGTACCCCAAGGAAAACAACAATAAGACCGTACTTAATAATGGGTGGACTATTCTGCCCCGCACGACCGTGGACCCAGGTTACCCGGCGCTCACCTTATAAGGGGACTGTTCGCCCCATCTTTTCTTGCTCGGTATCAACTATAACAGTCAATGACGAAAGGCTACAGTTCAGTCATCCGTTGCAGCAAGGCTTCGGCCAACTCACTCGCTGGGCGCTGTGGAGAACATCACGGCCGTTTTCACCACTCTTATAGTGATGTGTATACTATCTGAGGCTGTTGTTGGTGCTTCCTCGTGCAACCGTAAGTAGTTTGGCGGTTTCCTGGACTCGTGCGACTTGGCGTAATTAGTCTTTGAAATTAGTCTTTGAAATATCTGATTTCTCGGAATGATAGGAATCAGACATTTCGACACAGCACCGCTGGGTGTTCGATTTGCTGGTGTAGTATTCTCTACGGTCGTCCTACTTACTGGTGGTCTATTGTCCTTTGGCCTGCCGGTGATCAATTGTCTTGCTTGTATACATGATCTCTTTCTCTTGTCCACCCCGTCCTGGTCTTGGTTATTCTTTGTTGCCTGTCTACAGGTCGACTTCCCGGCCGTCGCGGTCTGTGACAAATTCCTCTTACTTATCGTTGTGGCGTTTCTGTCCAACCATGAGACAAAGTAAACCGAACAAAACAAAATAAGTGACACGCCATGAAAGGGTATTTGTGATTGGGTGCAGTGTGAAAAAGAGTGAAACAACATGGAAGATGTGAGATTGATTGAGGTATGTGGTATTGAATTAGAGTAAGTAAGACAGTGAGATATATGAGTGAGGTGAAAGGAGGTGAGAGAGAGCAAGCGAAGCAGAATGAACAACATGTAAGTGAGCCGAAGTGAAAAGATTTTAACATAGAGTGTGTGATATAGTGTGTGATATAGAGTGAAAGGTAGAACGGTGAAACGACAGGAGATGGAATAAGTTTGTTGAAGTGCAGTGACAGAGAAAACAGAGTGAATCAAATATTCAAGCAAAACAGAGCAAAATAAAGTGATCAAGTAAAACACGGTAAATGAAAGTGCTACAGTCAAGTAATATTTCTTTAAAAAGCAAAATAGGAGATATCAACTGTATGGAATATAACAGTCGAGCCAATAAAAGTATCCAGAAACACTTTAATGGAACGATAACGAGAAATACAAAAGGACTTAAATAAAATAAAGCGGAAGGACAAAAATAAGTAAAACAAAGCATAATTATCAAAAGAATGTATACCCGAGAATAGCCATAAGATCCCGAAACCACAGCCCCTATAAAACGCCCATTCCCCAAGCTCCATATCGAATATCCCCGCCCAGATAAGGCTGGCCTAAAACGCCGCGCGCCCACGTCCGGATTAATCCAGGCAAAGCGCTAAAGTGCTCGCGCCAAACCCACCGGTGTACGGGCCTGGAGAGCCATCTCTGCCTTCAAACTGAAAACCGTCCCCCATCAAAACACTATCCGGCCATGCTAGTAGAAGAGGTGCCCAAACAAGGCCCCACCAACTCCTCTACGGTGTACTTCTCGTCTCTGGTCAATCTACAGGCCCGCTCGTCGGCAAAGTCTGCGGACGCCGGGGCCAGAGACGACGCCAGCCACCGCAACTCTAAAAGTAGGCCCAAAGTGAACTATAATCTCACCGAGTTGCTCAATGCACAAACTCAGGCGAACTACAGCAACGGCACGGTCAGCAGTGGCGTGTACAAGTCGTCACAGCAGATGCAGCTCGAGAAAATCGTGTCGAAACGACTCGCGGAGTTGGGCAAAGAAACCCCCAACGATAATTTCGAGCTCCCCAAGACGTTTTCGTATACCAGCATACACAAGCATTTGAGTGCCGCAGACAAAAAGAAGCTCCGTCTTGGAAACACGCCATCCACAAAAAAGATCTTGGCGGCACGCAGAAACCTCAACTCGTACTTCGAGGAGGAGAAAAACCTCATTTCCATCAACACCATATTGGGCGTGAACTTCTCGTTTGCAGAGCAGCGGAACGACGCGGACAGCGACGCCAAGCGCCTGAAAACAACTAGCGGCGCTTATAAGCCCAAGCTCAAACTATGCTGCATCTGTGGCTCTTGCTCCAACTACAGTCGCTGTGGAAATTGCGGGCTTTATTCCTGTAGCGTACGCTGTCTCGGGCTCCACTATGAGCTGAGATGCACGTGATGACCAGTGGCGTGTTTGAGGAGTGGGTGAATGTAGAAAGAAGGCAATGCCGCTGTTTGCGGGTAAAACGGCTGGGGTGCTTGGACATGGAGAACGGGGATATAGTAGACAGAGATGGAGACAGGATAACGTATGGAGACAGAAATGGAGACGGGCACGTGGAGCGGTAGTATCATAAGTATCATTAAGGCTTTGAATAAATATATATGCCAGTGCGCAGTCCACCGGCGAGGACCTGCCACATGGTCAGTCCCCGTGCTTGAAGCAACATCTTTTTCCGTACCGACAAGAGCCGCTGCGGGCCCAGTTGGCACACTGCTTGGACCTCCAGTTGGAGGGTCTCTCAACGGACTTGAGCTCGTTCTCGCCATGCGCAAACTGGCACTTGCCTCCGTAGGGACACGTGCCCAGTTTCATGAACGACCCACAGAGCTCGGTCTTGTACAATTGCGTGTTCAAGTTCTTGCTCTGGTTCTTTAATGCGCACGCAGAGCTACTGGGCGACGCAGACCCGTGTTTGGATCTCCCCGTGGAGGACGACGAGCTGCGCCTCAGCTGCGTAGGTCTATTCTTGTCGCACTCAACAAGCAGTTTCTCTAAAGCCACGTTTGGGCGGGCGTCATTTTGGGGCCGAACTGGACGCAAACACGAGTCATTCCCAGAATGCTCGTGACGCGCTTTGGAGCTTGTCCTGTTCCCACCGGTCACAGGAAACAAGAGGCTGTTCGGCAAGAGCAGTTCAGCGTATTCCAAGGACTCCTCACGGAGCAAGAAAGAGCTTTCGAAAGCTCTTGGGGCGTCACGCTCCGCGAAAACAGAGGCATGGTCCATCAGAAACCGAGGGTTGAGGGGGAAGTTCTGCTGAACTGTCACACGTGGCTGGGCAGAACCCGGAAGAACGGCCGTTTCGGGGCTCAGAAACGAGTAGTTCTCCAACGGCGAAGACTCGAGCCATAATTCAGGCAACAAGTCGTCCTGTGAATCGGATGATGAAGACGAATTTGCCGAAGGGGACGACAATGCCGAAACTGGGGGTCTGTACTGCGCGTATTTGGCCTCACGTGGGAACCCGTAAGGGGAGGTGTATAGCATTTGCATTGTGTGGATTTTCACGAAGTAAGCGTCTGGATTTGAAATTAGGCTGGGAAAAGAAGGGTGGAAATGTATTGTGCAGCTTTGGTTTGCTGGGCCCGAAAATGGTCTGAGTATCTAGTGGGCGATGAGCCGCAGCCGTGGCTAAGACCGGTGTGCGTCGGAAATTTTCAAATCTAATAAATGGCTGGAATCGATTTGGGAAACGGATCGAAACTCAAGAACGTCTTGGGGTGTGTATTGAAAGTGCAAGCCTTAAAAAAATTAGACCGCGTGTTTCTCGGCAACGAAAATATGGTATTTTGTGCTGAAAAATTCTGGAAATTCGGGCCTCCGGTACGGACCAATATATAGGTGGCCCAAGTGAGGAGTATGAGGAGAAAGCCGGCCCAAATAAAGCAAACCTGCACTTAAATGCTAAAACCACTCTATTTGGCGAGGGGAAGCAGCACAGCCGGTACGCAGGACTTGGGAAAGGCGAAGCGACAATAGGAGCAAGTGAGATACAAACAAGAAACTTCGAGATATTAGGGATCGACTCCTAAAGCTCCTCAGCGATGAATCATCTCTGTGTTCTTTGATGCACCTCGGACCAAAATACTTATTTTTCCTTTCCAGAGTGGGGGGAAAAACAAGAGTGGGGATTTTGTTTTCGTAGAGTTTGACGCAGTCACGTCATACACTGTTGTTCTCGCACGTCGAATGTTCCGATTTTCGGTTTTTGGCCGACACGTCGACTCAGGCCGTGTCCGGGAGAATATGCGACTCGGAGCAAAATGGCGCCACCGGTATGGTGGTTGTGCGAAAATTGAAAAGGCCGTATGGAAAATAAAGAATTGCGAGCCGCGCTCGGGATTTCCGAAGACGGGCAAGACCACGCAGTCCAAGTGGAGGGATGGTCAGACGAGCTAAATTGAGGCTAGAAGCGGCACGTGTAAGCATCCAAACCACGGTATTTTCTTTTTTTTTTCTCACCATTCCCCCGCAAGCTGGATTGTTCCTTCATGCAAAGACTTTCTTGTTCGTGAGAAAAGCCACCACATTAATATGGCTCAAGCTTTCGCGTAAACTTGCGTGTTATATGGTGGCCGGTGGTTCCTTTTGCGCGCCGCCTTGCAGACAATCCAGCCCTACCGGGCCTGGGCAGGCCAATATGCTCTTAGAACAGACTTTAACAATCACGTGGAAGCATCAGCGAGAATTCGTGGCAGTAGAAAACTTAGTGGTCGCGAGACGTGCTTGTTTTTTGAGTGCGGTGTGCTCTTGCCGCTTTTTGCCTGAATGATTGTAAAAAGTTAGATCCCGACCATGTGCCGCAGGTCATTTGCTGTTGTTTGTTTACTTTACGTTTCACAACAGTACTCCTTCTCCTGTACAATTTTATTGTTCAAAAGTTACCACGGCCTGTTGGAATGTTCGTTGCTCTTTATAGAGATTTCTTAAGTTGGAAATGTTCGCACTGTAGTTCCGCAACTCACTTGCCTGGCGTCTACCACATCTGTATGGAGCTCCCCAATTTGACGGCATTATTTAAAGCACACGAAAGTGTCGGCGCTGCTATTTCGTGTATGCCTCTTTGTCTGTCTGTCCCACAGTACTCGTTTACAGCCAAACAAGTAGTCAAAGATAAATGTGAAATGAAAGATATGCTTGTTTCCAGAGCAGTGTTGTATTCACCAAAAGGGCTGGCCTTAGAGCACCCCATCATGATATGGCAGATACTGCTCATCATTAGCTATTTCATGTTATTTGAAGCCACTCCCTTCTATTTGGGGGCGCAAAAGAACATTACTTGTTTTTTCAACTTTGGTGTATTCCCAAAGAGCCATACACTTCTTGCAAATTTAAAAGGCATCGAGATGGGGCGCCATTTATATAGCAATTCGGTTATGCAGAACCCCTTGGTACAAGCCTCACAGGGGCTATGTAGACACAGTCTTCATAATATAAAAGGGGGCTAGTCCCCGCTCAGTTTCATGCATCTTTATTTTTTGTACTCTCTGTTTTTTTGCAGCCATATGTGCCCCCGCCCCTCTATTCGGACTGCTCGTGCAGTGGGTGCGCTCGGCCCGCATATCCACCTTTCTGTCTCTTCGCGTACCGCGCACCACGAGATCAAAATACAGGCCCTTCAGCTTCTTTTCCTGACGAATACACCGCACTTTGCCGCCAGCCATGGCGATCCTCAATAATCTACGGGACGTCCGCTCGTGGATAGAATCTGCGTCTCCGCATATTGTTCCACAGTGGCAGATCGATTTGGTGGAAAAGCCCCTGTCTGCGTCAAAACCTGCCGGAACCCTTGTGCCCTCCATGCGCGTACCCTCTCAACCAAACCCAGCCAATAGCACAGTTACGGCCGTGAATTCAGCACAGCCAAACCCAAGAAGAGAAACTGGAGGAAATAAGCTTCATTCTTCAAGCGATTTGCTGCTGGCCAGGCTCATGCCCGTACCGAGTCAGACGCGTTTCAACGAGCCCAACCCTGAAAGACCAATGAACGCGCCACCCGAGAGCCTAAAGCCACAAGTTTTGGGCCTGCTAACACAAGCCCCACCTATCAATATCTCACCTAAGATCAAAATCCTAGCAAGAAATGATTCCGGGGAAAACTCAAAACCGAGGCCGCCACCTCGTCAGGTGTCTAATACCCCGCACGACAGCGATGATTCCCCATTTGATGACGACGACTTTATCGACTTGAATCTCTTGAATATACTACCTGCGAAACGTTCAGCCCCGCCTGATATTCAGCCTTCAAAAAGGCTGCGCATAGCCAGCTCCACTCAGGAGCATGGCCGCCAAGATGACCTATCCGTACCATCCATCAACCCTGTAACGAAACCTTCGGCTGGCTCGAAGCTTCTGTCAGTGCGAAAGCCAGCTCCTCCAATAATATCTGATGACTCCTATGTCGTGGGCCAGACCCCTTCCAAAGACACCGATGTGCTGGCGCTTCAGGCGTACATTCTAGCCTGCGAAGACAAGATCAATTTGTTGATCAAATGCAACGCTGTCAGCGACTCCACTTCGCTTTCTTTGGATGCGAAGAAACTCTGGCATGCCGAAAAGTTTATTCCAAAAATGCGAGCTCTCGACGAACAGGTAGGTTCTCTAAGAAGAGGCTTTTCTTTCTTAAAGCCTGTTCCAACCGATTTGTCGAACATTCACTCTGACGCATCCTTTGCCAATATGCCCCCTCTTTCCATTGTTTCATCGCCTGTAAAAGCGACACTGCAATCGGTATTTCATGTTCTGCACACTGAGCCCACTTTCACTGAAGGGAGTATTTCCTTAACGGCTGCAGAGACCAGAGCCCAAGACAATCATCCTCTTGTTTTGCTCGATAACGACAATGATACAAACACAAACGAGGCTCGCCATGAGATTTTTAATAGACGTACCAAGTCGCCTTTGCCACCGCCTCTTCATGAAGATATAGATGAAGACGACCCGGAGGACGTGTTAGGGGAGAATTACATGGATGGGCTTCAATCTTCCCAGGTAGATGATATTGACACTGACTTGAGTGGCTTCATTGCGCATGGGGATGATGATGAAGATGAAGAATTTGCAGATCGGACATTCACATATACACAAGCATCTCAGACACAAAGGCATGTGATTGAGACTGATGATGATGAAAATTCTTTGGCGCTGGTCCATGAAGAATACTCCATCCGTAACGAAGTCGATGAGATTAAATTGTCACAAGACGTCGCTCAACGATACAGTATCTCATACGATGTAGATACAAAGGCAGTGGAGATTTCTGACGAGGAAAGTGAAAATGATGACGGAAACTTCACGACCCAATTGCTCAATGAAGGGCGAGATCAAGTGGTTGAAGTCTTTTCTGATGATGACTTCAACGACGGCGACTTTGCAGCTTTAGAGTCGCGGACGCACGTGAAAAATGAATGTTCAGCGGTAGATGCTCACATTGTTGACGAAAGCGACTTTTCCGATGACGACGATGAAATCCTCAAGATTGCTGCTGTGGATGGCGTTGAAGGACCAGATAAAGAACTTCTCGCGGGATCAGAATCGTTTATCGATGAAGTTTACTCTGTCTTGAGGAACACTTTCCAGTTGTCCAGTTTCCGTCCTAATCAACTAAAAGCTGTTATTTTCACTTTGAAGGGTAAAGATGTGTTTGTCTTAATTCCTACAGGAGGTGGTAAATCCTTATGTTACCAACTCCCGGCACTTGTGACACGAGGCAAAACCAGAGGTACTACTGTTGTAATCTCACCATTGATATCGCTTATGCAAGACCAAATTCATCATCTTCAAAAGAGAAACATTCGAGCTGACATGATCAGCTCCAGGGGAAGTGTGAAAGAAAAAAATGATGCACTTCGCTCATTTGCAGCTGGCGATTTGGATTTAGTTTATCTTTCTCCAGAGATGGTGAACAAAGCTCAGTCTATTCAGCGAATACTAGCAAAGTTGTACGAAAACAACATGCTTGCGAGAATTGTGGTTGATGAAGCGCATTGTGTAAGTTCTTGGGGACATGACTTCAGGCCTGATTACCAAGGAATGAGTATGTTCAAAGAGAACTTCCCCAAAGTCCCCATCATGGCTCTAACTGCCACAGCAAATGAAAAAGTTCGTCTTGATATCATTAATAACTTGCGTATGAATGACGCAGTGTTGCTCAAACAAAGTTTCAACCGAACGAATCTCTTCTACAAAGTGATGAAGAAGCCATCAAACGTTTTTGAATGGCTTAGAGACTACATATCAGGGCAACAGTTTGGGAATACCGGCATCATATACTGTCATTCTAAACAATCATGCGAAACCACGTCCGAGAAACTTGAGTCTTACGGGATAAAGTGTAAATTTTATCACGCAGGTATGGATGCGGACGAAAGATTCAGCGTCCAGACTGATTGGCAAGAAAATAGAATTCAAGTTATTTGTGCAACCATTGCGTTTGGTATGGGCATTGATAAGCCCGACGTTCGCTTTGTGATACACATATACATTCCTCGAACCCTTGAGGGGTATTATCAGGAAACTGGCCGTGCCGGTAGAGACGGAAACCCCAGTGAATGTATCATGTTCTATGCATATAAAGATGCACGCTCTTTGAAAGGCCTCATCGAGAAGGATAAAGATTTAGATTGGTCCTCTCGGGAAATGCATTTGGCCAAACTCAGACAGGTGATTCAGTATTGCGAGAACGGAACCGACTGTCGGAGAAGACAGGTTCTCCATTACTTCAATGAGATTTTTGATGCCAAGCTATGCAATAGAAATTGTGACAATTGCTGCAGCGAGATCGTATCAGTGAAACGTGATGTTACTGACCACTGCGCAAATATCGTGAAACTAGTTCAGTCTATACACATGGATAAAGTCACTGTCATCCATTGCCAAGATGTTTACTGGGGGTCTAAAAACCAAAAGATTATGACCCTAGGGCATTATAACAACCCTCATCATGGTTCTGGAAGGGATTTAAACAAGGGTGACATGGAACGAATTTTCTTTTATTTGCAGTGCGAGAATGCTTTGATGGAGTACCAAGTTGTGAAAGGGGGCTATGCAACCTCATACGTCAAGTTGGGGCCTCAGGCAAACACCTTCATGAAAGCCAACAAAAAAGTTGAACTCTCCTTTGCTCAAGCGGAACGTCCTTCTTCCACAGGAGGTGTGAAGCTCACAGCGTCTGGGAAAGGATCTGGAATGTCAAGCTTTCGATATCAAGAGTCTTTCAGAAGTGCCCGTGAAGTCAGAAATCAAGAAGATGCAGGGAACGAACTATCGCTTGAACGAACCGAAAAAGCTCCGAGTCGTATTGTTTTACCACAGGATACATTTGATGGAGCTATCACAGATTCCAACAAAGATCTCATCGATAAGGCATATTTCGAGTTGAGAAATTCTAGAACATTGAAAGTCAGTGAGCTTGGATACGCCAGAGCTGAAGCTTTCATCGGGGACAATTTATTGAAGGAAATGGCAATCAAACTTCCCACAAATGCCAGAGACTTTGCTAGATTGAGCAATGTGACCAAAGAGCAAGCTGATCATTTCAAGCATTTCAAACAAGTCCTCACCAATCTTTCTCGGGAACGGAAAAAGGCCTCTGCCGGACAAAATGGACTCACCCAGCAGTCGCCCGGTGCCGCATATGGTGATACAAGAGCTCATTCCTCGCCCTACTTTCATCAATCCCAGTCCAGGTCAGGAAAGTCAAGTCAGAAGCATCAGTCCCGAGCAAAGAAGAATGGAAAACAACAAATTTCGCAAAGAAAAGCCCCATCCCAGAAGCAGCATTCGAAAGCCACACAGAGAAGTGGTGCTCCAAAACATATCCGTCCCATGCCTATTTAACGGAAGCATGACTTTGGCCGCGGCCCTTCATTCAATTTTCTCAAAGAAAATTATTATTTATTCGTACAGTAATTAGCATCAGGTAAAATCACGTCCATATAAAAAGTATAGACTGGTCTGTTTCACTCGTTCTCTTGGAGAGCACGGAGACACGGAATTCATAGCACGCTTGGAATTGATGAATGAATGGAAGACATTCGCTTCCAGGTGCAAGGCCGACCCATGCATGCTTGATGCGAGGGTTTTGTTTGTTTTTAGCGCCTAGCACGTGTTTTCGTTCGAAACTCACCACAGCCATCTTGGAAGCATCAATCCTTGAGTCATTTGTATATGAGTTAACACAGATCACTTCATTAAGTACGTCTTGGCAGGCTCGCGGAAAGCTACCGTCATGCAGCCAATTGTGCGACGTAAATTGGAAATGCATCATGTGACACGCGTGCTCCCCACATTCAGAAACTCCATGGGCCGCATAACCCCGTGTGAAGGTGCGCTTGCATTTTTTGCCCTACATATTTCTTCCGCAGGACTTCTCCAGGTTTCTTCTTCATTTGAATTTAAATGTCACACCGTTTTGCCCGCAGGCTTCTCAAAGAACACCAGGCATTTGAAAATGCAGGCTTACCTGGTATAGAAATGTTGCCTGGCAGCGACATCACTGAATATGAGGTGATAATGTGCGTCGACAATCAGCTCTACGCGGGCGAAAAATTTCTTTTGCTGATTCACATCGGCAACGAATACCCCGTGGAGCCTCCTCTGGTGAAGTTCCTTTCCAAAGGTGATCATGCAGTGCCCTTGCATCCGCATATTTACTCGAACGGGCATATTTGCCTCAATGTTCTAGGCAAGGACTGGACACCCGCATGCAATGTGGAAAGCGTCGTGCTCAGCGTGCAAAGTATGCTCAGTACGAACGAATTGGCCGAGCGGCCACCTGATGATGACCGGTATGTGCGCCTGGCTCCGAAGGATCCGAAGAACGGTCGTTTTGTGTACCATGACGATACTGTGTGAGGATGCTGGGTATGTGCTGTAAGCATGTACTTTCCATACATTCTTGAGGCATTAAGTTTGATGAAGGCGTTTGGCAAGGCTTCTCCTGGAAGGGGTATGGCAAGCCAGTGGTATAAGGTTCCTAGACCCTGCTCTTTTAATTCGTGTGATATCGCTGGCTCCCGCCTGACAAGGTCTTGATTTAAGTGAGAATAGCCTTTTTTGAATATAGTTTCCGGGACAACCTGAAACTGAATTCTGGCCCATGGCAAATTGTTACACATGGAGCGATTATCCAATCACCAAATTTTACACATGGAGCGATTATCCAATCACCGAATTTTACACATGGAGCGATCATCCAATCACCAAATTTTACACAAGGAGCGATTATTTAATCACTAACGTACTTTACATGGAGCGACCATGCAAAGCAACGCCGCCAGTTTCCGCATGCGTGGTTGGGAGTATTCGGCGTGAGCCTGTCTTGCCTGTGGGCCTTGAGACACACTGCTCGAAAGACTAAAACATCGGAGGCTTCACCAAAAAGACGCAGCCAAAAGGGCATGAGGGGTGTATGAGGGCTCATCGACCCTTCTCCTTCTGAATGGCGCTCAATTCCAGAAACACTATTTCCAAGCAACCAAGCAAATGGGGCGTAGAATCAAGGCCGCCACGCAAACCCCGACGCTGTCCGCAGAAATGTCGCCTTGGGACTGCGGCTGATTATACGGCTGACTGTCGCGCGAAGGCCCCGCGTTTTGATAGGCCCTATAAACGAATATCAACGGAATGCCCGCCAGCCCGCCAGGCCCGCCCAATGTACGCAAGTTGGCCGGGCCATAAAACGTGCCGCCTAGCCGGGCTGCCAACACCGACATTTGGATACTACGGTTTTTTTTTTGCGTCTGCAATGTCGCCTAATGTTGAGACTTTTTAGGCCGGCACCTCGATGGGGATCGCTGACATTTGAGCAGCGATCTCGCGATACTTGGCTCATGGAATCGGCAATGTTCAGTACTTGGCTCGTGGAAACAACAACCCCTACATACCTGGCGTGAGGCTTTCAACAACAGGCAGCCCCGAGCAAAAACCAGTGGGCTGGCGAGCAAAAAAAAAAATTAAAGGGATACGTGGCAAAAGATAGTGGTCCCTTATCTGGGCCATACGAGACTTGGCAGTAACCACTTACGTTTATCTATGAGGGCCCACGTTGCGGGACTTTGTTGAGGTATTTACTCTAAGGGGGCAAACCTTAATTTGAAAAAGAGTCTCACGTGCCCCCAAGAAAACACACAGCGGCTTTGCAGTTCCAGGTTAAGCTATTTCGAGACCAACATAGACCACTGCGGGCGCGGCATTTTTCGGCCGAGAAAAAACCAATGCGGTTTCAACGTCAAGCCGTGTCTCGGAGCAAAAATGGCGGGTTTGTGAATAGGAGACGGGCCACGTTCCCACACACGCACGCGGTGTGCACACCGCGCCGATATGAGCGGAAAAACTCCGGCTGATTGGCCTCGCCGAACCGCCTGTGAGATCATACATGCGGGCGCGGGCGGCCTGTGTGCAGTGCCGCCACCACACCTGGAGCAAGGCATTCGACTTGTTGGGCTCCACGCTAGCTTCCCCGTGCAGGTGAGGAGTAAGGCGGCATAATCTTCCGGCCGCTCGCTAATTGCTCCCGAGAAACGCTGGGGCGATGACGAAAACGGGCATGCCTAGAGTCCAAGACCAGAAAAAAAAAGTCCCGCCGCAGGACATGCCTCTGCGAGCGACCCAGGGCATCCGTCCATTGTTGAAGGTTCGCCAAGGTCCTCCGAAATGGCAGCCATTGTTGTTATCGTGAGAACCCCATCTGGCTGCGCAAGCGCATACCTTGTACGCGGGTAGTGCACACACGGCCGTTTGTCACTGAGACAGCGATTACCCCTCCCGGCTTGTTGAACCAATTAAAAAAGTTTTGGACAACGAGAAGATATGGGTGGAGATATACGAACGGCCCAACCTGGAGATTTCTTGCCACAGAAGCTTTTCTAGTGTCGTCTGCTTTTCCTTGCCAACTTTCTTTGCACCTGTCGACGTTTAAAAGCGGACCCTGCTTTCAGCCGTGCCCTCGACATTGAAAAGTTAGCAATCCTCCTGTGCTGTCTGCATATTCCACGCCCCGACCAAGCAACGCCTTTGCCTGTAAATACCGTCTGGATATCTGGTTTGCAGATTCGGAGCAGCCCACTTATTTATTTTTCTGCCCGATGGACTTTTCGCTGATCTACATTAAAGAAGAACCTTGTTCGCCCATGAGCAGCGCCGCATATGGAGACTCGCTGGTGGAAGTCCACAAAACCCGGCCCGAAGAAACACTTTTAGAAACATGTTCTGGAAGCCACCAAGGGAGCTTTTCGGAAGCACTGGCTCGGGCATCCGCTGGGCCTCACGCCCGGGACTTTGCTGAATCACAGACGCAAGATTTCGTTGAATCTCCGGGTTTTGCTGGATCACCGGATGTCGCTGAATCTCGGGCCCATGGATTTGCTGAGCCAAAGACCCAGAATATTGCTGATTCTCAGACCCAGCATTTCGCTGAATCTCAAACCCAGGGATTTGCTGAGCCAAAGACTCAGAATATTGCTGATTCTCAGACCCAGCATTTCGCTGAATCTCAAACCCAGGGATTTGCTGAGCCAAAGACTCAGAATATTGCTGATTCTCAGACCCAGCATTTCGCTGATTCACAGACCCAGGGATTTGCTGAATCACCGACCCAGCAGTTCGGCGGGCTGCGGCCTGACCACCGCTCGCAAAACCACCTGCACCACTCCGAAAGCCCCTCGCAGGCACACTCGCCAGACCACGCCGGCCCGGGCGAATCCGGCTCGGACGCCGCCAGCGTCGAGCAGGCCTGCGACTCGTGCAGAAAACGCAAGCTCCGGTGCTCCAAGCAGTTCCCCCGGTGCCTGAAATGCATCCAGCACAACTGGTGTTGCACGTACTCGCCGCGGACCGTGCGCTCGCCGCTCACCAGGGCCCACTTGACGGAGGTGGAGAACAAGCTCTTCCACATGACCAACATGATGCGGTTCCTCTTGCCGGGAGTCGATTTGGAAACGCTCTCGCAGAGCGGCCACTACCAGAAGACGTTGGCGCCGTTCCGCGAGAAGTTGGCCGGCTCCGTCGACTCGTCCAACATCCACCTGCCCACGGCCAACTCGGTGTTTTCCAACGACGACTCCATGAACGGCTCGCTCGGCGACAAGAAGGGCGACGACATGTTCGACATGGACGTGGAGTACGACAAGCAGAAAGTCAAGCAGGAGATCATCGACGACTTTGTGTTGAACAACATCCCCACCGAGCCCAAGCGATTCCTGCCGCTCTCCATGGCATCCGCCCACCGGGGCCTGGGTGCCAGCAACAAACGGCTCCTGGCCATCTCGCTAGGGCACGAGCCGTACCTGATGTCCTCGGCCGCGCACACGCCCAGCACGGCCACACTCACAAGCCCCTCGTCGCTTCTTTCGCTCAACTCCTTTGAAAACTACGATTTCGACCACGAGCGCTTGGACGAGCTCCCGGGGCTCGCGACGAAAAGACAGAAGCTCCAGGCAAGCGCCGAGTACACGCTGATTTTCAACGAGGTCTTGTGCGACGACTTTGCCTAACGAAACCCACTACTTTGCTTCTCCCCTTGTATTTTACTGCTTTTTATGATGACGTCCGCCCGTTCACAGCCCATGTAGCAAGCCGGCGCCGGTCGGTTCTCGAAAGCCGGCGCCGCGCTCGTAGCCAAGATTAGCCTGTGCCCGCGACATGCAGCGGTTCCGAGGGGCACCGGCGCAATTTCGGGGGCAACACCGCACCGGCCGTGCGCCGCACACTTCCGTGCTACCCCGGAGATGGTCACGGCATGTGCGTGCACGCAGTCCAACGGGCTCACCGTACCTTGGTGAACTCGGTACCTTTTCTTCGCCAAACACATTTAGCTCCTGACACGCCAGAAGGGTTTTCAGGCAGAAACTTGAAAGACATCCCGTGGCAAATCCGCCTGTCCAGCTCCGCAAGGCTCATTTCGAGGCTTCCCATACTCACGTCTTGCCTGATCCGGCCGAAAGTGCAAGGGCCTGTTTCTGTCCCTTCACCTCGAATTCAGTGGGACGTTTAATAGCAAGTTTGCGAACCCACAAATCCCTCTCCGGCTCGAGCCGCCAGATTACCAGCGCGCTGCAAATCTCGCTGTTTGGAACCCCTTATTGTTGATCCTCCAACAAACGGGAACTTCTCACTGTTGCTCCTCCAACAAACGGAACTTCTCACTGTTGCTCCTCCAATAAACGGAAACAATATTCATCGGTCGAAATCTTGGATCACCACATCCGCTTACCCGTCCCCTCGATCTGCTGCAACTCTCTGCGGGGATTCATACACGAGGCGCTCCATCACCCAAACCACCCTCGGTCCTGAGCTCTCCTTTTCTTGAAGAAACAACCCGGATCCCATGTCTGCGCTAAAAAACTTGACATCACTCAAGCGCAACATCACCCGGCGTCTCCGCCAGGCGCTCGAGGAACTCCAGGAAAACTTGGGGAACTTGGGGAATAATCTAGAGCGGCAAGCGGCGCCGGTGCGTATTCCGGTGCCGGCGCGTGGGGGTGCGCCGTTCCGAGGGCGCAACCCCATGAACTTCCTCCGGGGAGACGTCTTGACTTCCGGCCGCCGCTCCGCTCGTTTTCTGGCCGGCCTTCCGACCGGCCTCCCGACCGGCTTCCTGGCCCGGGGGCTCTCGTCGCTCGTGGGGTCACGTGACCCCCGCCGCCACGGCTCCCGTTTCTTCACCACCTACAACCGGCTCGGTGCCTTCAGCAGTTGGCGGTGGGCGCGGCTCAACCAGTCCGTGCTCTTCCACCACTTCTCCTCCAAGTCGCAGTTCCGCCTGAAGGCGTTTCACCGGTTCTACAACACCCCGGCACTCACGCACCTTCTCAAGAAAAATGGTGCCCTAGGCCAGCCCGACCCTTTCATGGGCAGAGGCAAACATGGCGCGGCGAGGCGTAGTCGATGTGCTGTGCCCGAAAGAGCCGCCGTGGCCTCCTCGCTCAGACTCAATCTTCTGTTGTCCCCGAGATTCCATGACATGGTGCAGGCGTTGGCCAGACCGCTCTCGCCCCAGCCGTCGGGCTGCTACGTCGACTTCGCGCTCCAGCCCAAATTCCTCATTCCGCCGGCAACGGTCATGAACGCGGATGTCGTGGGCGAGCTCCAGGCCAACCTCCAGCGCTTCGAGCGCCAGGTGGCTGAGTTGCAAGAGGACTTGCTCAAGATCAGCGAGTTGGGCGAGCTCCCGCTCAAGCTCATGGCCGCGGAGGGCGTGCTCCGCGTGTTCTTTCCCAACTGTGACCGCGCGCAATTGGAGTGCTTGCTCGTGGAGAAGAATGTGCGTGGTGGAGTCATACACGAGGATGCGTGCGGCCTCTACGAGCAGCTCCAGGACAACAGCCAGCAGCTCCATGACAACAGCCAGCAGCTCCAGGACAACAGCCAGCAGCTCCAGGACAACAGCCAGGTGACGCCGGTCTCGGAGGCTGGCGTGTTGAGCAGCGGCGCCTCCCTGGATCGGGCCCTGTCGCGCTCGGCGAGCAGCGAGCCATGGGACGACATCTTGTCGCTGTCGGGTGTTGGCAGTGGGGCGTATGTGCATTTGGAACGCCTCCCCGCTTCGGCGCACGCCGGAATCGCAGACGGGCTCCAGTGGTCCTAGTCCAGCAGGCCTAGACCAGACCTGCGGGCATGGTTCTGGTGATCGTTGCACTTCTTCTTTTAGGTGGCCCGCCTCACCGTGGCTTCATGCTGGCGCCGGCCGCCCTCGCCGTTCCCCGCTTATATATTTTTGTTCTTACCATTTGTGTTTCTGTGGCGAATCCCATGTGTTTCTTCCTGGCGAATCGGCCCCAGCCGCCTCTGGCATATGAGCCCGGGCCGGCCCTCCGCAACACCTGCCATATCAACCGGGGCCTGCACACTGCTGCCCCAGGCGAAGCGCCGGTTCACAAGCCGCTGGAAAGTTCTTCCAGCACGCCCCAGAGCCCCGTTATTTTGCCAGCAAGCCCTGCGTGCCAACATCTGCGTGGTCCCTTGTCACGTGAGAAGACTTCCTAGCACTTTTGTCGATCTCCACCGACCGTCCCCCGCTGCACGAGTCTATCTTTATAGACGAGACAGCCGGTGCATAAAACAGCCGAATTCCGTGGGCGCCGCCTTTCCAAACGGCCGGAACCGCCAGAAACGGCGACTTGGCACCGGAAATGGGCCCTGCGACGCCGGAACCGGGCGCTTCCCCGGCGCAAGCCAGCTCCCGTTGGGAGCACGAAAGCGACGCAGACGATTCGTCGGAAAGCGAGTTCAAAGACTCTGCCGAGGCGTTTGGGCTGCCCGAAATCAAGCAAGAAACAGCCAACAAGGTGTATTCTGGGCACGGGACTGAGCCGCCGCCGCCAGGCTCCCCGAGTGTTTTGAACGACGAGGACGGCGCTGGCCATGGCAGCGAAACCGAGGATAAAGTGCCCCAATCGCCGCCTTCTGGAAGCGGAGTGCATGTAGAAGACGTGGTGGGAAGCCAGGCTGCCGGGGGGGGCGGGCCGGCTGATCTTGGGGATGTGACTGCTGAAACTGGCAATTTGGATGCGGAATCGGCCGAGTCAACGGGTCCAAAAGACGCTGTAACGGCCGAGTCAACGGGTCCAAAAGACGCTGTAACGGCCGAGTCAACAAGTCCAAAAGACGCTGTAACGGCCGAGTCAACGGGTCCAAAAGACGCTGTAACGGCCGAGTCAACGGGTCCAAAAGACGCTGTAACGGCCGAGTCAACGGGTCCAAAAGACGCTGTAACGGCCGAGTCAACAGGCCCAAAACACCCCGCCGCACACCCGAGTGCCTCTGCTCCCCCTGCTTCGCCGCCCACTCAAACGCCGGCGCCATCCGCCCAAACAACTCCGGCGCCGCCCTCCGAGGTGGCCCCCGAGACCGGGCGCCGCGTCCCGCCCCGACCCCCTCTCCCACCTTTCTTCGACCCCGCGCCTAGCACGGCGCTCCCCTCGGCGACTGTCGAGGCCCTGTCGCTCCTCGAGGCGCGGCAGCTGGAAATCTCCATCCGCTTCGACGCCAAGGACGAGGGCCAGCGGCGCGCCATCAGCACCGGCGTGGAGAGCGTGCGCAAGACGTACCGCGACATCCGCAGCGCCATCGGCCACTTGCCCGTGGAGCTCCTGCGGGGCGAGCACGTGGACTGGGGCTTGTGGGACCGGGTCGTCGAGGACTACCATGACACGGTCTTGCACGAGCAGCAGCAGCTCGCGCGGGCCGTGGCCGGCGGCATTCCCGAGGAGGTGCGGGGCATCGTGTGGCAGTTGGTGGCGCGGTCCAAGAGCTTGCCGCTCGAGGAGTTGTTCATGCACTTGAAGACCGAGCCGTGCGTGCACGAGAGGGCCATCAAGCGGGACCTCACGCGCACGTCGTTCTTCGCCGCCGTCGAGGCGGCCGGCAAGGCGCGCGAGCTCTACGACGTGGTGCTGGCGTACGCCAACTTCGACCCGGACGTCGGGTACACGCAGGGCATGGTCTTCATTGCCGTGCCGTTGGTCATGAACATGGCCGGCAGCGAGGCCTTCTGCTTGCTCGTCTCGCTCATGAAGGACTACGGGCTCCGCGAGCTCTTCTGCCCCGAGATGCGCGGCTTGCACTTGTTGCTCCACCAGTTCGACCGGCTCTTGGCCGTGCACCGGCCGCTCTTGTACAACCACTTGTTGCGCCAGGGCGTCCGCCTGTCCATGTACGCGTCGCAGTGGTTCCTCACGTTCTTCAGCTACAAGTTCCCGTTGCCCGTGGTGTTGCGCGTCTTCGACATGGTCATCACCCAGGGCATGGAGGCCGTGTTGCGCCTTGCGCTCAACCTCATGCTCCAGAACGAGCCGTTCTTGCTCCCGCTTCCCTTCGACCGGCTCTTGGACTTCTTGAAGGACCGCCTCTTCAACGTGTACGCGGGCGACGGCCGCGAGCCTGCCGACGACGCCCCGGTGAACCGCCGCTTTCTGATTCTCGCCCGCCGGCCCGCGGCCAGGTCCCTGCCGCCGTACGACTTGGACGCGTTCATCCGCGACTCCATGCAGATCGACGTCAGCCCGTTGGACCTTGCGCGGTGGAAGGCCGAGTTCGACCTGCTCCTCTCGCAGGACTCCCGCCGGGCCGCTGACATCAACACGCTCCGGGCGCAGAACGGGTGCCTCCGCCACGAAGTCAAGGCTGTGGAGATCCAGACCCACGCCCTCCGCCACGACCACCTCGCCTCCGTGCAGAGCCTTGTGGACGTGAAGATCGCGTTGCCCGAGCTCCAAGGAGACGTGGACGAGCTCGCGTCGCAGGTCGCTTCGCTCGAGGCAAGCATCCACAGAATGGAGCTCAGGGTCGGCGCCGGCCACGCAGACATCCCGCAAGACATCGACGCCCGCATCCAGGAGCTTTTGGCCCAGAACGCCCAAGAAACAGAGAGGTTGTCCAGCCTAGAGGACCAGCTAGGCGAGTTGTGTCTACAAGAGGAGGCGTTGGCAGCCGAGTTGAAGAAAAGCAAGAAGTGGTTCTGGAAGCACTAGGCGGTCTGCCCGCGGCCTACCAGACCCAATGTGGGCGAATAGACGCTGGCGGGGCGACTACTGGGTCGGCCGTTTGCAGCCACGAGGCGGCTGCGGGGGTTGGGGGCGGTCACGTGGCCGAGGGTCACGTGCCGCCGTCGCTGTGCGGGCTCATGCCCTACGCCGGCGCCGCGTGTGCAGTGCGCATCCAGCATCGGGCCTGGTGCCGCGGCCACTAGTCAAGAAAATTTTCAGCTCTCCACTGGATTTCTTACTTCACCAAATTACTCGTTCACCATGGCTAGAGGACCTAAGAAGCACCTTAAGAGATTGGCAGCCCCATCCCACTGGATGTTGGACAAATTGTCCGGCACCTACGCCCCAAGACCCTCTGCTGGTCCACACAAGTTGAGAGAGTCCTTGCCTTTGATCGTCTTCTTGAGAAACAGATTGAAGTACGCTTTGAACGGTAGAGAGGTCAAGGCCATCTTGATGCAAGAGCACGTCAAGGTTGACGGCAAGGTCAGAACCGACTCCACTTTCCCAGCCGGTTTCATGGACGTCATCACCTTGGAGGCCACCAACGAGAACTTCAGATTGGTCTACGACGTCAAGGGTAGATTCACTGTCCACAGAATCACCGGCGAGGAGGCTTCCTACAAGTTGGGTAAGGTCAGAAAGATCGCTTTGGGTAAGAGAGGTGTTCCTTACGCCGTCACCCACGACGGTAGAACCATCAGATACCCAGACCCTCAGGTCAAGGCCAACGACACTGTCAAGATCGACTTGGCCACCGGCAAGATTACTGACTTCATCAAGTTCGACACCGGTAAGTTGGCCATGGTCACCGGCGGTAAGAACATGGGTAGAATCGGTGTCATTGTTCACAGAGAGAAGCACGAGGGTGGCTTCGACTTGGTCCACATCAAGGACGCTTTGGAGAACACTTTCGTCACCAGACAATCTAACGTCTTCGTCATCGGTACCGAGGCTGGCAAGCCATACGTGTCCTTGCCAAAGGGTAAGGGTATCAAGTTGTCCATCACTGAGGAGCGTGACAGAAGAAGAGCCCAAGGCGGTTTGTAATCGTCGCCGCAACATCCAGTTAATATACGCTATTACTTTTAGAACATGATGTAGAGGATGCAACTCCTTGTAGATCCGTGAGGGTGTCCTCGGCGAGGCCATGCCTCTGTGTGTGCTCTGTGTGCTGGCTAATTTCATGGATAAGATTCGGTAAGAGTGATCCCCAAAAGGGCATTGACAAGAAAAGTTGGAGCGTCGGTGCTGCCTTACGTTTCGTCATTTAGAGTGCGCTTATTCAGAGCTGATGCACATGTCCATCACCTTCATTAGACAACGACAAATCAACACCTTTCCATATTTAATATGTAAAAAACCTAAAGTATTAGAAAGCATTCAAATTTGTGTCTAGCAAGCTTTCTCTGTTTTTTATCAAATTTTCAATTTTTGGAAATACTTTGGCCTTGGATAATTTCTACTTTTTCGTCAAATCTGAACAAATGTTGAGAAAATCATTCACGTTTCTCTCTCACCCTTTTTTTAGGTGCAGGCTTCTAGGAATAAGTTAAAGCATTCCAGTCAAATCCCAGTGAATAGAAAACAATACCCCGAGACTCCTTCAACCGACTTAGCTCGTGTCTCAAATTGAAATTGAGAAACTACGCGAATCCAATCATATCATGCCATTGGAGATTCTACATCTGATATTAACAAATCATTTATTAGTCAGCCGACATCAGGCCTTGTAATACCCGTCAATTTATCTCATTGTCTTGGCAAAAAGGGCTCAACCAAAGAAGGTGAGACGGACCTAAAGCAAGTCACCTTGTAATTGGTATGGAGCACGCAAGGTAGAGACTATGTCCTTGCAGGCCTGATGTCTCTTTGATACGCTGGAAGTAATTAGCACATGATGATTGTGCAAATTAGAAAACATATTCGATTCGCTTAACGTTTTGAAGCAGGATTTGAGCCGTCTCGCTTAGAGGAGTGCTTCATGAATTTTATTCGAAGAAAAAGCTTCATAACCTTTCCTTTTTAAAAATACTCTGGAGCTTTCGTTTCATGGTTATATCTTCCATATTCTCGAGACCAGTTCAAAGCGGCATCTACGAGACTGCAAGCCGGCTATTTCGGACTGTTGCACTTTCCCTGCTGTGAGTTTCAAATAGGATGTCACCAGCTTTGATTTGACAGCATTCATCACCAACAGCTTCGTTCCACCTTCCAAGAACAAGAAACTGCGGGGAGAACTTGGGTGGGATCTTTCGAATCTGATCGGTCTCACCAACTTCGTGGGGGTGCAAAACTGTACGTTAGATAGACTGCAAGAATTACTCTATGCACCAACGCATAATTTCGTGGCGGGCTTCAATCACGGAGTCAATTGTGTGAGAACTAGACGCTTAGCCCTAATTAATCATGTGACAAATGAGACATTAAAGTTCGCACCACTTACCCGGAACCAAATAGCACGACGAGTATATGAAGGGAAGAGAATTCCCTCTATAGATCTTTTTAGAAGGTCAGTTGACACAAAAGTGGTTTTAGTTTTTCCTAAATAAAGGTTTATTTCCACACGCTAGTACATCATGTCGAATCCGATATCTCAACTGTACCAGTTGGGAACCACTTGTGGACAGGACATTGAGTTGGAATATCCGTACTCAAGCAGAAATACAAACAAATTGGAGCGTGAAGCGAACAGAATTGGCAATCCCAGCGAGGCCACCGATCACGCAATGGAACAGACGCCTAACATCTTGAGACGCCGCTAGGCGATAGTTTGGAAAAGAGAAATTCAAGAGTACAAGCTCGGAACGTGGAATGCAATAAAGATCGGTGGGTTCGCCGCAATTGAAGTCTCCTCAGAGAAGCAAAATGAAATTTCTCACTGCCTTAACTCTTATTGCTTTATCTGCTGCCGCACCTTTGCAGGGCACCGGATACTTTGAAATTTATTCTCATGATCACCCTACTGGCTTCACTGTCAGGGAAAAAAACGGTCAGCTCGTCAAAGCTTTCGCAACGCAAACTTTGTTTCACGCCCAGAGTGATTACATATTTTTCGAGAGACACTGTTACATAAGTGTGGGCGAAAACCATAGCCTTTACTTGGTTATGGACAATCCAAGCATTGAGAGACAGCAAAAAATTGTGGTTCAGAATGAACCGGGCAGTTCAAAATACTACTTGACCATCAACGGGGACAATACATTTATTTTGTGTCTGGACGGGCGGATTCAGTTCGGCCGCCTGTGTAAAGATGGAGAATACATCAGACTTCGCTTTCATACCCAGCTGTGATTAACGGGCCGCGTTTCGACACTCGGTACGTAGGAAGAAGCTGATGCGAGGCTTTTTATATGATTATATAGATTTGTTCCTTTAATCAGAAGACTTCATCAGAAAAAAAACACCAAAAAAAAATTGCCCTCAACCATTCTATCAGACGACATGCTGCAACGCTGGGGTCTGCATGGAGCCCGAAAGCCAGTGCCGGTGCAAGCGGCCGGCCAGGCTGGAAAAAAGACCCCAATTTTGAACTATAGCAAAACAGCCGCATTATCTTGAGCTGTAGCAAAACAGCTGCATTTCAATACCAAAGCCCTGTTTAGTTGTAACAACAGCCGACCGCCCGTCTCCAAGAACGCCCAGCGAGATAGCGCCGGCCGAGGTCCCGGGCCTGCACACAGCGCGATAGCCCTGCACGCGGCGCCCGCTCACGGCAGGCCCGCCTATCTCGCGATAAACGAACGTCCTACTCCTCTTCTTTTGCCACGGCACAAAGACATGTTTCGTGTGCCCGTCTTCTTCCTCGCACTCGTCTCTGTGCTATATTACGTAAGCGAACATGGGCACGTGCTTTTGCCGCCGCCCCCGCTGTCCGTGGCGCCGCCCGCAAAAAGGCCCTTGCGGCTTGCGGGCCTCAACTTTCTCCATACAACAGACACGCACGGGTGGCTCGGCGGCCACTTGAACCAGCGTGCATACGACGGCGACTGGGGCGACTTCGAGTCGTTTGTGCAGCACGTGAAACAGCGGGCGCACGACCAGAAACAGGACCTCCTTCTCGTAGATTCCGGCGACCGCCACGACGGCAACGGGCTTTCGGACGCCACGGCGCCAAACGGCGCCCGCAGCCTGCCCATTTTCGCCCAGCTGGCGTACGACATCGTGACGTTGGGCAACCACGAGTTGTATGTGTGGGAGAACAGCCGCCAGGAGCTCGACTTGATTGCGCTGCACTACGGCGACAGGTACGTGAGCTCCAACGTGGAATACCGGGCCCGCGGCAACGGCACGTTTGTGCCGTTTGCGCCGCGCTTCCGCTACTTCCGCACGCCGCAGCAGGGCGTGCGGGTGTTGGCGTTGGCGTTTCTTTTTGACTTTGGCCGTGCCAACGGAAACACGCGCGTCACGCCCATCCGCCAGGCCATCCGGGAGCCGTGGTTCCGCGACGTGCTCGCGTCGCACCCGCCGCTGGCGGTGGACGTGATCGTGGTGGTCGCGCACGTGCCGGTCGCCAGGCGCTGGGCCGAGTTGCAGCTCCTCCACTCGGCGCTCCGCGACGCGTACCCACAAACGGTGATCCAGTACTTTGGCGGGCACAGCCACATCCGCGACTTTGTGGTCTTGGACGACAGGCTGGCCGCGCTCCAGAGCGGGCGCTTCTGCGAAACCGTGGGGTTCGTGAGCGTCGACTTGCTGCCGGAGACTGTGCCCGTGCACTCGCGCTTCTCCCGCTCGTACATCGACTTCAGCGTGGACCTGTTCATGTTCCACGCCCAGAAGCACGTGCCGGCGGACTTCCACACGCGCCGGGGGTCTGAAATCAAGCGCATGCTCGCCAGCGCCCGCTCGGACCTCCGGCTTGACACCGTCTTGGGGCACGTGACGCGCTCCAACTACTACATGGACTACGTGCCGCTCTCCCACCCCAAGAACATCTACAAGTTGCTCACGGACCGCGTGTTGCCGTCGCTCCCCCGCAAAGAGGCCCGCGGCTCGGCAAACCGCCTGAGAATCGTCCTCATCAACACGGGCTCCGTGCGCTACGACCTCTACAAGGGCCCGTACACTGTGGACAGCCACTACATCGTGTCGCCGTTTCAGAACGACTGGGTGTGCGTCCGCCTCCCCAAGCGCATCGCGCTCCAGGTGGCGCCGAAGCTCAACGAGAACGACTACATTCTCGCCGCCCCTGGCGACGGTCTCCGGAACTCGTACTTGAAGCCGCCGCACCAGCGAGACGCGCACAAGACGCCGGGCCTTCGCGGCCAGCTCGCGCTAGCGTACCCTGATTTGGCAGGCGAAACCGACATCCAGGGCCGGCTCGCCAAGGGGTACGTGACACACGACGACTTTGGCCACACGGGCGACGACACCCCGCACCGCGGAGTCACCAACCACCCGCTTCCGAACGTGGTGCAGAGCCTCGAGTTGGTCCCTGGCCTGGACGCGGACGTGGACGTGGTGTTCTACAGCTTTCTCATCCCCAACGTGCGCGCGGCCGTGGCCGCGCTCGGCGGCCTGATGGACGGGTTGGAATTCTACTCCGACATGTACTTGGGGCTTTTGCTCGACCGGTATGTGGCCGAGCACGGCGTGTGAAAACGCTGAGGCGAGGCGACCCCCCCAGCCCGAGACGTCCGCCTTTATACAGATCGCATAACGTATATTGACAATGGTGCATGCAAAGCATGGCATTGCGGGCGGGCCGGACTTTGGAGTCGAAGGGCTCTGCCCGCGACATCTTCCGCGCCGCCGCAGTAGGGCTCTCTCCTCTCACGGCCACGCGCCTTCTACTTGAGCTCGTGCTCCTCACGCCGGGGGGCCACACAATGGCTTTTCACAAGGTGCAAGCCTCGCAGGTTGCATTGTTGAAGCGGCACTCCCAACTGGAGACTGACGCCCTACACCGAGACCACGGTATCGTGCGGCTTGTACGTGACACGGTAATTCAAGCTGTTGATGCATTCGGTCTCATCGTTGGTGGCGACGCTCTGGTCCACTACCAAGTTGATATTGAAGCCGAACCACGGCCCCCAGAGCGCCCGCGGCTTTTGCGCCGCGCCCGAGCTCGGCACCACAAGATCGGCGCTTTCGCCCAAACGCGTGCGGCCACTCTCGTCAAAACGCACTTTCCCATGTGCAATGATTGTGTAGAGACCCGTGCCGGGCACCAAGTGCGTGTCGAAGCACGTGAGCTGGTGGTTGGAGGCGGGCGACGCAAGCCATTTTTTCTGGAACTCGAGCCGCGAGTCGTTGGCCGGTGCTTGCGGGATCAACGGGTTGCCGTTGAAAACAACCGCGCTGGCCGGCTTTAGTTGTTTTGCAAACTGTGTTGCATATGCTTCCACCGACGGAAACTGCGGTTGTGGCGACGCCGTGCCGGGTAGATGGAGTTGGAGGTCAAGCAGCGATAGCAACTTCTTCAAGAAGGGCTCGATGGGCTGTGCTGGACACAAGGTTAGTCTTGCGTTTCCACTAGAAAGCTGTTAATCGTTTTGACAGGTGTAGGTTGCTACGTACATGGGTCCTGCTGAACATTGTTCATGGCGAAAGGGGTTATAGGCCGGTGTTGGATGTATCAGTGGTGGAAAGAACAGTCTTTCTTTTTGTCGCGCAGTTGGTGCGAAAGGCTCTCAGCGCCTGGTTCATCATTTGGCGTCATGAAAGAGAGCCGTCCGGGTAGGGCGGGTCTTCTTCGACTATAACTTGTTTCCTGGTATCACGGGGATGAAAATGGGAAAATTTACGGGGCCCGGTTTGGGTGCCTATCAGTTTTGAAGACTGGGTGGTTCTGGTTAGAGGGCCCTGTGCAGGGCTGTAGATCAGACAATTACTTGCGGCCGATCCACTAACTAGAACGATGATTTAAGAACTGCAAATACAGTATGAATTGGCTGAGAATACTGCTGAATTTTATGAACACATCGAGGATTATTTCAAGTGGCACAGAATCCGACGCATATTTTGGCTTCTCGTATTCCCGTAGCTCCCGGAGAAACCTGCCCATGACTCAGGTTATCTAGGAGAGAGCTATTCTCCATTAATGGTTTTGTGTGTCTCTAAGCAAGCACCGTTTATCTTCAGCATGTAAACCGGTTTAGAGAAGAGCCTTCCATGTATGCTTATTATGCCTGATCATCAATATTTGCATTGTCTCACTCAAACATCGTATCTTCATGGGCAGAATATCAGGTAACTTTCAAAACAGCATCTCTATCGGCGTCGAAACACATATCAATACAAGCGATTGTCATCTTTTTGTCTTTGTCTATCCCATGGATTTTCGACAGCCTTGTCTGAAGACCCGCAGCGAGCATCTCTCAAAGAATTTCGGCACTGGTGTATCTGCTGCTTATGCAAGTTTCTAAAAGACATGGCAACTCGCCTGCACGTGTCTTCAAGTGTCTTGTTCGTCATCTGAAGCATTTTCAATAATTTTCTGCGTAACCTTCAATGCCAAGAATGTTAGCAACTTTGCTGGAAATATATGTGTTTCTACTCCTGTATAATAATGACTTCATAGTATAAGGCAGAGAGCCATGTCTTACACACTTGATCACGAGGATGTAACTGAGAAAGTGTTCGAGTTGAGAAGAGCGTTCAATGAGGGGCCGGGCATGTGATATCTGACGGAACTTACAAGAACAGACAGATATGCGCCAAAGGGAACCATCAGTGTAAGGCTGGCCCAGAGACCTTGCGTCGCACGGCGAACACTATCAATGTCCTTTCATCAAAATCTTTCTTTGGCTAAACCTCTGTCTTATCTTTTTAGTCTCCTGGAAGAGTCTGGTTTGAAAACAAAAAATCCAAACTTTCTTCAAGTGAAGAGAGTGTATTGGCGTCCATCACTTTTTAAGACTTACCAAGACGGGCAATGCAATGGCAATACTTTCTAGTTGCTGGGTTGTATGTACGTTGTTATTGAATAACCTTTTGGTTTTAAAGTGTCTACTTTTATTTGTGAAAGATGTAGAGCAGTATCTTAATTTGCAGAAGGGGCACGAGAAAACCCCGCATGAGAAGTCTTGTACCACTGCATATTAGAATTTGACCTGTATCAGTATTCGGATTCATTGTATTCAAGGTTCCGGTACCGACGATATTAAAGTACATCACAAGAAAGTGAACGCAAATTTCTTAGATCTCTTTGCAAGCTTTCTTAACCACGAGCAGAAGAAGAACAAGACGTGGAGATATTTCTTTACGAAAGACTGTCGGAACAAAGCGGTTTTATGAGAATATATAGCCACATCCTGCTTTCTGCAAAAAAGCCCTTAAACGCACAAGGACCAGAGAAGCTTATTAGTTGATTCATCTACTAAGAAACATCAGTACTTAGTACTTTATAGACCCAAATAGCTCCCTTTACATTATATATTTCACAAGTTTCCGAACGTTTCATTCATGCTCAAAAGCTTAATACATTGTGTATTTTGCACAGACATCGGCTATTATTTGGCGCTAATAGAAAATCCTCAAACATTCAAAAAGATTTAAAAAGGAAGTCTGAAAGCCTGTTTTTGAAAGATGCAAAGTCCTCAAGCTTGAAACATGATCAGCCTTTCTTATTTGGCTTTAGTAGCATTGGCCTCAGCAGCTAGCTGCCCTAAGATTCCAAAGGCCAGCACACTCAAGATGGAATTTTTGATATCAAAAGCAAACTCTCGTGCTTCTTCGATGGAGGGTGCGGCAGTCGAATTAGTTAAAAAAGACGATATGCAAGAGCTCGCGTTGATAAACCATTTTACTTTCTATTCGACGACTCTTAGAGTTGGCCCACAGGGCGCTGAGATTGACGTTCTTATTGACACTGGCTCTTCTGACTTGTGGGTGATGTCGAGCGAGATCCAATGTCTGACCACACCAGGTCGCCCTGAGAGATCTGCCGAAGAGCTTGCTGTTTTTTCGAATAGTCGCCCCATGGAGCCAGAATTACCAAGGTTGGGTCTGGAAGACATTCTGGCAAACGACAAAAAGAGGGATATTAGAAGCACCACCAATGACGCTTCTGCTACGACTCCGCAGGGAACCAGCAAAACTAACTGCGTTCTACCAAACTCATTCAATACTGCAGACTCGCATTCTTTTGAAATCAACTCAACCGTCCCGGTTTTTTCTATCTTTTACATGGACAACACGTACGCAAAGGGATACTGGGGCCAGGACTACGTTGAATTTGGATCTGCAAATGTTTCCAACTTCAGGTTTGCCGTGGCTAACGAAACTACATCCAAACAATGCGTTTTGGGAATCGGCCTTGCTCAATTGGAAGTGTCATATTCCGGGAAGGGCCTAGTCGGTACTCCGTACACATACGAAAATTTGCCCCTCCGCTTGAAGTCAACGGGTGTAATTAACAAGGTTTTGTACTCGCTCTATTTGAACTCCTCAGGTGCTCTGTCGGGGTCAATATTGTTTGGTGCTGTCGACCACGCTAAATACACCGGACAATTACAAACCGTGCCCATTGTTAACATATACCCCACGAACTACACCAACCCGATTCGATTTGATATCGTCCTTCACTCGATCACTTTAGAATTTCCTTCTCAAAAAAGCTCCATATCTTCTTCTCCTATAATTGCATTTTTGGACTCCGGCGCCTCTTTGACATATCTTCCAGAGGAAACTTTCAACTCTTTAGTGTTGGGATTAGGGGCTTATGCCGGTCTCTCGCAATTGTATAGAGTGAGCTGTCACTATAAATCGGACAGCATCTTTGCTGTCTTTAATTTCTCCAGCGCTATCATCAAGGTGCCAGTGTCAGACTTGATTTTGGAGCTTAACAGGTTTTGTTACTTGGGAGTTTTAAAAATGGAAAAGGGTAATCATGATGATTCATATGCTACATTGGGCGACAACTTCCTTCGGAGCGCATATGTTGTATACGACTTAGAGGAATATGAAATTTCCTTGGGACAAGCCAGTCACAACAGAAGTGAAGATGTTGAGGTGGTTTCGAGCTCGGTTCCTCGGGCTGTACGCATTTAATGAGATCTATTGAGAAACCTTGCACTTTTGGGCTTCAATATCAACCTTGACGCTCCAGGTCGCAGACAATTTTTGGCCATACCAATCCTACTTGTAGTGCTTGAAGCGGGTGCTTGTGTTGTTAAGTATGCAGATAATCTCCAGTATGGTATCATCAGTAACTTTGAAAAGTTAATTCCTAAACTTAGGGTGTTGTGCACCTAAGAAGGTGGGAGGAAAGTTTCTATTTGAAAGTTTCGCATCCAGCTGCCGTTGCAAAAAGGGTTGAATCCGGGTCCTGATCTTACTTAAACTGGAATTTAATGAGGTTTTGACTGCACAAGAATCAACAACAAGCCTCAATTTCGATACTTAAATCAAGGGACAGAAGCTTCTACTCCGCTGGCGAAACTCCAAAAACTACTGCATCTCATCAGGCTGTAAGCTTTCAGAAAATAAGAACAACATGTCGACAGTTTTTGAAAGCCTGCAAAAAAAAGAAAATAGTGTCTAAAGGACACAATACTCCAGTCCAATATACAATTGGATGGCTAAATATAGTTGGAGATTAAAGAAAAAAACAGTTGAAGTTTGGCTTGGGTGCATACTAAGCCTATGAAGTGTCAAAAGTGCTGATTTTATTTTTTCCATGGCTTCAGTGTAAGTAAAGTTTGGAGAATTGACAAGGTTCATAAGAAATGATCCTAAAGGCTTGTAAATAACTGACTACAGCTTTGAATGAAAAGAACGAAAATAAGCACTTTTTTTGTTTTTCTGAACACCAAATAAATTGTTAACGACATCATTGCTTATTTAAATACCCAAGGAGCTTTAAATGTCAATGGTTATTTTGAAATGAACTATTATTTTGCTTGCAACAGAATAGGCTGCAGCTGATCAGGTTGCACGTCGAGTCACAAATTCAAAGCCTTGATTTTAGCTACACCTTTTAATTTAAGGACTTATCTTCAAGAAAAGTTGGCTTTGTATTTGAAGCCCGTAAGAGGTGTAAGTCTGGAATATTTTTATCCTAGTAGAAATCATCGCATTACTGACAAATTTTGAAGGTGACACCAATTTTTACGCCAAATAGCCCTCTCATAATTGAGAGAGTAATGAATAAGAACTTGAACGAGGATCAAAACATTTTTTAATATCATAGAGTTTTGTGTCTTGTCTCCCAGTTCATTTTTTCGAACCAAGTAAACCAGAATTTCGAGTATTGAGGTGGAAGGACGAACAATCTTTATTTCTGCATCCACAAATTGAATGTGCGGCATTTTGAGCCTGAAGAAAATCTGATACAAAAACCGTCTTTGGGTTTTTTTACTCGCAGGAGATGACACACATATGTAGGTCCTTTAATGTGATATCATTGGCAAGCGAATCTATGTATAGCAAAAATGTTGACTTTGGCTGACTGCTTAACCGTTTGAAAGATGCGAGTGAACGACTCAAAATGAAAAAGAGGCTCAGGCGAGCCTTGCATAGAGGGCTGTTTGGCTACTGCATGCAGACATGGACTGGCGTCTCGCTATAGTTCCATCTTTCTTATTATGTACCCCACCTATTTTCCTAACAACATAAGACTAGTACATGCGAGAGAGAAAACATGTGCATTTTTTGAGCCTTGTTTGTAGGCGGGTAGCAGAAGGAAGTTTTTTTTTTTTTTTTTCATGGAGCCCTGGGTCCATGAAACGGGTCTAAGATTAAGTAGTGATTCCTTGGATTTTGTATTACCTTTGTTTGTCCTATATATAGCTTGTAGGCTTTTCAGTGGCTTAATTTGTCATGCAACACCCACCAGCTGGCAACTGCAGAATGTAAGCTTAATAAGCCTGAATCTGTACTGCAATGGCTTTTGTGGACCTCAATGATCATATCGCCATGAATGGATGAACTTACGATTTTCAAAACCGGGTGGCGCACTGCCTCCGATATCACAGGTCATTTAATTTTGCCTATTGTTCAATATTTGCTGATCCCGGACGCGCTCAGAACGCGCTGGAATATCCCTTGTTGATTCTCGGAAAGAATTTTTATTTACTTTGTCTGATGGCGATATAAAGCAACAAGATTATAAATATGTTGTGCCTTCATTTGGCTTTAGCTTTGGCTTCAGTGACCACTTATCCTAAATTCCCAAACGCCAGCACACTCAAAATGGAATTCTCCATTTTGAGGGGAGATTCAGCTTCCCAAGCAGTTAAGGGCGGGAAACCGGAATTGATGACAAGAAATGTCTCTCCTGAGCTCATGTTAGCCAATCGCTTGACTTTTTATTCCACCACTTTAAAGATTGGCTCCCAGGGCGCCGAGATAAATGTGGTTGTTGATACCGGTTCTTCTGATTTATGGGTAATGTCCAGCAAAGCTTCATGCCCAGAATCATTGGAGTTGTCAAAAAGGTCTACTGAGACTTTTGGGGCTTTTTCACATCGCCGTCTCATAAATCTTGAAATGTCGAAACATACAAAAGATGATGTATCGACAAACAATAGAAATGAAGCCGGCATTAACACTGTGGAAGATTTATTTGCTTTGGACTCACGGGAAGACAGCCAAAGTAGTTGTGCTCAAGTTGACTCGTTCGCCACCGCAGACTCGGACTCTTTCAAAGTCAACTCGACAGCTCCAGAATTTCACATCTCGTACTTGAGCAATACATACGCCAAGGGCTACTGGGGCCACGACTACGTTGCGTTTGGAGAAATAAGAATCCCCGATTGTAGTTTTGCTGTGGTCAATGAAACAACATCAAGGCATAGTGTTTTTGGTATTGGACTTGCTCAGTCAGAGTCGACTTATTCTGGAATAAATCGACGTAGTACTCCGTACACATACGAAAACTTTCCACTTCGCTTGAAGTCTACGGGTCTCATTAACAAAGTTTTATACTCGCTCTATTTGAACGCCTCAGATGCTCTGACAGGGTCAATATTGTTTGGTGCTGTTGACCACGCCAGATACACCGGACAACTACATACAGTGCCCCTTGTTAACATTAATGCCCAATATTTTGCAAAGCCGATTCGGTTCGACATTATTCTTGATTCCATCACTTTAGAAAGCACATCACACAACGTTTCGGTGTTTCTGTCTCAAGTCCTGGCATTGTTGGATTCCGGCGCCTCTTTGACGTATCTCCCGGGGGCTATTTTGGATGGTTTTGCGTCACTGTTGGGTGCATATATGAATTCGTCTGAAGCTTATACAATAAATTGCGAGAAAGCTTCAGATAGAATCTTCACCGTGTTTTATTTCTCCGGAGCTAGAATAAAAGTGCCCTTATCGGACTTGATCTTCCGACTGGGAAGCTCGTGCTATTTGGGAATTTTGGAACTGCCAAGTGATCAATTAAGCGGCGCTTCATATGCAATTTTGGGTGACAACTTCCTTCGTAGCGCCTATGTTGTGTATGACTTGGAAGAGTACGAGATCTCTTTGGCGCAGGCCTTCCATGGCAGTGAAGAAAATATTGAGGTGGTCACGAGCTCAATTCCCCTGGCTACTCGAAATGGTGGACCCCTGTCAAGGTCTTTAGCAAACATGAGTTCAAGCTCGCAATTGACGCCCACGGGGCAAAAACAGTTTACAGGGACCATCTCTTTTGCTACTTCAGTTCTGCTTGCAGTATTTGGAGTGTGTGTTCTTTTGGCATTTTAATTATAATAGCCCGTAAACTTGTTATATCTCAGAAATAAACACAAGCAGAATGCTATTGCTTTTAGTGTCGTGTATTGAACAAGGTCTTAGCTCTACATGTCTTTACCTGTCTAAAAATTCAGTTTCCTTCCATTCAATCAGTCTTGTGCTATGATTCACTTAATTCATTTTATGTTGTGTGCTTGATCATATCAAATTTAATGGTAGCAGGTAGAGTCCGGAAAACATATGCCCCACCAGTCGGCAAACCATTGAATTCCCCAACCGTCAAGCTCCACTGAATGCCACAGAATTGGAGTTCTTGGCGACACTGTTTATTGCCCTGTTTCTTGAAACAATAATAGAACGTTTGTAGTTGCTTTTGCCTAAACATGAGCAGTTTACAATCATTGATAAGCTTTTACTCTCGAAAATGTATCATTCTACGCTTTAAAAACGGAGGTGTAAGCATAAGGTACATGCGAGACTTCACCGTTGGCCTTTAAATTTTATAAGAAACGCTGCATTTGATGCTAAGTAATATTGTAAGAGGCAATGAAGCTTGGAGGTATATCGCTCGATAGAACGGTTTGATAACTCGCCAGAATTTTCTTTTTTCCTCTATTACTTTGAGCTGTGGAAAGACGCTACCATGATTCCGGGATTGTAAGCTCATCTGTGACACCTGTCACAAACAGATGTGGACATTTACGATGCATGTGGCTAGAAGTTCAAATTAAAAAATATTTGAGACGAATGGGCCAGCCCGGTTTTGCCTAAAAGAGAAACTATTCTGGTACAGGCCTTTTTTGGAAGCACCATTTTCATTGTATAATGATTTTCAAATTTGATTGAGACAGCGAAATCGACCAAATCCTTCATCAAGAATACTACACCGTAAAGAAATAAACAGTTGCTCAAACTTGAGACACACATGACAAGTAAATCGAAATAAAATATCTTGAGCCCTCGATTCAGCATGCTAGAAATGCAAAGGCGTCTGTTGATCTTCATAAATATCTTGAGCCAGTCAAGATCAATTGTTAGGATTTGTCCAAAAATCCGTTTTGACTGCGAAACAAAGTTGTCTCCGTCTGACATATAAACGAAAACGCGGCAACAAAATTTGAATCAAGACCGCTGCTGAAAGTAATTTCATATTTTCTAGAAACATTTGTCCTGGCAACAAACGTTTGATGATGGCTCCATTGTACACGTATGTTACAAGTCTAGTTGGCGGAGAACAGCCCGAAAATCAACGGCTATGGGCACACTGGTATTTGCAGGCGTCTTCAAGTAATTCTTGCGGTCACCAAGCTGTTCGCCGTCAGCCAAGAGATCGAGCCCTAGCATCAAACGAACGTTAGGATCGCACAACCTCAAAGCAAGTAAAACCGTGTAATAAGCGTCGTTTCCCGCGTTGTGCAAAAACGCAAAAGGCTGTTTGACTGTACGGAGTGCATTCAGCAAACTGGCGCCATGTAAGCCATGAGAACAGGCAAACAACTTCTGGGTGTCCAACTGCGGCACATTTTTGGGGACGCGGACGCCGATTTTTGCAAGGTAGTCGACGTCGTTGTGCACATCATGGCCCACAAACACGCAAGCAATGCCCGTCTGCTTGCCGAAGTATTTGTCAATGAGGCACTGCAAAAAAGCCTTGGCTTCGAGCAATGGAAGCAACATCAGCTGGCCTTCCATGAAGTTGTGCATATGGTCCGGCACGTACCGTCCGTTCCGCTTGTTTTGCAGCTGCTTGATGATGATGTGGTACGATTGCAAGACGGGCAAAAGTGCCATTGCCTGTTTTTGGGGGTCGTAGATCGAAACGCCAATTTCAGTCACGATTTGCGTGTTGCGCTCCCAAGCCTCGATGTCCACGCAGAATAAACGTGTGTTGCGCCCATAGACTAACTCCATGCTTTTCTGGATCTGGGAAAACTCGCTTTTGCTGCGGATTTTGCGGTTGCGGCTCTGATGGATGTGGTTGACATATTCATGGATCTGACGTTCGAAATTAGCTGGCGCCACGGGCTGCGTGCCAGCGCTCTTTGGTCCTCCATTCCCGCTTGAAGAGTGCACGCCGGAATCTCTACATCCTGTTTGTTGAGCCATAGTGTGTAATGATTGAAAAGAGAGTGACACTTGGGAAAGGGACGGGGCTACTTATATTTGTAAGTTCTGGAGGTGCCAAAAGATCAGAGATGCCGATGCGGCGAGGGCTCATGTGCAGAACGTGATGGATACTTTCAGGTCTTTGTCGGAGAAGCGTATGAGATGGGTATAGAATGCCAGGAGGGAAACCGATGAGATTTTTATTTCATATTTATCCACGTTTCTTGTTATATTGTGTTATTGTTGGTTTTTTACAATTCTTCAGCTTCCCTTGTTCTTGCTAATCCTATTCTTGTGATATCTCATTTATTTCAGACGCATTCTTGTGCCACTGTCAAAAAGGATATATCACATGTCTTCAGTCTTATTGTTCCAATCTTTCAAAGTAGCCGTTATTGTAAGCAGTACTCTGTTCGTTACCTTCATTTTTTCCAATTCATCATCCGCCTTGTTTTCTTGTTCTCTACATGAGAAGTCTCATTCATAGTAACTCATGCTATAATATTTAAATTATTGTTTCCAAAGCATATCGCTTTTGATTTTGCTAATTATTTTTTGCCATGCTGCTGGAGATATTATTGGAATAAACTTTACCTCGTGCCCCAGGATCTAACACCATGACTGCATCACTGACTACTTTCGATTGTCTATCATTTTGTTTTTTGTTATACCCATTCTATACCCACTCACATTGTCCTGATTGTCTTCTTTCTGGTGTATTCTATCCACATTTCTTTGTTCCTAATACGTGAAGTGTCATTCACTAAATTCCAGCACCTATCTTTTATTTTCGAAAGCGGCGCACCACTCAGACTCATGCATTGGGTCATGTCATCTGGCACTTTGAAATGCTTGTGTACTCCACACAATTTCCATAGTCACAATAAGAAAATTATATACAGCCTGTGGATTCTTTTATGTCTCTGTCAGAATGAGCTTCTTCATTGTTTGATACACAGACCTCCAACCATAAAGTAGCACCTGCACATACACGGCTCTCATAATACAAAGGTGATTTCTTACCTCACGTGTCACCAACAGATAAGCCTCTACCTATATTAAGCCCAGTTTAATGGCGCCAGTTCCTGACTGGCACTACTCAATCGTGAAGTTGCTGCCGGCGGTGAGGACCTTAGTACCTAAAAAAAAAAAAACTAATAAATGGTTACTTCTGACATTGAGCCTTGATTCCATGGCTTCAAGTTCCAATTACTGGGAATCGTCAGAGACCTATTTTGAGGTCCATGGCACCTTGGATTAGAGATCCCCGTTTGTGTGCTGTCTGAAATCCTCGTCGGCAAGCACATAAACGGCTTTATTCCTGGACCGTGGAAGACGTCTATATGCAGACACCAACCCGAGAGTATTCCGAACAGCCTGGCTCACACGTTACACCAGCAGTATGAATCAGCGAGAATCTCCAATACCCCTTGGCCATCGCACACTGCCTCAAATCCATATAGCTTGCAGTGACTCTAAGGAAGCCTTGGTGTATCGGGACACTCTCAGCTCCTATCCATTTGCTAGTGAAACACGTTTGCCCAGCCTCCAAATAAACAAAGGACGCGACGTGCCCAAATCAAGCGTTGGCCGGATCAAGACAAAGTCCTTACACCAGCACAAAGGCTTTTTTTGATTTCACTTGCGGCAGGCTTCAGAGCTCGCTGGATCAGCGCTTGCCCAGTCGGGCCAGCCAGCCACCGCACGCGCGCTGGCTGCAGGACGCGATTCCCGATCCGGCCAATTTGCGGCTGGAGCCAGCACGAATCGGGCCCAGTCTCAGCAGTTCTGGGGCACGGATCTGGTGCCTGGCGCGCCGCGGCTGTTTTGGACCAGCACCCCATGCACAAGGCTTGATCCGCGCCTGATCCGGTCTTATCTGGGGCTCTTTCCATGCAAGCAGGGCAGCATCTTTCCAACCAGGCCCTCAGTATATAAGAGACGGAGTTTCCGCAAGCCGGAATCTGGCGTGTTTCCATTTCTTCCCAATTGCACGTCGTTTTCCTGGTCCTTCGATCACCTGTCACTCCTTCTCACCAGATTTGCATAGCGAGGCACTACCGTCAGCCCCTCCGCTCCGACCGCTCGTCTTGCTTTTTTATCTGCCCCACAGCAAAAGCCATATTGCATCGAACCTGCTGCCAAAGTCTGTTTGACTGCCAGACCCAAAAGCCCGCTCCGACACCGCCTCAGGCCCATCAGACTGCCCGCGGTCCTGCATACCTCGCCGGCCTTTAATTACTTTGCCTTGCTGGAACCGACCTTCAAGACAGCTTCCAATAGGCCCTGTGAAGACAAACCACAGCCGCCCTGCCGCCCTGCCGCCCGCTTATCCAGCCCGCGTCTCGCTGCCTCATTCTTTGCGCCGCCTGCTTCTGAGTCTCCCCGGGCCCCGTCTCTGCACCTGTCTCTAGGCACAGCGCACCGTCTGCTTCCTTCTAGAAGACCTTGACGCCAGCCCCGACAGACCGCACCGCCACGCTATCGGAACCTTCCATCCGGGCCCGTTTTTTTTCAAGCCCGCCACTAAACCCCAGACCTGCGCCCACGCGAGCCGCGCCGTCTTTTTAAAGAAGAACCCCGGCACTCTCCGGCATTCTGCGGCGACCTCCGAGCATCCCCGAGATTCTCACCGGCGCCAGCACCAGCATCCTGTCCATTTTGCACCCAGGCAAAACCACCCACGCAGCGTGTTTCCTGCCCGCAAAATCCCCCCAGCTTGTTGGGCCGCCCCTCAAGCACAACAAAATACCATGAGTGTGCTCCGGCCGCCCATGTACCCGAACCAGCTCGACCGCCCCTTCGCCCCCGGCCGCGGCCATGGCAAAACGGCGTCTTTCGGCCAGCTCTTCTCCGGACTCACGAGCCAGCGGGCCGCGCGCAAAGTCCGCTCCGAGTCGCCGCACCACGCCGTGCCGCCCGGGCCCCGGGCCCCCAAAAAACGCAGGTCCCACGACGACGGCCACGCCACGCACGGTGCCCCAGCCGGGGAGCCGTTGCCCGCATTGAAAAGACCCCGGACCGTGCCCTCGCTGCCGATTTCCAGCCGGGCCTGCAGCCCCATGCACGTGCCGGTGCCCCCGCGGGCAGCCCTGGCCGGCAGCGTCACGTTGCCCAGTCTCAGCGACGCCTTGGGCCCGATGCCCGACGTGGCCGCGGGCCGCAAGCCCAGCCCCAAGGCCCGCCCGCCAACGGTGTCGCTCGACTACTTCGACACGTACATGCCCAACGACGAGCACTGGCGCTTCGGCTTGTTGGACTCGATCCGCCACTCCAAGCCCGCGTTCTCGTTGGACAAGTACGCGTATTTGAACCGGCACGCATGCGGGCAGCCGAACCTTGCCGCCAAGCCGGGTCCTCCCGCCAAGCCGTGCTTCGACTCGCGCACCAGCTGCAAGGCCGTGCCGACGTTTGCGCAGCGCAAAATCAACTTCCCCTACGAGTCCAGCTACACGTACTTGAACTCCACCTACCTCCACGACGTACAGAAGTTCCCGGAGTACATGGAATTGGCGCGCCTGCTAGTGCAGCTCTCGCGGCCGCCAGACGGCCTGCAGAGCCCCACCACGGAGGCCTGTTCTCTGGAGAGGCTCCCCACAAACGCCTATTCTCTGGAGAGGCTCCCCACAAACGCCCATGCCCACCCCCAGAAGCCCCCGAGCCCTCTGCACGCCGCCCATCACGTGGGCTCGCTGTCCACGGCGCGCCCGCTTCCCCTGTTTTCGCTGGGAGCCCACGGCACGCCCCAACACTCGTTCGAGGGCCGGCAGCACGCACCCCACGCCGGCAGCCACGTGGCCTCGCACCGCACGCACTTCATCCCCATCACCCCGCCGTCAGTCAAGGACAAGACGCGGCTGGAGTTGATGAAATCGCCGCCCCGCCCGGCCCAGGGCTCGCTGCGCATATGCATCTCCTGCGGCACAGACCTGTCGCCGTGCTGGCGGCCGTCCTGGAGCTGCCAGGAGGGCCAGCTTTGCAACTCGTGCGGCTTGCGGTACAAGAAGACCGCGGCCCGGTGCCTCAAAGCCGAGTGCAAGAAGATCCCCGCCAAAGGCGAGTGGGCCCTCATGCAGAGCAAGGGCACGACCACGTATGAGGACGGTAAGCTGGCTTACGGGTGTCTCAGCTGTGGGGGGCAGGTCGAGCTCAAACGGTAGGGCCCGGGTCCAACGGTGGTTCTTGGGAGATCCAACGGTGGCTTATGGGAGATCCAACGGTGGCTCTTAGGATACCAAGAGGTAGGACTCAGGAGGTCTCAGGAAGTTCCAGGAGGTCTCAGGAAGTTCCAGGAGGTCCCAGGAATTTTTAGGAGGTCCCAGGAAGTTTCAGAACTAGGACCAGTTAGCATATTCAGTTCTCGGTAGAAAGCGCGTATCGCGCTCAATTAATAGCATCACGACTGCGTGGATGTAGCGGCCAACACTCCTGTGGTCGAGAGGTGCTTTGCTCTGCCACTCTGGGCGGTGGGTGTTTCCGAACCGATTCTGCCGCATGTTGCCTATTCTGTGCTTGCTCGCTACGACCATTGCGTCTGTGGCTCTGCTAGGATTCTGCTTGAGCCTGGTCCCCTCTGTTGCTTCCACCAATTCCTTCGACCTCTTTGAATCTTGTGACACAAGACCCCGGTGTTCTCAGCATGCCTTGGCGCGATCAGAAATGGAAATCACTGGCCATACTTGTGTGGCGGAGCATTGAAATATACTTTCGACCCATGCATGGCTAACAAAACAAGGTTTCTCTCGCCACTGCTTCGAATCCTGCCACGAGGACTTTCTGGAGTGCTAGACCTTCAAATTTGTAGAGTGCTTCGACAGATCCCCGTTTCCACCTTGAAGATGGTCACATTGATGCTTGTTTAGTATGGGTGGCCCTCATTCCACCGACAGAAAACTCTTTACAATGGCGCCGGCTTGTGATCGGAGAGACCTGGATGCAGACATTAGACTTCAGGCTAGGCTCTCGTAGCCCGGCCGGTCATCACATTCAGCACGCTTAGGGTTTCTGAATACAGCCAGCAATGGAATGCGGCCCATCGACGAAAAGGCCTGGATGGGATACTTGGTGCAAAGCATAAACAAGGCGCTTGCCTTCGGAAGGGACATCACAGACCTTCATCTGGAAGGCATGGGCAGGCATTGTCCCAGAGCTGTTCAGTATCATAAGGTCCCGACGCATTGGCTGGTTTTAAAAAAACAGAGTTTGTCTGTCCGCCTGAATCATTGTCAAGACACGATGAAGCACACTGCCTCCCAACCCGTTTCTAGCCACTGTTTGGCTCAATAAGCTAGTTTGCATGATTTGCGAACATAGCTCGAATACCGTACTCACTTACTTTGGCAACGACAATTGAAAAAACAGCCTCTACATATGTTCGCCAAACTAGAGCTCTCGCCACTCCACGCAGATTCCCTTTGCCAACTCTCGGCCAAAATGGAGCTAAGCGCACAGCACTTCCCAGCCCGGCCCACCAGTGAACCTGCCCTAAAATTGGACCACTTTTTATCCCATTCTCCGAACTATCCGCCGCAAAAAAACAAAGTCTTCAACAGGGCTTCATCCACCTAAAAATACGTTTATACTTCTGATTCTGGTATCCAAACCCTCTGTCCCCATATCTGGGAAAATTAGCAGCTGCACACCCGTACCCCCAGCAGTGTATCAATCCAATGAACTTGTTCGCAGCCGCCCAACTGATGTTCCTATCTCAAATATATAATCAGCATTTCCGTGCTACACGCGTACGTTCTAGTAAAGTTTCAAGAACCTTCGATTATGAGACCGGCGCTTTTGTCATGGCACTTCTGCATGGTCGTCCGAGGTGTCACTGAGCAAGGCTCATAATTATAAAGTAGGAAGCGGCTTGGGCTTCCATCGAAATCTGGTTGGGCCTATGTAAATCGGCTTGTGCTCATGGAAATCGGCCTGGACTCATAAAAGACTGCTTGGCTACTCCCAAAACCTGCTTGGGCTGCCATCAAAATCCAGAAACACCTGGCACCTTCAAAACTCAACAACATTGAGCCAACGCCAAGTCTGGATTCTGAGGGTCCCTTGCTTTCCTTGCTGCCGGGTCTACTACCCAGGCCCTACAAAAAGTGCGCGCATTGCCAGCCATTGAAGAAACCCAGGGCCACCCCTCTTCTTCTTTTCTCTGGCGCGTCGACTTCCAAGACCACCCCCAAAACTTTGGAAAAGCAAAAGGGCTCAACAACATTCTCAAACACAAAATTGCCGCTCCAACACAAATTGCCCGCCACACAGCCGGCACCCGCGCTTTTTTCGCTTTTTGTGTCCTTGCCGCTTGCCCTGTCCTGTTTTTTTTTGCAGCCGTATCCCTGCCGCGCGCTTGCCTGGCCCCAACCAGCCAGGCCCCGGGCCCTAGGCCCCATGCAGCAGGCCCAGGGTCTGTCACGTGGTATCCGCCATGTAGGCATCCCTCACGTGGCAAGAGGAAAAAACTTCCGTACAGGGAAAGTTTTTTCCCTTTCCTTTCTTCCTTAAGGGTTTTCAGAGAATAGTAGTATCCTAAGGATCCGAAGTACCGTACATACTTGAATTGAGAAATCTGATACTGAAAGGGACCCCGGCCCCAGATCCCAGCGCGCGCTCGCCACCACGCGCGACCCTCCACTGTACCAAGAATTCCAAGCCCTTCCAACCACTCCTTCTTTTCCCACAAGAACCGTTGGCTCCACCCTGGCGTTAGTGTACACCCCCCTGTCCCGCCACCAAATCGCGCCTCAGATTTCTTTATTCCCATACCCACATCGCATAAACGCAGCTCTCAAAAATGGCCGTGATCACAGTCAAAATCAAGGCCTCCGGCGACAAGAAGCACGAGGTCCAGGTCGACACGGACGCCACCATCGAGGACCTCAAAACCATCATCGAGGCCGCCACAGAAGTGCCTGCGGCCAGCCAGAGGCTCATCTACTCCGGCAAGGTCTTGAAAGACGCACAAACCGTGGCTCTGTACAAGATCCAGAATGACCACAGCGTCCACCTCGTCAAGGGCTCGGCGGCAAAGGCCGCGGCTCTGGCGCTGTCCCCCGCGGCTATCTCCGGTACCGGGAACAGTGTGACCAGCTCGGGCGCGGCGCTGGGCGGCTCCACGCCGTCCGCAGGCACCCAGGGGACGACCGTGCCCTCCAACATTGCCGCCGGCCAGGGCTCGTTCAACCCTTTGGCGGATTTGACGGGCGCGCGCTACGCCGGGTACACGCAATTGCCCTCGGCCTCAATGTTCGGCCCCGACGGCGGTATGGGTGCGTTCCCGGACCCGGAGCAGCTCGAGGGCATCATGCTGAGCCCGGCGTTCCAGGAGCAGATGAATGCATTGATGCTGGACCCGCGCATGTTGGACATGATGATTGACCAGAACCCACAGTTGCGCAACATGGGCCCCGAGGCGCGCCAGATGTTGCGGCCCATGTTCCGCGAGATGATGTCCAACCCCGAGAGCATGCGGTCCATGATGAACATGGGCCGTGCGGCCCAGGCCAGTGGGCTCGGTGGAATGGGCGGTTTGGGCGGCTTGGGCGGCGCTGCCCCCGGCGACTCGTCGTTCCCTGCGCCAGGGTCCAACCCCACGGTCGAGGATGGCGCCGCGGCCACCGGCCCTGACTCAGGTGCTGGCTCGGGCGCTGGGGCCGCGGCCGCAAACCCGTTCTTGAACATGTTTGGCGGCAGTGCCGCTGGCGCGGGCGGGGCTCCCGGACTCAACCCCTTCGCGCTCGGTGGCCTTGGTGGTCTCGGCGGTGCCCCACAGGCCGCGCCCGTCGACAACAGACCCCCCGAGGAGAAGTACGAGAACCAGTTGAGCCAGCTCAATGAGATGGGGTTCTCGGACTTCGACCAGAACGTCGCCGCGTTGAGACGCAGCGGCGGCAACGTGCAGGGAGCGCTCGAGTTCTTGTTGTCAGGCGGCTTCTAGCCGGCGCAGACATTTCCCCGGGCCATGTCCTCCTTACATACATAACACAGTAACATGCTAGACTTGGACACGCTCCCGCGCGCCCCAGCCGCTGCACCATGTATACTGGAGGGCAGAAGGCGTGGAGGCAGCCCGGGCCGGTGCCGCTGGCCACGGGCGTGCGCGCACCGAAACATCACCACGGCACGCGCTCTAGGCCAACTACGCACCGCTGATGGCTTCCCAGCAGTCCCCACCAGAAGCACCGATTCCATGGCAGAAGACGTCCGTGCAGCAAGGGCCGCCCCCAACAAATCCCCGGATGCCCCGCCTGCATACACAGGCCCTGGCGCCGGCGAAAACACCTCAGATTCCTCCGCTTCGGCCTCACTAAACGGCTACATAGAGCCGCCCCGCCGCCAGCTCGGCCCGCACAAACACGCGCTCCATGAGCCGCTGCCCTCCTTGCAGTGCTTCTCGCCCGTTGACTTCCATCTCCGCAAGCTCGTCGGGCTCGTTGTGGCCAGCGGAAAGCACCATCCCAAGTTCACGGCAGAGTTCTTGGACGAAACCACGCAGCTCGCCGCGCAGTTTATGTCGTACTTCGTCGACTCGCTCCACAAGTTGACCGAGGTGCAGAGACACCGCCGGCCCGGCATCGCGGACCTCGAGATGTGTCTTGCCGCGCAGAACGTGGCGCCCTCGGAGCTCCACGAGGAATACGTCCGCACGCAAAAGCTAGATGCGCCGGCTCGGCGGCACGCGGACCGCGTCGACCGCGACTTGCAGGCGCTGCTACGAGCGTACCACGCGGGCAACTACACGTTGGACAAGGACGACCCGTCGCTCGTGTTCCATGCCAACGAGCAGCACGAGATCGCCAGCATCGTGCCCCGCCAGGCCACGCCGCGCGCGTACATCCCGCCGTACTTGCCAGACTTGCCCCCGGACTTCACGTTCACGCTGACGGGCCACTACATGCAGACCACCACGGACCTCAAGCAGATCAAGCTCCGCTTGGCCGAGGAGTCGCGGCTCAACGAGGCACTGCTTTACCGCTTGATCGACGACGACGAGCGGCGCTGGAAGGAGGCGCTCGAGACCGACTTGGCCCGGCTGGCGGCCTCGGACTCCGACAGCCACGCGGACGAGACTGCGGACGCGGCGGGCACGCCCGGGCCGGCGGAGCTGCCTCCCGAAAAGCCGGCTCCAGGCTCCCCGCAAGGCGCTTCCCCTGCGGAACCCACGCACGTGGCCGACACCAGCGGCAAACGGTTCGATTTCGTGGCGTACGCCCACAAACGGACTGCTGCCCGCGAGCGCCATGCCCGGGAAACGGCGCGCCGCCGCCGCTTGCGCCAGAGCAGTCTCTATATGAAAGCGGAGGCGGCGTTTTCGCCGTACGCAAATGCGCCGGCGCTGGGCGCCACGCGTGCGTTCTTCGACGGTGAGCTCGAGGGCTCGTTCCAGAGGGTGATCCGTGCCACGCGTGTGGCGGAGCAACAGAAGAAACAGCGGCTCGCCGAGCTCGCAGAAGAGCGGCGCCGGCGTGAAGAGGCACAGGCGGAACAGAACGGCGCGTTCGATTTCGGCTTCTCGTTCAACCCGGCGGCCAGTCTCCTGGACGACAGCGACGACGAGGACCGCGCGGAGACGACGGCGGAGTTTGATTTCGGCGACGCGCCCGAGGCCGCGGCCGGAGCAAATGAGCCCGCCCGTGCCCCGCACGATGCTCCGGAGCACTCCGTCGTGCAATCTGCGGAGAGCCCGGAGCCGCGGGCCGGCCAGGTTTCGGGAAAGGCGCCGCTCAAGGGGCCCTTGGGCCCAAGCGACGCTGACCAGGACATGCTGGTCGACTTGTCCGATGGCCACGGTGATCTCGAGGACGAACTTGAGCAGCATTTCGGACTTGAGTCCGAGGGCGGTCTGGTCAACAATGGATTGGTGCAGGGCAACCCAATGCGCTTTGACGAGCCCGACCCGGGTGCCCAAGGAGACGCGGATGTTGAGCGGGCCGCGGGGACAGCACTGGGGGAGCCCAAGGAGAAATCTGATCCGGGTGCCCATGTTCTGTGGGGAGACCTCGGCTCGGACGAATCGGAAGAGGACGAGCTAGAGGACGTCTAGATCCCAGAGAACCAGGGCTGTTGGAGGAGGGGATGGAGAGGGCACGGTCACTTCGCTACGTGGCTCATTTGGCCAGGAAGGCTGTATGCTTACCGATCCGCCAGAATCATGGACGGCGTGGCTGAATAGTTTTTGGGGGCCCGCAAAAAGAAAAAGAACACTCACACTACAAGATACACTGGCTGACTCCTACAGGAACTTCATTTTCCGAGCATCCTGAGCACACATCTTGTGGCCATGGCCCTCGCCATTATCGAGATGCTCGGGAGCTATCTAATGTCTGGGGCCACAGTCACTCTTCATGCAAATGACAGTGGTTCGCCCGCATGTTTCTACGGGACTCGGCTCCGAGCCCATGCCTGACTATCCGAGGCCCGCTAAGAGCTAGCCAAGCGGATGAGGCGCGCGGCGGCTTCACGGGCCCTGCACCCGTGCACCAGTCGTAATGCGTGCTTGGCGTACATGACCAGCACGAAGGACTGTCACTGTCCACTCTCCCATGAATTTCTGTCTTTCGAAGGAAGCTCAGAGTGTCCGCCTGTGCCCATCGGCACAGGTCTCTGGAAGCAGATATGCGGGCGCATTTGCGAAGCCACCCACCGCTAGCACCACCACCAGTACAACATCCGTGCACCCGCGGTGTTTTTCTGCCAGTCCGCGCAAGTCCCGGCTAGGTGTTGATACAACACTGCTATTCCCTACGAAAATCCAAAGCGCCAGCCGGTAGGTCTCTGTTTCCCCCATTTCCCAACCATTCTGCTCAAGCGTCTGAGTTCCGTTGTCAAGCATTCAATCACACGATCGTTCTGCCAAACAGCCCCGCGAAGTCGCCGAACACATCGAAACACGCACCCAGCACGTCTAAACACGGCGCCAGCACGCCACAAAGTCCGGAAATAATACTGCACACCCCATGACCAGCATATCACTTCCCGCTTCGGTGCCCTTTCCCGTCACCGTGAGCAGTGTGCTCTGTGTGGCGGGCGACACGGTGAAGAAACACGCGCCATTGTTCCGCTACCGGTACTGGGATTACCAGGATGACCCAATGGCATCCGAGGCCGTGCCGCGTAAGGTGCGCGTGGAACGCATTGGCAGCTTCGAGCTGCCCATAGAGGGGGAGGTCGTCTCGGTGAATATTCACCCGCAGAAAGAGATTGCTCATCTGGGAATCGAGCTTTACGTCATCAAAGAAACGTGCACGCACACGGTGCAATATGGTGGCCTCTGTGCACTTTGCGGCAAGGCTGTGGAGGATGAAAAGGACTACTCCGGCTACACGTACGAAGACCGCGCGCCAATCCTGATGGCTCACGACAACACAGGGCTCAAAGTGTCTGCAGACGAGGCGGCCAAGATCGAGCGCCTGGCCACGCAGACACTCGTGAGCGCACGCAAGCTCATCTTGGTCGTGGACTTGGATCAGACTGTGATCCACGCGACCGTGGATCCCACCGTTGGGGAGTGGCAGCGCGATCCGCAGAATCCAAACTACCCCTATGTCAAGGATGTGCGCTCATTCTCATTAGAAGAAGAACCCGTCCTTCCGCCAGGATGGACAGGTCCAAAGCCAGCACCCAATAGGTGCTGGTACTACGTGAAAGAGCGACCGGGACTCGCGGAGTTCTTGGCGCGGGTCTCACAGTTGTACGAGCTCCACATTTACACCATGGCCACGCGCAACTATGCCCTTGCCATTGCACAAATCATCGACCCGGATGGGCGATACTTTGGTGACCGTATCCTCAGTCGAGATGAGAGCGGGCTGCTCACGCACAAGAACTTGCGGCGACTCTTTCCTGTGGATCAGCTGATGGTGGTAATCATCGATGACCGTGGGGATGTGTGGCTGTGGGAGCTGAACTTGATCAAAGTCGTGCCCTACGACTTCTTCGTAGGTATCGGCGATATCAACCTGAGCTTCTTGCCGAAGAAGAATGGCCAGCTTCTAGGGCCTTCCAAGCACGGAAAAACCGTGGCACGTCTCGAGGCCTTGGAAGACAACTCAGAAGAAAAAGCGATTGAGGATGCTTCTGAGGCAGAGGACAACAACGAAAGAATGGAGGTTGAAACTCAAGTCTCAGCCAGTTCAGGAACTCCCGCTGAGACCTCTACGGAAGAATCCGGCCCGAATGAAACATCAGAAAACGCTTCTCCTGTGGATAGAATGCTCCACTTAGGTGGGGGCGAGGATAACAAAGACTTATTGATAGAACAGCTGATGACCCGTAGCCAGCTAGTCGAGCAACAGCAGCATGATCGCCCGCTTGCAAAGCTACAACATAGCTTGGAAAGGATCATTCATGAGCACGACAAGCCTTCTCCGAAGAATGACGATGACGAGCACCTCCTTCGTGATGATGACACTGAGCTTTCGACCTTGAAGAGCGCTCTAGAAAACATTCACGAGGAATACTTTAGAATATTCTCGGTGCACAGCAAAGATCCCAGCATCCCACGCCCTGACCTTACGACGATCGTCCCTATGCTTAAACTGAAGTGTCTTCAGGGAGTCGTAGTGTTGTTTTCTGGCATTCTTCCTCTTGGTATGAACATCGACAACGCAGACATCGTAATTTGGTGCCGCCAGTTCGGCGTGAAAGTCGTCAACGAGGTGTATTCAGAAGTTACGCACGTCGTGTGCCGCGATCCCAACGCCACTGTGGCTAAAGCCGGACTCACACTCAAGGTACGTGTTGCGAAGAAATCTATCCCCGGGGTGAAGATCGTCAGCCCGGACTGGCTCTTCGCCTGCTTGAGCCAGTGGGCAAGAGTGTGTGAAGACGACTTTGCTATTGAGCTTCCGGATAAAGATTGGTATGTACCCCAGCTGGATGTGGACAAGTACCATATTGCGCTTGAGGTTCAAAGACAAAAGGCGTTGAGCCGAAGCATGGGCCATTTAGGGCGGCCGCGTGAGGACTCCCTATCAGCAATCGAGGACTACGATTTCAACGATGCCAACGCCGAGGTGGACGATTTCCTAGCGGGGCTCAGTGACGACGATGACGAGAATATTGATGAGAAAGACGAGGATGCCGATGTCTCGGAGAAAGAGGACGAGACGCCAGCTCAACCAAGTGGATCTCTGTTTCTCAAGGGATTAATGAGCGAGTCACGACAAAAGAGAAGGGCCAATGAATCCGAGGATGATGACTCGGAGAGTCCTGAGACCGATGTGGGCGCAAAACGAAGAAGAACAGAGAACACTCAGGGTAGCTTTGACAGCCCTGAGGTGATGGGAGACTCAGAAGATATGGATGAACTCGAAAAGGAGCTACTTGACGAGTTGGACAATATGGATTGAGAGTGAACATGTTATGTGCGTATACACTCGTCTTGGCAAAAACTACGTGGTAAAAATTTTGCTAGGGACGGGTCGGAAACCCCTGGAATTGATTTCCCTGAGTTTCGCCAGTTTTCAGCAAAAATCCACATGTCTGAGCATGGATGTTTTGATCACGATAATATTCCTTTCCGTGGAAATAGCGCATGCATGCCCCGCGTCTATAAATAATTTCGAGGCTGATGGGGCGTACATCAACAGTGTGCTGGCGGCTTGGTCGCGCGTGCAGGAAGATCGGAACGATCCAAACGGCAAGATGCTAAGAATACACCACGAAAGCACTCTTGACCATCTTGGTTGTCTCGCCACAATCCTTGCATTACTATCCAAAACATCTCACGCACAGAGTAGTTTGATCTCAGAATTCGGACTTCTGCCTTCTGGATACACAGCTAGATATACACCTTCATATATTCCAGATCGGGTTCAGCAGGCTGTGGTTACAGTGAATAGTTGATTTGTATAATCCGACTATTTCGAGAACAGCATTTAAAGCCACTTTCTTCTTGATTGGGCTGCTTTGACATACTTAGAACTTCGTTTCAAGGCAAAAGAAAACCGTGTCTTTCGAGAAAGTATCCACCATCTGACATTTCACTTCATGTTCTTCCGAATCCTAGTTCTCTTTTTCACCACCGCCACCATTGTGCTTCTGGCATGGTCGTTGGTTGGCTGCTATAAAAACGAAAGCTATCTCACCAACAATTATCTCATCAGCTTGCAGGTCTCGAACTTAAACCTTTCCACGCTTTTTGAAGATACGTCATTTTTCTCCAAGCGTGAGTATGAGCATGCAAAGATTCCAGTTGACATTCTTCAAGACGAGCCCACTAAGACTTTGAAAGCAAGAGATAATGATATTTCTTCGCTTGCAGCGCAGATTACGGGAGCTACCTCTCTAGTAGGTAATCAGAACTCCCTCATTACAGCGGTCGCTTCCATGCTTGATAATCCTACCTCGGAATTGGCAAACGCGTTAACCGACGCGGATACGAGTAGCTTGATATCTGAGGCCCAGGCTGTAGCTGCCACGGCCTCGATTCCAGACTCCATCGCCACACTTGTTTCCGAAATCTCGGGTGATTTCTCATCCGCCCTTAATGATATCATCGCTTCTGCCAGCCCTTCTGATTTGGGTCTTTCAGATATGTATTCGGTGGGCTTTTACGGATACTGCAAAGGGGAACTCACGGGCAATGTGACGGACTACTCCTCTGAGCTTGGCGAACTCGGCAAACAATTTCGAAATGACAATGTCAACTACACATATTGTTCAGCTCCTGAATTTGGATACAAGCTTGATCCTTTGGCCCTTATCAAGCACGAGATGATGGAACAAATCCAAAATTATGGAGATGGCTTGGCCACTTTGAGCCCCGGGCTCTCCGATTTGTTTATCTCTGAGTTGCTGACCGTGGCATCCTCGTTGACATACGAAAACTTGGGCCTTCCGGGCAATTTGAAGCAGGATCTCGGAATGCTCAACAGCGTGACCATTGCCGGGTTTTCTCTTATTTTTGCGGGAGCCTGTCTATCATTCGTGTCGTTTGCTTTCCAGATGGTGGGTCTTTGCTGCTCACCTGGAAATATGTGTTTGTCATTGTGCAACTTCTTGCTCATGTTTCTTGTGGCATTGATCGTCATCATTGGCTCGGGGCTTACTACAGGTGTCTTTTTGTATGTAAGGAACACTGTGAATCAAGACCTAGATGATTTTGGGGTCAAAACATACTTGTCCCAGCAATTCTATGCGTTTGCCTGGAGTGCTGCAGTGTCGGCGTTGATGTTTGTTGTTTTGAGTATCATTGGATATTGCTGCGGATGTTTTCATCCACGTCATAGAAAGCCCAACAGAAGCGAGCCGGAGGTGTGGTATGACCACAAGATGTGAGTTTGGTCTTACTAGCTTTTAGCTTGACACAGAACAGTCCACTCGGCAAGTTTGTCTTGATTTCTTGTCATCTATTCGCAAACAGGCACCTACCAATGGTATCATTTATTGTCATAGACTGAGATTAGTTTAGAGTTTGAACTGATTGCAAGTGGCGGAAATGTCATATTCTTGCTCGAGATTAGTTTCTGGGATTGACTTACAAATCTGATCACACCCGGCTTCTGGAAGTAAAAATAGTATTTTCAAATGGTGAAGACCAAGTGAGAAAGCTGACAGCCTGGCATTCTCTAATCCCTTTTGAATGATTACACTCTACCAAGCATTTGGATAGACACTTCTATTGACGTAAAGGAACCCCAAACCCCAATTAATAATTTACGCATTGGTAGTTCTGTAAGAGATTTGCAGTTTTTGTCCAGGAAAACTAATGAAGCAGATCTATTCAGTTCTCAAGCCTTTTATATTATTTTGTTGGCAGTGATACTGAGGCAGCATGTCTGGGATCGAGTTCATTGAAAGCATCCGGCAGCTACCTGGAACAAGAGCCGAGACAAACTAAATAGTCATGGCGAAACGATTCCCCCGCACAGCCCTGAATTCGAAGATGCCATACTATTGAGTAACTTTGACATGTTAATTCCGAAGCAAGCCCTGTTGGATCCAACAATTGCAGTTTTTGAGGAATCAATAGCCCCGAATTCAAAGATTCCATACTATTGAGTAACTTTGGCATATTAATTCCGAAGCAAGCCCTGTTGGATCCAACAATTGCAGTTTTTGAGGAACTAATATGAGAATAGATCCCTGAGAATAGATTCCTAAGGGTAGTTGCGAATAGTGCGTATTGTATGCATTGAGTATAGGTTCGAGAATGGTATTGTAGGGGAAACAACACGGTCGTCAGGGACCGATCCTCAGACAAGGAATTTTGATGACTGGCAGCTCCAGAGATCCATGAAAACATTTCGGCACTACAAAATGGGTAATATAGTTGGGACTGCTTCACGCGGACATCGATGCTAGAACTAAATCAGACCAACTCGGAGCTTGTGAAGTCAAAACGCACGACGTGAAAAAGAAAACAAAGCTTTGGGAGGATTTGGTCACAGCTGAACGCAACCGCATGAGCGGTCGATAACTGGCGAATTGCACCGGATGTCCTCGCTCCTCCATGGTGCTTTGCTAACATTGCAAATAAGAAAAGAGACCATGACAAAAAAGGAAAAGACGAAGGAAAGTAGAAAAAGCGTCAAAACAAATTCAAAAAAAGGCTGGGAAGAAAACAAAAATGCAGTGGGCCCGGCTGATGTGTCAAAGGAAGACGGACATTGCAATAAAAATATATCATGGCTCGCCCGTCAGGCCCGTGATCGTGCGCACCTGTTTTCGCACCTCAGCTTCCCAGCATCTCACCAGACTAGGCCGCTGAACACCGAGGAAAAACAGGCAAAAAAAAACCGCCAATCTCGCAAACCACCGAGCCTGGGAATTTCAATACGGCGCTTGGACTGCTGGCCTCAAAAAGTACACACAACCCGCCGGGATTTCCACGTCACACGCAAGTCCTCTTGTCATCAGTTGTACTCTCATAACCACCAGCGAACCGCCCGAAAAATGCTCTGTGCTATCTCCGGCACGCAAACAGCAGACCCCGTGGTGTCTCCCAAAAGCGGAGGCGTTTTCGACCGCAAGCTTGCGCAGGCCTACGTTGCCACATCCGGAAAAGACCCGCTCAATGACGAGCCCTTGGCAGTGGAAGAACTCATCGGCATTTCCAGCGGCGGGCTCCCCGTGGTCAGCGTGCCCCAGCCTGCGGAATTCCACTCCATTCCGACCATGCTTGCCGCGTTCCAAAACGAATGGGATGCCTTGGCCCTCGAGGTCTTTACGCTAAGAAAACAGCTCCACAGCACGCGCGAAGAGTTGAGTATGGCGCTCTACAAGTACGACGCGGCCGTCCGGGTGGCCGCTAAGGCCATGCGGGAAAAGGAGGAGGCGCAGCAGGCCCTCCAGCAAATCGCCGAGACCTTTGCCTCGGAAAGGGGCGGGGAAAACAGAAACGAAGAGAACGAAGGAATCGGAGAGAACGGAGAAATCGGAGAAATCGGAGAAATCGGAGAAATCGGAGAAATCGGAGAAATCGGAGAAATCGGAGAAATCGGAGATAACGGAGATAACGAGGGAATCGAAGAGAACGAACAAATCGAAGACAACGAACAAATCGAAGACAACGAACAAATCGAAGGAATCAAAGAAATCAAAGAAACCAACGAAACCAAGGAGAACGAAGAAATCAAAGAAACCAAAGACACCAAAGACAGCGGCGCGGAGACCTGCGCCACGGTGCTAGCCCAGGCCCGCGAGGCGCTCTTTGCCCTCCACAAGCTGCAGAAGTTGCTGCTTCCCGTCACGGCCCAAACGCGTGTTTCGGTGGTCAGAACAGAAAAGAGCCTGGGCGTGTCCCACCCATTGCGCCTCACTGTCAACGCTGCCAGCGGCGAGGAAATACTAGCCAGCGAGACCGGGACCCTCTGTCTCCCGGCAGGCGAGCAGCGGGCGGCTTTCCCCGCAGTGGTGTTTCTAAACGAGGCCGGCCGGTCCTTCGCGGCAGGCGTGAATGAACGCGGGCTCGAAATGCTAGCGACAGGCGAGAAACACGCCGTTGCCCTCGGGGATGTGCGCCAGGTCCTCACCCACCCCAGCGAGCCGTACTTCGTGGCGGTCACGTGCCGCGACACCTGGGTCTTTGGCGGAAAGAACGGCATCATCCACGCCTCCGAGTCGCCGGGCGCCATTGCCGCGGCCGACATCCACGTGGACGGCATGTTGCTTGGGTTGGCGGTGCCCGGCAGAATCGACATTGTCGACTTGGCGTCGTTCTCGGTCGTTTCGGCGATTGCCGTCGCCGACTTGAAGGCGGTGTCGCGGATCCACTTTGCCTGGAACGGCTACTGGCTTCTTGTCTGCGGGACCACGGCCGCGGGCCGCGGCCAGGTGCGGGTCTACGACTTGCGCAAGAGCTCGTTGGTGCAGACGTTCCAGGGGTCCGCGGAGATGGAGTTTGCCATCGACCCGGCGTGCCAGGTTGTGCTGATCTGTGACCGCGCCACGCAGAGGCTCCATGTGCACTTGTATGCGAAGAAGGGCAAGACATGGGCCGAGGACGCGCACGTGGAAGAATGCGGCCTGCTTCATGGGCTCCAAGTGGCGTCCTCGCCGGAGGACATTCGGCTGAAAAAGACGGTGACGATGGCAGGCTTGCAGGACGACAAGATCGTGTACTTGGAGATGTCCTTGGAGTGAGCCCCGGCCCTGGAGTAAGCCCCGGTGCTTTTGGCGAATCGTTCCCACCGGAGCTCAGCACGTGGCGTGCGGGCCGCTACTTTGAGGTTCTCGTGTCACTGATGGTCCGCACGCTTTTGGCCGCTTTTTTTTTCTCGCGGCTGACGGAGCCAAGGACGGACCCGCCGCTGGTGCCAGGCCCCGGGGATGTTCTGCAAAGGAAGGACTCGGGTGCAGGTTTGCAGTGGACCTTGAGAAAGTGGACTGGTCGCCCAGGGTGCCAGGCCCATGGGGTGTGGAAACCGTCCACTTGGTTGCGTCTAGTTTTGACGGGTGCCGGCCGCCGCGTTGTGTCCGGAAGAAACCAAATTGGGCCGGCCGGGATGCACTGTCTATAAAAAGACACAGAAGCCGCGTATGCCTTTCCTTGTGGCGCCTCCTTGGACTTGTTGCTGCCGCGTGGGAAACGCCGTTTCCATTTCCATGACTTGCCCCTCCAGACAACGAGCAAAGCCACTGTTGGTATGAGATCCAACGCGGCGTGCTCGATTGTCACGCAGTCACATCAAGGGGACAGGCAGCGATGGTTGAACACATGGGGAAACGGTAAAGGATCGACAAAGTGGATCGACAAACGGTAGACAAAGGGGGCCGACAAAGTGGATAGATCCCGGGGATAAATGACGCTCCACGCTTCCCGACCGTTTTTTCGCCGGCTTGTTGTCTGTACTTCCTTTGCTGCTTCCCTCGCCGGCACTTCCGTCGGCCACGCAGAATAACCCACATAGCACAGTATACACGATTCTACGGGTTTTACGAATGTGACGGCATCGAAGTTTTGATCAGTCGGGAGCTTGGACACCCCTGGACAATTGTGGGGTGCTTACCATCTTTTCTTGGACACTGTAATGTTCGCCACTGGATTGTTCTATTTCTTGGTGCCTGCAATTATGTACTTTAGCAGGTGTTTACCTTGGGCGGTTGTCGACATCGACACATCAAAAAATCAGCATATATAACGTATGCTAAGCCTGATGCTACACCAGTTTTAGTTACATCTTTCACTAGAACAGATATTCTCATTTCCTTACTAGTAGTAAGATGCTCTTTCCATTACAACTCTATACCATTATGGATTAAAGTAGCTTGTGCCCTGTACCTGAAGGTAGGATATCTTCTTGGGGTGTACTTCAGTACAATAAAATGGTTATTATCTAGCAAACCACACTTTAATCAGGACTCTAATATATTCTGAGATAAATATGTACAAATGAATTATTCAACTACCATTGTCATTAATGTTATCTTAAAGCAGACCTTCAATAAAGCCACCTAAAATTCATTCATTCATCTTCATTTAAAATCGTGCGACATTCTATTTTCATTTGTTTGTTTAGCATGATATTATTATATTACTTCGGGAGTGCAGGATGTACTCAGCTCTTAATGAGCATTTATATCGATTAGGTCCGAAACAATAACTATGTAAGTAACCTGTGCTCTCCACTGATGGTTCGAATATTAAGTTGATTGATGCTGGATCTTTCAAATATCGTATGGTCTCAATCTACCATTACTTCTCCTGGCTTTTCAACTGAGGCCTAAGTCCTCTTTTTCTCGATGATAGATCTACACCTGTTTGAACCTAACCCACAGATCTAGCTCATTCCTCGATTGTTATTCTTCAAAATAATGAAGATCCACGTATGATCAATTCCATAGGGCTGGCTCACTCACTGAATTCATTTGTTCTTTACTTGATCGCTAAACCTCTGCTTCTGATATCCCTGATTGCTTCTTGATGATATCACAATGACGAACCTTATTTATTCAGGCATGGCGAATTCAGCTCCACGAACACGAACGTGAACATATCGGCTGATTTACTATAATCGGTCTGGCACGACGGCATCCATCTGTTTCTCAAGTACCACCCAAAGCATTTGCTTAGCTTATATATCGTGCCCCCATGAAAGCCACTAATCTCTCGTCTATACCCGGTCCTGCATATACGTTCACTACAACTGGATACTAATACATCTGAAACTCGGAGCTCCGTGCTTCTACAAGATCCAAAACGGCAAAGTCCCAGGCAAAAAAGCAGCAGGAGCGCCTCCGCCGGCTCCACTCTTGTTGTCTGTGTTTTCTTAGGTGCTTTCCTCGCCGGCCCTCCGCGCGGTACTTCCGTCGGACATGCCGGGCGCCGCGCCGCGCCATCTCTCCGCAATCTTAAGAATCCAGTACTCACTTCTTCTTCAAACATCAGCAAACTGGCCCCAGCTCTGGACACCACTTTGCAAACCACACCAACACGCAGGATCTCCCCCAGCCCACCGCCCACAGAAACTACCCGCCATGGCGCTGCAGGACAAGGCCCACATCGACTCCTTGGTCGAACAATGGCTAGCCGTGGACATCAATGAGGCGCTGAGAGCCGAGATCCAGCGCCTCCACAGCGAGGGCAATTACAGCGTGCTTGCCGCCAAAATGACGCCTCGCATAGCCTTCGGCACTGCCGGCCTCCGCGCGTCCATGCAGCTGGGATTTGCGCACATGAACGACGTCACGGTTTTGCAGGCCTCCCAGGGCCTCGTCAGCTACATTTTGCAGCACACGCCGGCGTCCGCGGCGTCGCTCGTTGTGGGGTACGACCACCGGCACCACTCACAGCGGTATGCGGAGATTACCGCCAGCGTGGCGGTGGCCCGCGGCGTCAAGGTGTACTATCTAGGTTCTGTAGACACGCTTTCCGAAGAGTCGGCGGGAATAGTTGGGGATAGAAACGCGGCGGGAAACGCCGGCGATATTAAAGTGGCTGGAAACGCCGGCGACACAAGATTGGCTGGAAACGCCGGCGACACAAGATTGGCTGACAACGCCGGCGACACAAGATTGGCTGACAACGCCGGCGACACAAGATTGACTGAAAACGCCGGCGACACAAGATTGACTGAAAACGCCGACACAAAACCACCGGGAACTGCCGCCGGCGCGCCCGACCGTCTGTACGTGCACACGCCCTTGGTGCCCTTCGGCATCGACCACTTCGGCGCGGCCGGCGGCGTCATGGTCACGGCGTCCCACAACCCGGCACGTGACAACGGGTACAAGGTCTACTACGGCAACGGGTGCCAGATCATCCCGCCGCACGACGCGGCCATCGCGCAGAGCATCGACGCCAACCTCGCGCCCTGGTCCGACCGCAACGTGTGGGACATCCGGGGCAACTTTGCCGCGGCCGTCCGCCGCGGCTTGCTCGTGCCGGCCAAGCACATGCTCTCGCAGATCTACGTGGACGCCGTGCTCGCGCGGCTCGCGGGCGACCGCAAGGTGTCCTTCGGTTTCGTCTACACGCCCATGCACGGCGTGGGCGGCGAGATCTTCGGGCGCGTCTGCGGCGAGATGGGCGTGCGTTTCGACACGGTGCGCGAGCAGGCGGACCCGGACCCGGACTTCCCGACGGTGCGCTTCCCGAACCCGGAGGAGCACGGCGCGCTTGACTTGGCCATGGCCCGGGCCCAGGCCCAGGGGCTCAGGTTGGTGGTGGCCACCGACCCGGACGCGGACCGGTTCGCCGTGGCCGTGCAGACCCGGGCGGGCGCGTGGCGCCAGTTGACGGGCAACGAGGTCGGCACGCTCTTCGCCGCGTACGTGGTGGAGGAGCTCGTGCGCAAGGACCAGTTGGCCCGCACGTGCCTCGTCTGCTCCACGGTGTCGTCGCAGATGCTCCGCGCAATGGCCGCCGCGGCCGGGTGCCGCTTCCAGGACACCTTGACCGGGTTCAAGTGGATCGGCAACGAGGCCATTGCCTTGAAGGCCGCGGGGTACGCGGTGCCGTTCGGCTACGAGGAGGCCATCGGCTACATGTTCCTGCTCGTCAACGACAAGGACGGCATCTCCGCGTGCGTGGTGTGGATGCGGCTCTACGAGCGGTGGTTCGCCTCGGGCTCTACCGACCCGTTGGAGAAGCTCGAGCGCCTCTACGCCACGTACGGCTGGTTCAAGGAGTGCAACGGCTACTACAAGCTCGACGACGTGGCGACGACCGCCCGCATCTTCGATGGCCAGATCCGCGCGTCCTACGACGCCACCTGCGACTACCCGCGCACGCTCGGCGCCTTCAGCGTGCTCGAGTGGCGCGACCTCACCGTGGGCTTCGACTCCTCCACGCCGGACCGCCGGCCGGTGCTCCCCACGGACGCCAGCGCCCAGATGATCACGGCGGTGCTCCGGCTTGCGGGTGCCCCGGGCGAGCCCGACGGCGACACTGTCCGCTTCACATGCCGCGGCTCCGGGACAGAGCCGAAGTTGAAGGTCTACATCGAGGGCCTGTCGAGAGCGAGCGGCGAGCGCGCCCTGGCGTTGGCGAGAAAGTGCTGGGACACCTTGCGGGAAGAGTGGTTCAAGCCTGCCGAGAACGGGTTGGAGGAGGTGTTGTGAGGACAAGCCAATGGCGGTGGAACACATGGCTGTGGAAACACACTGTGGAATTCATGACTGTGGAATTCATGACTGTGGAGTTCATGACTGTGGAAATACATGACTGTGGAAATACATGACTGTGGAATACATGACTCTGGAAACACACTGTGGAATTCATGACTGTGGAATTCATGACTGTGGAGTTCATGACTGTGGAAATACATGACTGTGGAAATACATGGCTGTGGAAATACATGACTCTGGAAACACACTGTGGAATTCATGACTGTGGAAACACACTGTGGAATTCATGACTGTGGAGTTCATGACTGTGGAAATACATGACTGTGGAATACATGACTCTGGAAACACACTGTGGAATTCATGACTGTGGAATTCATGACTGTGGAAACACACTGTGGAATTCATGACTGTGGAATTCATGACTGTGGAGTTCATGACTGTGGAAATACATGACTGTGGAAATACATGGCTGTGGAAATACATGACTCTGGAAACACACTGTGGAATTCATGACTGTGGAATTCATGGCTGTGGAATTCATGACTCTGGAAATACACTGTGGAATTCATGACTGTGGAAATACATGGCTGTGGAATACATGGCTGTGGAAATGCAAAACATGACAATGGCGATGCAGCTCCAACAGAAAGCTCACAGGCTCAGGCCGGGCCTATTGGACAATAAAACACGCTCGGCACAAAAAACATCGTGCCAAAATAAAACCAGGACTCAAGGAAACATACAGTGCTGTCGGCCATACTACAATAAGGACCTCAGGCTGGGGCCCGCGTCGCGTGCCAGCGTCCAAGGCCCTCTCTGGTTTTTCGGCTCACATCGGCACTACATGGCCAATCCTGTCCGCCGGCCACTTCGAAGCTGGCTCCTCTGCCCCGCCAGCCGCCTTTCACATGGCTCCAAAACATGGCCTTCCAGCTGGGTCCACTACTGGCTGTGCCGGCAGCGCCGCGGACCTGCATGCGCCGCGAATGTTATTGGGCGCTAACACCTGTGCTTTTTTCTGGCCGCCAACATCCTACAAACCGTGATTCCTTCTGTCCACAATACCAGAACACAGGCCATGCCGTCGCTCAAACGCAGTGACTCGGACTTGCCGATGTATGTCGAACCGCAAGTGGAAATACCCAGGCTCTTTGGACTCGCATCTCCCGTTCGGTTTCAGGGACACCTGCGCGATCTTGCCAGCTGGAAACGCCACGAACGCATGAATGAAAACAGCAACATTCGCGGAACAAAATACTAACTCCCGCAGCTACAAGAAGAAGCTCCAGCCGAGGCGGCCCGGGCGTGGCATGCATAGAGCCGCGTGGGTCTTGTGTGTGTGTCTACTATTCCTCTGGTTTTTGGGCGGCCGACTCAACCGTCAGAACGGGCAGCTAGGCCAGGCGCCAGCACCTGAGTCGGCCCCTGACGCGGGGGACACGCACCGCTTGTACACCGTGACCAAAGATGGGGTCACCGAGGAAGACACAGGCGAGGCCGCAGAGGAATACAGCGACAAGATGTTCAAGGAAACGGTCGAGTTCTTCGACCTCGACAACTCGCTGGGAGCTCGGAGGAAGGGGCCGGACGGCGAGGACACGGACGTGGTGTTGTTCTTGATGCCGCTCAGAAACGCAGAGCACGTGTTGCCCATGGCCTTCCACAACCTCATGAACCTCACGTACGACCACTCCTTGATCGACATTGCGTTCCTTGTGTCGGACTGCTCCCCGGGCGACACCACCTTGCAGACCGTCTTCGATTTCTCCGTGGCGCTCCAGAACGGCACCTTGGCGGACGACATGCTTTCTGCCGAGCAGGCCAAAAAGGACAGCAACGTCAAGGGGACGAACGAACTATACCAGCTCTACATGGACCAGGACTACATGGACAATGTGCACAGGGCATACAACTCGCCCGAAAGCTACCACAAAGGCTACAGGACGCCGTTCCGCTCTGTGTCCATCTACGTCAAAGACTTCGGGCAGGTGGTAGGCCAGGGCTTTTCTGACCGCCACGCGGTGAAGGTGCAAGGCATCCGCAGAAAGCTCATGGGCCGCGCACGCAACTGGCTCACCGCCAGCGCCCTACAGGCAGACCACTCGTGGGTGTACTGGCGTGACGTGGACATCGAGACGTGTCCTGGGCTGGTGATCCAGGACCTCATGAAGTTCGACTATGACGTCATGGTGCCCAACATCTGGCGCCCGCTTCCCACCTACTTGGGCGGGGAACAGCCCTACGACTTGAACTCGTGGATAGAGTCCGAGCCCGCGCTCGAGTTGGCCAAGAAATTGGATGAGGATGATGTCATCGTGGAAGGCTACGCGGAGTACCCCACCTACCGGGTGCACTTGGCATACATCCGTGATTCTGAGGGTAATCCTGACGAGGTCGTGGATCTCGATGGTGTCGGAGGTGTGTCGATTCTTGCGAAGGCCAAAATATTCAGGCAAGGCGTGAATTTCCCGGCCTTTACTCTCTGGAACCATGCCGAGACCGAAGCGTTCGGTAAGTTAGCCAGGCGCATGGGCTTCAAGGTCGGTGGCTTACCGCACTACACGATCTGGCATATCTACGAGCCCAGCGAAGATGACTTGAAGCACATCGCGCAGCTCGAGCGCAAGAAGCGCAGGGAGAAGAAGCACTAGACACACTCGTTTCGCCTAACGCTCTTTCTCCCTTGGTTGCATGGTCCTGAGATATCCTGAGATATCCTGTGCGATGTGAAATCGAACGATGTGAAAACAAAGCTTGGGGCTTGGTCACTTACGTATGCTCAGTCGCAATATCCCTGTTGTGCGCATGCCTTTCCAGTTAGTCCGCCAAGCTACGTTATCCAGCACTCATAGCATATTGTTTGTCTTCATTCTGAGTGTTGATCAACACGCGTTCATACTCCTGAACAAGACCCTCAACCCTGTTCAATGTGTCTCGACCGCAACCCCAGAGCCCCCGGGGTTTTAGATAATCGAGGAGTTCCCAATGTTCTGCAAACCTATAAAGATGGCTCGATGCCCTCTGACTTTGCCGCGTGTATGATCGCAGGGCGCACTGCTATCTACATAACAATATCAATAATTAACAATCTTCCATTCTGCAATATCATAACCTTGCGAGCATTATTGCACACCATTACTTACTTCGGTATTTGCGATTGTGGTAATGACTTCGTTCACTTTCAGTTCGCCCAAGCGAATTTCAAAATACCCTGGGCAGGAAATATGGCGCACCCACTCCATCCCTTCTCACTTCTTGAATGTTCGATGATATGGAGCCTTCAATAAATTTGGGTTTCGCTATGAAAAATAAAGGCACTGTGGACATTGTGATCCCTCAATATGCCAATTTGGATATTGAGACGACTTGCTCAATTTGAACCCAAAAATCGCATACGTGGGAATACCACATTAACGGATATAAATAGTAGTGGAATCCAGCTCAAACTTTTTCACGATCAATAGTATTAACCACATAATAAACTCAATAGTGAATTAATGTATTTTGCAAGCCACATTGAATCCTCGGTTCTGTTTTGTTTTTTTCAATTTCAATCGATATGCCGCTTCAGATTTCACATGATCCTCATGAAAACTATATTTTGCTTCAGCTCGTGACTCGTAGAACTGTCCGAGGATTGCATCGATATTTCTCGGTTGTATCTATCAAACACCAGGATGGAAAGCTCTCTTGTAAAAAAAAATATGTTCATTTGAGTATTTGCATTATGTTGAATTCGACTTGCTACCGAATATCTTGTCTTGCCGACGAAGTCGAGCTTTGCGGATGAACACATGTTGGGGCTATTTAAGAACGTCCACAACTTCATTAGCACTCTGTTTTTTTTTTTCTCTCTTTATGTCTATTTATATAAAATATAGTTCAAAACCAGTTAGTTTAGATATATACTTGGGCAACAAACGAACAAAACGTTTCGACAAAAATACTGGTATGTTTTCCAGAAAAAAAGAACATTCGTATCAGTAGGAAGGCAGGTTTTTTAATCTACGCGAAGCCGTTGGCCCCACTCAGAGATTGTTCACATCCGTTTTAATCATCATTAAATGTTTAGTGCTGAGGGAATCGAACCCTCACTCTGCCGTCGTGCTCTCGCGCTAACGGCTTGGCCACAGCAATTTTAAACAGAATTTTGCGACCATGGTTCGATATATTGCGTATGCAGATATGTCGCATATAGATGCTCTTTGTTTTTTGATTCCCACTGTTTTTACTATGGCCACTAGAATCATGGTTGCAAGAGGATAGATTGTCTGGTATTATCCAGTGCCACACTATAGAAAAAAAAAAGAAAAAATATAGTATGATGTTTCTTTTAAAAAAACGATATACTACCCAATCCAGGCCATAATCAACGGATGGGGATGGGCCAAGTTTCGACATTAGGCACGTACCTTGGAGCTGTTAAACAATTTTTATATGTCATGACTTTGGTTTGCTCCTCACAACAGGTGAATAACAAGAAATAAAATTGTCTCTTGCTGTGATCGCAACTTCGTATTTTCTTACACCTGCAAATGGCGTCATTAGTTTCTACAAAAGAACAAACGTGAACAAAGAAGCTGAAAGAATTGATGGACATGAAATTAGAGAGCTGTAGCTAGTTTCTATTTCTCTACAACAGGTTTTGAGGGTATCTTTGTGCGACTGCCTGGTGCTTGTCTGACTGTTTGGCTTGTCATGAATAAGTCAGGATAGCATATTGCCTCTTTTGTTTTCATGTCCCTTGACATATTGTATTCTCTGTTTAATAAACAGTACTATCGTTCGCGATGATACATCTGTCAATTTTAAGAACACAGAGAAGATCAGCACTGCCTTGCATAAAGATGACACACTATACAAAGATATTTACCTTTTTTTAGAGGAACAAATCTAAAAAAAAATGTCATGTGGTGTGATAAGTGGCAACAGCTTTGTTATATATTTATCATGCGAAAATCAAGCAGACGACCTTTGAAGCCATGTGCCCAATTCTGGGACTAATGTGATTAAGGAGGCATACGAAGGAGGAAAAGTTCTGAATGACGATTTATGAAGCTCGACATCAAGCTAGCGAATTCGTTTACCTGTTTTGTGAGTTCGTGTGACGGAAATGACACAACATTCTATAGGCGTAGCAGCGCCAACAATTCAAAACACGTAGAAACCCCTCTCATACATATGAAAAAGAGTCTCAGGGATGTAGCATGAAGATTTGAGATAGCTCTTTTCGGGGTATGACTCTGATATGAACAAAGAAACAATTTCCACAAAAGCGTCTAATGAGAACGTGGTAGCCTTTATTTGGATAGATGAGCACGCCGATGAAACAAACTTCCAGACAAGAGTCATTTGGTCAAGTCCAACCAGCACTCTACTGGTGTGTGGCAGAAGACTAGCTTTCAATCTTCTGGAACGATAAAATGATGAACCGAGGTTTTGTTCTCAATTCTGCGCTTCAACTTGTGGCTCCCGCGGCCTCGCAACTGCACTTGAGAGCGTTGCTGGGTATTGTTGCCGGCTGGATATACGGCACTGGCCTTTACACCTTGCTGATCTGCATTCTTGTTTCATCGAGGAGGAAAGACAAGGCCGGTGCAAGAATTCATAGTGCCGTGCAGAATGGGATGTACCCACCAGTGGTGTGCCAGCGCCTTTCCGACGCAATCCAGCAGAGCTCTGCTCTATCGACTTTTGACCAGCTGATTTTGCTGTGCGGGCAAGGAATGTTTTTTTTTCAGGTGCAGGGTGTTTTGGAGACACTGGAAGATGCCTTCTACAACATCCAACAACAGACGGGTTCAAGTGACCGAGCACAGTTTCAATGTTGTGGCAGCGGTGTGGGAAAGCCGACGACGCATGTCAAAGGACACTCCGGGCCGCTGGGGCCCCCTTGCAGCAGCCAAAGCCTTTTGGCCACCAATGCGGTATCTGGAGTATTCGCAGCCTTCCCCTGGCACCAGCAGCAGGCGTCATTCATCGCAAACCACCCAGTAGCCAGGCGTCACTCAGCACTCCCCCGTCACTGGGCACTCCCCAATCACACATCCCAACCACGCATCCCTGGCCATCCGCTTGATGGCAAGTCACCTTCTCCTTCGAAGCACAGCACCACGCCCCCGGCGGCTCACGTGATCACCACGAGCCACGCCAACACCGCGTACATGAGCGTCACCGGGTAGATGGCCAAGAAAAGCCTGCCCGGAAGCACGCCCAGGCAGCGGAGGCACACGCTGGCCGCATATATGCTCCAGACCGCGCAGAACGCCATCACCACGAGGCGGGCCATGCGCCACGGCACCGCCGCCGTGCTGACGAGCGCACCCGCCACGAGCGGGAACATCAGGTACCCCGCGGCGCTGATGGCCGCCAAGAACGACACCGTGCCGCCCAAGAGCTGCACGTTGAAGCCCACCACCAAGTAGAACATCCACATCAACAGAAACGTGCCGGAAAACACCATGTTCGTCTGCGCCGCCGGCAGCGCCGCGCCCATCGTCACCGCGTACGCCAACAGGAACACAAGCGGGCCCCACAAGTCCCAGTCAAGGGGCAGAAGACCGCCCGGCGCCTCGTGGGTCACGTGACCCGGCGCTTCCGCCGCCGCCGCCGCCGCTACAGGCCCGCCCGCCGCCGCCACGGCCGCGAGCCGCGTCTGGAGCTGCGCGGGCCACACGACGGCCGCCACGCGCCGCCCGATTTGCAGCATGTCGCGCTTCAAGGTCTCGAGAATGGGCTCGTCGAGCGTGTCGCCGCCGGCAAAGCGCCGCTCGCTGACACGCGGCGCTGCCGGGCCCGTTTTTGGCGCAAAGAACGGCGTGAACGCCGCCAGGAGGTCCACGGCGGGCGTCCAGGGGAAACCGGGGGCGGCAGTTTCCGTGCCGGGGCTATGGTTATGAGCGCCGCGGCCGCGGGCGCCCGCCGGGGCCGCGGGCTCCGGCGCGGGCTCGTCCGGGATAATGTAGTCGTTGTTTTCGGGGTCCAGCCAGCTCATACGGTGTTGTTGGGCGGGTGGAAACGGGCGGGTGGGAGGTTCTGGAGGAGTACAAGTGAAGTTCGCTGTTCGCTCGCGGGGCGCTCTGGGTGAGGCCTGGTGCACGGGTGTGCCGCGGGTGCTTTGCTGGGGCTTGATTTGACGTGGGGTATTTCGAAGAGGACGGATGGGGAGATGAGTATTCGGAAGAGGACGGGTTGGGAAATGGGTCTTTGGTTGGGATGTGGGTTTGGTTTGGGATGTGGGTCTGGTTTGGGATGTGGGTCTGGTTTGGGATGTGGGTGCTGGTTCGCAGCCACTCCGCTGTGCGAATGAGAAAGCATCAGCTAGTCTTTGTATGGTGTGGATGGAGGGAGGTGATCAGGGTTTGTGATTGTGTGGCATGGTATTGGTGCTGTTGGTGTGGTAAGGTATTGTATTGGTGTTGTATTGGTGTTGATTTGGGCTTGGTATGGTTATGGTGTTCGATTAGTATTGGTGTGCGATTAATATTGGTCGTTCATTGGTATTGGTATTCTTATTGTTTATGGTACTGATTTTGTATGGCATTGGTGTTGGTTTTTATTGGTGTTGGTGTTGGTGTTGTATTGGTGTTGTATTGGTGTTGGTGTTGTATTGGTGTTGGTGTTGGTGTTGGTGTTGGTATTTATATTGGTATTTATATTGGTATTGGTATTGGTATTGGTATTTACTGGTGTTGTATTGGTATTTATATTGGTATTGGTATTGGTATTGATATTGGTATTGGTATTGGTATTGGTATTGGTATTGGTATTTACTGGTGTTGGTGTTGGTATTTATATTGGTATTTATATTGGTATTGGTATTGGTATTGGTATTGGTATTTACTGGTGTTGTATTGGTATTTATATTGGTATTGGTATTGGTATTGGTATTGGTATTTACTGGTGTTGTATTGGTATTTATATTGGTATTGGTATTGGTATTGGTATTTATATTGGTATTTATATTGATATTGGTTTGCTATGGGTCTTCGTATTGGATCTGATACTGATATTTGTATGATATTGGTTCTGGCTATGCATTAATACTTCATTGATATTTCATTGGCACTCGTTGTTATAATATTGGGGTAAAATTTCTGGGCCATTGGTATTTGTATTGGTATTAACTTGATATTTCATGTATTATCCCATGTATTGGTATGCCATGTACTTCTCCATGTATTATTCCATGTATAAGCATTTCATTGGTACTGGTCTTATCGTTGTCTTGATTGGTATGGTGGTATACAGGGCGCCGTTTCGTTTCCTGGCTATTCCAAATTTCCGGCTCTTCATGGCTCTCTGCTGTATGTTTTTGATCTCGTCCATAAATGGAATTGTACTCAACATCAATATAGATCTATCATCGAACACATTTCTCCTCTCCAACACCCATTTAAAGCCGTCCTGGAATTACATCAACTCTATCTTTATCAATCTGGCCAGCCCTCTAGCCGTAATCTTTTGAAATCGGTGTCTCAAATGATTCGAATCCATTGAGCTCGGAATACAAAGCAAGTCGACTTTCTATCGACTTTCCATGCTTCAATAGTCCGTACACTTGGAAAACCATCCAGACTCATTGGGATCCGCCTCGATCAGTCACAGGCCCAAGTCTACTTTACTGTTTCAATCTATTTCCGCAAATAAAGTCTGTCTTCTTATTTTCTTGACAATCAAAAGAGTGCAAATTCGAAACCGATCCCTGCCCAGACCGGATAGACGATGGGCTTCAAACTTCCTGAAGCCTTCATGCAAGAAGCCTAGCCTGTTTGACGGAGACCATGTGCTTTATTGGATCGTCTCTCTCACGAACTGTAATGGCTTGTCCTGTCACCGTGAAGTCGCAAAAACTCGTTTGTTTGTTTGCATAGTTCAACCTGAGCCTTCAACAGCCTCAAAAACAATATATTCACTTGCGCAGTAACAATGGGATCCCAATATTCAAGCTATTCTTAATACATACCAAAATGCCTTTCCCTTCGTTTCTCCAAAATCCAAAAGTCAGAAACACATCTGTGACGTATATGTTGTACGCTAGCAGACCTTCCAAGCACCAACACGCCCCAGTAGTTTCAAGTACATTTCATAGTGATGACCACTATCGCTTTACTCAAATGTCGTAGGTGCACGGAAGACCCGGTGCCCTTTTTGAAGAAACATCCCCGGAGGACAGTACTCTTTCTTGTGTGCTCTCATAATCTGATTCACGGAATCTACCACCGACGTATGCAAATCAATGATCAGATCTCCCAATATCTCCCTTATCGTAGAATTTCCTGCCTGGCTCTCACTCTTGCCTTCGCCAGGCGTGCCTTCGGGTAGTTCATTCCGCAACGAGTAGAAATTCTGTCTCAAAATATCAAGTATTGCCTGGCCACTGAAGCTTTCGGAGCTCAACAAAAAACGCTTATGCGAAAACCTCCTCTCCAAGATTACCAAGTATGCTCGTGCAAGATCCCTTGCATCTATAAACTGGCCACTAATCAGCGGGACCTCTGACTCGGGGGTCATGCTCAATATATCACTGATGATCTCGACGGAATTGAGCTTCTCTTCGAACCCCACATCAAACGCCTGTGGCCCAAATACGTGAGCCGGGCTGATGACGCTCAAGGTATAAGTCGGGCTCGTATTGTCATAAAAATCCCAGGCAGTTTTCTCTGTGAATCCTAAACAGCCCAATGTCTGCAGATTCTCGGCATGATCACACGTGACGGGGCTCCATGGGCCTTCACATATGGTGCATGCTGAATCATATAAACTACCTGTGTCGATAAAAGAGGCTGCGGTGGAAGTGACCACCACGTGCTCAATCTGGGGGGCATAGTCTTTGATGGCATGAAGCACATTTAGCATATCAGTTTTCACACTGGGCTCTTCATGCGTCCGGGGCTGCTGCGTTTGTATGAAGACTGTGATTTCAGGATGCCGTTTGAAAGCATTGGCAAAAGGATTGGGTACGCCAGTGGCCTTAACAATTTCATACGTGAAATTCTTCGAGTTGAACAATCTCTGGAGGTGGTTCCCCTGTTCAATTGTTTCCACTGTGCCCACCACATGATATTTCTTGGCAATGAGTAGCTGAACAAGATGCTGTCCAACAAAACCAGTGGCTCCAGAAACAAACACGGTTGTGGACATTATCTATAGGATCAGTCGGATCAATGAAAGAGGCTCGACTTTTTAAGATGCACGCGTCAACAAGATGTGCCCTTCGCAACAAATAAGTTTGAATTTCCCTGAAATTCTGCCCGATTTTCTCAAATTCTGAAATAAAATAGAGGTGGCGAGAAAAACCGATGGGTTCGGTTCGGGTCTTGCGAGCTCTTCCTCAGCATTCTGCATCCGTCTTCCCCACAGCTACAGAGTTGCCTCTAATCAGCTTTTCTTTCTGCACTCATTTTTGCACACGCCCAAACACTTCAGTCGGACTTGAAAAAGTACGTCTATTGACAGAGCTCGTTCTTAGTCTGTTTTCGTCTTTTGATCGGTTTCTCCTTTAGTATTTTATTGCTTTGGCCAAAGCCTGCGGCTGGCTGGCTGCGAAGCCCAGTCTAATAAGCCATAATATCAGCCACCCTGATAGTAGGATATATCAAGATTCGTCATCGCCGGCCAGAAGCTTTTTTCAAATCACACTCTGGTTTTGACAAAGGCAGATTCGGGCGAATAATGGAGACATTTCGTAGCAGATCACCTCGAACGACGCGAACTCCATGTGTTCATTACAAGGATATCATTAATGCCTGCATTTCCATATATACCCGTGAGTTATTGTGCTTCAAATATTAGGTCAAGAATATAGAAAGCCTCTTACCTTTGTACATACTGATCAGCAGTGAGGCTTATGGGCCAGAGCAGCTTCCGACTTATCAAGGGTATAAGAGAAATAAGCTGAACATACAAATGATGGCTTAAATTCTCGATTCTTTTTGATTGGCGAAATATGCGGTGTATATTCTAGTTCATCTTAGACACTCCAATCATAGACTCCCACGCAGACTGATATAGACGAACAGCCCAATACACAACTAGCCCAATATACTGTTTGCACCACGCCAACGACTTGTGTTTAGACCACTTGTTGACTCGATTTCAATCAGGACAAATCCCATTGTTGCCACTGCATTCAGTGAAGCACGGCCGCGTGTGATATGATCTCCGGCCAAGATCCACCGCCCAAAATCCTACTGTGAAGGTATCCATAGCTTAAACCATTCTTCTTTGACTTTAGCTCTTTTGATTAATCGTTTCTATATTTAGCACATCTGAGACATATTCCCTCGTCGCCGGACAGACCCACCGATTGCAACTGCTGCCACATATCTGACCTAATCTTCCCCTCCCATGTCTTGCTTGGCCTCGGAAGGAGTCATATGCTTCACTACTTTTGCTGGAACACCTACGACGACCGTATTTGCAGGCACGTCTCTCGTCACGACAGCGCCAGCCCCAATGACAGCGCCGTCTCCAATCGTGACACCTGGCATCACATTCACTCCAGCACCTACCCAGACATTGTTTCCTATATAAATCGGCTTGGCATATTCGACCCCGGCCAATCTCTGAGTTGGATCTGTCGGATGCGTGGCGGTGGTAAAACAGCAGTTGGGACCGACCATGACGTTGTCGCCAATGACGATGAGAGTACAGTCCAAGAAGGTGATATTGAAATTCCCATAGAAGCGCTTGCCGATCTTCACGTTGAACCCGTAGTCCACAAAGAACGGTGGCTCGATGAAAAAGTCGGGTTGGATGTTGCCGAAGATTTTGCCGAGATGCTCCACGCGTGCCGCCTGGTGTTTCTCGAAGCTGAACTCGTGATCGGCCATTCGGATATTCCCGTAATCAAGTGCCATTTCGTGGGCCAAATTGCGGCGCATCCAGAGCTCCTTGTCAAAGCAATTGTACGGCACGGACGAGATCATTTTATCGTACTCGTGTGATTGCGGTACGTGGTTGAGGTTTTCGTGGGCAAACTTCACGAGCTTGTCGTCAAGAGTGGTTTTCAAAGGTGCTTCCATTCTGTTTCTATGAGTATGTCGTCCTGTTCTCCGTTTGGGATCTCATGATAACGGTCATTGGTCGTGGACACGTTGATCTTATACTGGGTGCGCTTGGCCGCCGCTTTGGGAAATGATTCCACAAGCGCTCGGCCTTGTGCATAGAGACGCTCGCCAACTAGCACGATGTGGGGGCAGACGATGAGTTTTTGCTTGGCACGCGCTCATGCTGGCGGCGGAAAAACTCCACGAGTCTTTGCGAAATTCCGTGATATTGCGCTTCCGCAGAGCCTACGACAGCTTGCAACCGGTAGTCTGCAGATCATATAAACGGTCCATATAAACGGTCCATATAAACGGATCATATAAACGGATCATATAAACGGATCATATAAACGGTTCATATAAACGGATCATATAAATGGTCCATATAAACGGATCATATAAACGGATCATATAAACGGTTCATATAAACGGTTCATATAAACGGTCCATATAAACGGTCCATATGTGAATGTTTCAGTCATCAAAGACGTGGCTTTCCACTGTCCGCTGGACGCCGTACTTGTCGGAAAGAGAATCCACTGCATGGAAATCCTCATCGCTCAATCTGAATATCTTCAAGTTCGAGACGAGCCTATTTTCTTTCACCGATTTGGGCAAGACCACAGTTCCTCTTTGTACGCCCCACGATATCAAGACCTGCCCTGCGTCCACGCCGTTTTCCTTGGCAATTTCCGTAATTATTTAATTTGTGATCAAGACGCTCTCTGCGGAGCCCAAAGGCCGATATGCCTCCACCACTATATGCTGTTCTTGGAGCCACTTCGTCAATTCGGGCTGGGGCAACAAAGGGTGTGCTTCGATCTGGTTCACCACAGGCCTAATCGTTACCCCTGGATCGGACATAAGACGTTGGATTTTGGTCATGTAAAAGTTCGATAGTCCAAGCAGTCTTACCTTCCCTGCGAGGACCAACTTTTGCATCTCCTTGTACGTGTCGACATAATCCCAGTCAGGATACGGTTTTGCGTCTGAGGATCAATGGAAATGGGCCAGTGTATCAAGTATAAGTCAAGGTACTGCAAGCCCAACTTGTTCAACAGACGCTGGAATGCGCCGGGCACGTCTTTGTGCTCGTCATTCCAGATTTTGGTAGTAACAAAGATCTCTTCCCTGGGCACGCCAGAGTCTCTGATTCCTTGGCCCACTTCTTGCTCGTTGTCGTAATATGCGGCTGTGTCGATGTGTCTGTAGCCCTTTTGTAAAGCTGTTTGGACGGATTTTGCACATTCGCCCTCATTGGCCAAATAAGTGCCTAGCGCAATAGCCGGAATCGACTCGCCATTGCTCAACCTGTAGGTTTTCATGCTGGTGTGGAGCGACATGGCTGCAAATTCCGGGGAACAAATTCGATCGCCGCCTGCTTGTACTGAGAAAAACGGGCGCTACTATCCCTGGAGTGAAAGTGGCCTGAAAAGACTTTTTTGAAAAGGGAAAAAGGCCTAATTTTATGCTGAGCTCTTGAGATTTTATTGCTACTCCCCCCACTACTTGGACCCCCACCCTGCCATGCGTCGTGCTGCATAGAGATCCCCCGCGGGGTGCTGAATGCTATTGACATTCATTTTCAGTGATGGGTGATTTATACTATGCATATTGGGTGAGATGCTCATAGTGGGCGCGATTCATAATCTGAGAGATTCGTATTCTGAGAGATTCGTACCCTGAGAATTCGTACTCTGAGACATTCGTAACTGAGGAATTCGTATTTTGTGAGATTCAAATTCGATCGGTGATTTATACTATGCATTTTGGGTGAGATGTCCATAGTCGGTGGTATGCGTATACCGGGCTCAACTGGATATAGCATCTAGGGGTGGTGAAAACATGTGAACGAACAGTGCTATGGTAAGGACCGCGGCATTTAGGTACATGATGTAGATCTATGAAGAGGAGTTCCTCTTCAATGAGGGAAAGGAGGGGACATGAAAAACTTTTCATGTTTCATATAGCTGACCACTGCTCTGGCTTCACCTAAAAGTACGTCACCACCATACTGGTGATTGGATCATCTATTCCAACAAGGGGAGCCCAATGTCCGATCACGTGATGGCACGACGGCTTCCAGTATAAGCAGCGAAGAATGCGAGGGCCCCGGGCACGAAGCAGCAATCGCAAACACGCATTGGTTGGTCCAGCTCCAAAGGCCATTGATACATCCTACACTGGGCAATTGTAGTGACTCCACGCTTTTTTCTATACTCGAAAACTAGGTAAATGATTAGCCACGTCCATATCCCACAGCAAGCTTAATCCTCAAAGAGAACGGGCAATGGGTCGATGAGTCTTTGCACGCCTTCAACGGCAGCCAATTGGTTCAAGACTTCAAAGTCCTCGTCGCTCAACTGGAAGGTTTTCTTGTTGGACAAAAGACGCGCGGCTTTGACAGACTTTGGCAACACGACGGTGCCTCTTTGGATGGCCCAGGAAATCAAGACTTGGGCTGGCTCCACGTTGTTCTTTTCGGCGATCTTCACAATGTTCTTCTCCTTCAACAAGGGGCTGTCGGCGGAGCCCAATGGAGAATAGGCCTCGATGTAGATGTCGTTCTTTTTCAAGTAGTCGTACAATTCATATTGTGGCAACAATGGGTGGGCCTCGATCTGGTTGACGGCGGGCTTGATCGTGACCTCTGGGTGCGCCAAGAGACTTTCGATCTTCCCCTTCGAGAAGTTGGAAACACCAATCGACTTGGCCTTGCCTTCCTGCTTCAACTTCTGCAACTCCAAATATGTCTCGACGGAGTCGCTGATCTTGGCGTTCTTGTCACCAAAGCTGCCGTCAATGGGCCAGTGAATCAAGTACAAGTCGACGTAGTCCAATTGCAACTTCCTCAAGGACTCCTCAAACGCCTTTCTGACGTTCTTGTGGTCTGAGTTCCACAACTTGGTGGTCACAAAAATCTCCTCTCTTGGGACACCCGACGCCTTGATTCCTTTTCCGACATCTTCCTCGTTGCCATAGATTGCGGCAGTGTCGATGTGTCTGTAGCCGTTTTTGATGGCACTGGCCACAACATCGGCAATGTTGTCCTCGGAGGTGGCCCTCCATGTTCCAAGGCCCACGGCTGGGATCTTGTTGCCATCATTCAAGGTGTAGATTTTGGTGTTTTCTTGCAAACCAGACATAGTGAGTGTGATCTTTGTGGATTCTGCGGAGGAAGAAAACCAGAAATAGGGGACGCCCTGTGCGAGACATGGCGACCAGGCCATGGTTTTATATCCCGGAGCGACACCCCAGTTGCGCGGCTCCAAAGTTGTGGAGATGCAAAATGATGTTGCTGTCTGCACATGGATTGGGTGTCTGCGGCCCCACTGGAGATAGGAGGACCATGGGTTTAGGACATGAAGATGAGAAGTCCACGGGTTTACGTCCGTAGTATGGGTGTTTCCCATATATACGGGAAAATGGCTGATAAGAGACCTTTTTGGTGGCCATCTCTGACAATCTGTATAGTCTGCTTATAGATCTCTCGCTTTCGCCCAGTACAAGCGACATATGGAAGGAGAGAAACCTCGGTAGTTATCATAGTACAATTTCGCCGAGAAGCCATCATGGGCACTGATGCACAAACTCTACCATGCGCTATGTATAGTGGAATATGGCCACTAGTCTCTATCTGGACGGCTTGGGGGGCACCCGGCCAATCTTGGGTCACGTGTTTCTGAAGCCTGGATAATGGATCTATAAAAGTCGGGCTGCCGGCAGAACCTGGGGGCCTGATTTCGGTACCAGTATTCTACAGTAATCTGAGCTTTGGTGCTCGAGCGTGGCTCGATGGCGGCATCTTGAGAAGCTCCGTGTGGAAATCTAGGAATTTTGGTCTTGGCTTGATTTTTTGAACAATCTTACTTGCTTGAATCTTGCCCAGGTGACAACTTCTGCCATATATTGTGTATGACTCTTTTGCGTCAATTCGCAATTATTGAGAAAGGTGCACCATGTCCTCCGTAGGATAAAAACATCCCAGAGTTGGCTGACCCAATCGGCCATACTCCATATATGATAATTCGACAATACAAATTATTATGAACAGATCGTTGATTGTTTCCAATGACTTCTCAAAGTTCTTACATTCATTTTGATTCAACTCGTTGCTTGTACAATTTCACCGATGTAATTCGACATTCAGAATATACTTTTCAACCACTCAAGCACGGATGATTCTGCTCGACTTTCTCGGCAAAGAATTCCAGAACCTGCGCACCTCTCACCCTAGTCGGGCCCAAATCACTTTCGAAACTGTCGGAATCATCAGACAACTCCGTGTCTCTGTTTTTCAAGTCTGTTTTTCAAGTGAGAAGTTTTTACTAGATAGTAATTTATGACAACTTACTATGTGCAATCTCAACCCCGCATCTATGTAACTTCTCCTAATCTTTAAAGAGAGCTGGCAATGGATTGTTGGTTCTCACAACACCTTCAACCTCCGATAATTCGTTCAAAACTGCAAAATCCTCGTCGCTCAACTCAAACGTCTTGATGTTGGATACTAGACGTGAAGCCTTGACAGATTTTGGCAACACCACGGTATCTCTTTGAATAGCCCAAGAAATCAAGACTTGAGCCGGCTCAACGTCATTCTTCTGGGCAATCCTCAAGATATTTTTCTCTTTGAAAAGCGGACTGTCAGCGGAGCCCAATGGAGAATAGGCCTCGATGTAGATGTCGTTCTTTTTCAAGTAGTCGTACAATTCATATTGTGGCAACAATGGGTGGGCCTCGATCTGGTTGACGGCGGGCTTGATCGTGACCTCTGGGTGCGCCAAGAGACTTTCGATCTTCCCTTTCGAGAAGTTGGAAACACCAATCGACTTGGCCTTGCCTTCCTGCTTCAACTTTTGCAACTCTATGTAAGTAGAGAAACAATCACTGATGTTAGCGCTCTCGTCATCAAAGTCGCCGTCAAGAGGCCAGTGAATCAAGTATAAATCGACGTAGTCCAATTGCAACTTCCTCAAGGACTCTTCAAACGCCTTTCTGACGTTCTTGTGGTCTGAGTTCCACAACTTGGTGGTCACAAAGATCTCCTCTCTTGGGACACCAGAGGCCTTGATGCCTTTTCCGACATCTTCCTCGTTGCCATAGATTGCTGCAGTGTCGATGTGTCTGTAGCCGTTTCTCAAGGCACTTTCAACGACATCGGCAATGTTGTCTTCGGATGTAGCTCTCCATGTTCCGAGCCCCACAGCTGGGATCTCGTGTCCGTCATTCAATGTGTATGTCTTTGTGTTGTCTTGCAATCCAGGCATTCCTTTAGTTCTTTCTCAATGAGTTAAGGCCTCTTATCTTCATTCACCGGAGATTGTGAATAATTTATAGCTCGAGTAGTGCCCACGCTTGCTATGCTTTTTCAGACTGTGCACGGGCCAATGCATAATGATGTCGGGCCTGCACATATTGTCACTCCATCTTTGCTGTAGTTGCTTCTGCACGGAATCCCGTTCAGACTAGAATATCAAAGCACATGACAGTTTTGAATATCAAAGAATCCTGTCGATTCAACCTCCGGCATCCGCAATTCATAAAAGGTGGAGAGCGCTTATTTTGTACTTGTGGGAAGTGTATCTTATACGCAACAGGTCGCGCCTTTGCATCATTTTTTTCGCAACCCAAGAAGGCCACCAACCGAATGTGCAGATAGCTTACTGTGGGATGACTTTTTACTACCACCCGACACCATACTTGTCAGCGACTCTGTGCGCAACAATTGGGGCGATTCTTGCGTCTTATGATTTTCTTCATTCTTGCCGTGCTTGGTCATTCGGCCTAAACGCCCAAAAAACTTGTGACGCGAGTTTTCCGGGACTGAAGCTTTTTCGGAGTCTGCGTGATTATAAGTCTGTGTTCTCATCCCATCAATGATAAATTTGCGCCCTGTGTTGATTTCTTTTTCGCTGACGGATTCCGCATGCGATAAGGAAGGTCTCACCAGTGGAGCAACGTCAGACCGCTTTTTTTCGTCACGTTCCAATGTTTGCCGTCTTGACCTTTCTTCCTTTGCAGCTTTTGATTTTATTTTTTCGTCTTGACGAATCAAATGGGCGATTTGCTTGTCGAACTTTCGATTCAGATCAACGCTAAATAGATGTTCCTTCACCGGTGTCAATCTAAGGTTTGAGATGGCACTTGAATTGACGGGTCGTTTTATCTCAGTCTCCACGATAGGAAGTTCATCATTTTGTTTCGGACTTGATAGGAAAGACTCAAGAGTATTCACCGATCCCACTGATGGGTTTTTGCTCACTAAAGATTGCTTGGACCCTTCTTCATTAGAAGTATCCTGTGCATCATGGTCGAAGTAGCGATCTTCGCGCCTTGTAGAGTCTTCGTTGCTTGTCTCCTCCTGCACCCTCTTTTCAAGAGCAATATAGTCTTTTTTAGTCTGTGCAAGAGCTAGACTCATTTGTCGGGCGTTCATCGAGCGCAACATTAATTTCACGTCTGAACAAATGGATGCAACTTCGTGGATAAGATCAATGACATAGTCGCTAGGTTCAGGTGCATCTATGGAGACGAGGTTTTCTAAAGTGATGCCAGTTAAGTTTTCATTTTCATCATCTCTCTCTTTTTCGGTAAAACAACTGGACGCGTTAACAGAATCACTAACATTTTTGTCTGGAAATGACTTAAAGGGGATGCTTGGAAGACTGTTCTTCTTACCATGATCAAGAAAGTGCAATGGGGCGGCATCCTCGTCGCTGGCACTTGTGCTTTCATCTGTGGCCACGCTATTCACACTGCCGTCCTTTTCAACAGGCAGAATATCTCTTGGTTCGATGACTTCTTTAGATTCAGTGAATGTAGATTTTGAAGAAAGCTCTTGTACCCTAGAGAGTGAGAAAGAGCTGCCTCTTTTCCCGGAACGTGACGAAGTGGATGATTTGTTCACATTTGAAGACTTTCTGAGTAGGGCAATGTCCATGTAACCATCATCGACAGTGTCCAAAAACCCCTCATACTCATCGAGTGGAAATTTGAATGTGGATTTCATTGGCGATCTAGTCTTCTCAAACAATTCGTCGAACTTCTTGCGATATTTCTTGCCCTCTCGAATAACTGTGACCTCTTTACGTCCAATAATTCCATATAAAACTTCACAAAGCAAGTCGTAAAGAAGCTGAACCTTGTAAAATCTCGACATCCACAAGCAATCTAATGCACATGGACGGAAAAGCCATCTATTTCCCACTTGACCGGTGTACAAGTATTCAGCAAAAGCCTTAAGCGAATTGGTACTAAAAGGAACATATAGTTTTCTGGGAATGAGAGAAGGCTCCATTGTGTAGGAGTTCCAATCCGATTCAGGAAAATCTAAGAGGCTTTGGTATTGTTCATCGTGCTCTCTAGACCCACTTTGATGCTCACTTGTTGGCATATCCTTCGATATGTCATCTAATGAGTTGTTCGTTGTCTTTGAGACTTTACCAAAGTCCATTGACATAGCTCTAGATGATTGTGAAGAAGATGTTGTCATGAGACTAGCCGCAACTCCAAGCTTTTCGGTACAGTTAAGGTCTAACCTTTTTCGGTTTTCACTGAACAGAAGCAGTAAGTCTTCCATCGACGCGTTCCGTGCGGAAACTGAACCACGGGGCGACTGGTGTGGTGAGCCTCTCGGGGATCTAGCGGGAAGATTACGAAGAACGCTCAAAGTGTGAAGTAAAGATGCTCGTGGTGACAAAACATCTGTTGAATTCTTCCTAGAGCTCGAACGATATGATATTGGAGTTGCAGGTACATCTGGAATAGGCTCTTGTGGCAAAGGTAACTGGGCAGGAATCTCCCTGAGATGAAAGTTTAAGATTGATGTATCTGAGAGGTTCGAGCCCAAAGAGTTGCGGCGATCAGGTGACTGATTGTGGGGATCAATCGAGCCAATATCTTTCGAAAAGCTCGTCTGTGAAGAATGCTTTTCCTGAAAGGGTAGTCTAAATTGAGGTACTTCCTTCTGGGCTGATTTTGGTGAGCCAACAAGCAGGACTATGTTATCTTTGCTTTCACTTGAACAAGAATTCAGAGAATCGTTTGACGAAAACCGGGTCATTTTCCCGCGAGAACCTGAACTGCTGCCGCTGCTTTTTGACGAGCGAGTCATATTATGGGACTCAACCTCAATTTCATTGTGTTCGAACTGATCGACCGCTTTCACATACGCTTTCGCAAGCAAGTCGATGAAGAATTTGCCCCAACGTGCCATCAAAATGGACATGCAGACAGGAATACGGTCACCATTGAGCGAAATGAGTTCAAAATCAGATATACTGTTTCCATACCGATCCAACGCGTTTCTTCCTAGAGTGATTGCGGCTGGAGGGAAAACAGAGCGAACTTTTGTGAACTTCACCTTTGGAGCCGCGTAGTGAACATAATCATTGAATGTAGCAGCGTTTTGCGGAGGGCTCCTTTGACTCTCGTTCTTATTGGAATGATCAGACTGCTGACCGTGAAGTGGGTGTTCCGAGAGATCGTCTGTCTCGCTTATCTGCAGCAAAGATGATGAAGATATCTCGTCCGAAGTTGTCGTGTCGACATCACTGACCGAGCTTGTTTCCGTGTCGTTTTTATTGGCATTCATGAGCAATTTGTTATGGCTCAGCATCTCCATCGACGCTAACAAGTTCGTTACTGGAAGACTTACTGTGATCAAGGATGAAAAATATCTCACACTGCTGGTCGTCCGCGATGTGACGTAATTTCCCAATAGGACCACCTTGTGGTGAGACGTCCATACAAAACCACCCCAAAACCTATGAGACCCATAGTCATGGTGGCAAAAGACGTTAAGACGGGACCATTTCCCGGTTGGCTTGTTGTAGATGAAAATGGAGATGTCGTAGTCATTGGGCAAGAATCCTATGATCACAATGTTCTGCCCAAAAACTCCGCCTGTCGGATAGCGAAGATTGTATGGCACAGTTCTCCGGAGCAAGCTGTCTGTAGCGCTCTTGGAGCGGAGATTTTGCTTACGATGTAGGGGTGCGAGCTTTGGCTGTTTGACGGATTTTCCTATTTTTGCTGTAAGGAGCGGGCTTAAAACCTCGTCCATGTTTGAAGTAAGCGTCGGGACGTAAAAGAAAAGAGCCTCCTCTCTCACCCGCGCGATTTTCTCCGCAGCCATGGTCAGCCCGTGATCTCTGCGTGAATATTCGACGTCTTCTTTGAAGTTCACGATGACGCTGGTTAGATAGTTTATGGAGATGCTTGTCTCCAGGTTTGTCGTTTTGAAGTACGAGACAGGTTTGCCATTGACTACCACGGGCGGGAACGAGAGAGGCGGACCAGCATTCACGTAGGTTCTGTCAACTAAGTCAAACACGCAGTTGTCGTACAAAGCATTCGAGTTCTGGTCATGACCGCCGGCAATCATGAGACCCGAATGGTCTTTTCTGTTGGCAAAAGAGAGATGGCTGATGGTGGTCATTTTGTGAGAAAAACGCGGGGAGGGCACACGTGGATCTGCCTGCCAGTTCAGCCCGTCGTGAAGCAAGACCCACGACTTCTTTAGCAAGTTGAACTCCCAGAAGTCGTTGCAAGGCACAAGCTCGCATTTTTCGTCGTCACCCGTGTTTTCTGCAAGTGTCAACCCACCGAAGAGATAGAGGCAGTTTTTTCCCGTGGCCAACTCGTGGAAGAGCCGGGGCTTCGGTTTGGGTGCGTTCTCGGGAATGCTTACACGGGCCCATGCTTTGGAAATGAGGTCCAAGTAAAAGATCTCGCCCGAGAGGTATTTCTCTAGCCGTTTCAGTTTGTTGGTGGTGACCTTAGACGCAAAGGTGGTCTCGATGTCGCGGATGGAAATCTTATCGTCGAGCTCAAGCCCAATAGTGAGTCCGCCGTATGTGAAGACAAACGAGTGATAAAGTGTCGAGGCCGAGCCAGTCCGCACACTCAAATTCAACCGGTCATCTTTCTCAATTGGCGGCATCTGCACTGCGTGGCATGCGCTGGCAGACGGGATAAGCGTGCTCATGGCGACCCATGTAAGAAGAAGGAGGAAATGCGAGTCTGTGGTTTATTTTTGATTGGCTTGGGAAACGCGCTGTGTGTCGATGGCGCGGTTCAGTGTTTCGGAAGTCTGTGTTGAGCTGACTTCCAGGTTGAGCTTGGCGTGCTTGGTTCGGACAAAGAAGTCTGGGTCTTGGTCCACTGGCTCTTTACACGACTTATTTTTAGCGCATCAAGTCAAGCGCAGCGCGAACACTGCCCGTATGTATGAACACGATGGAAAGGGTATTTCCCTTTTGGTATTTTTTCCCGATAAATCTTTAGCAATAGCACACATCCATCCGACTGCTGTTATTTCTTTGCTTGCTTTCTGGCTTGTGTTCTGGCTTTCGTCAACTTTGGGCTTTTTTTTTTGATTTCTGGCTTTTTTTTCAATTTTGGCTGTTTGCGTTTTTGGCTCAATTTTTGACTATTCCCGTTTGGCCGCGTGGCTCCCCCCAGTGCTCGGGGCAGGCCGCCCGGCGAGCATCAGAATACCCCCTGGCTGAAATAGGCTCCTGCGGCCGAGGTGGCTGGAGATATGTTAGCCAGCCAATAAAAGCTGCATTTTCCATTTCATGTAGCGTGAATTGTAATTGTGATCGTATTCTCGCCAAATACGGCCACGTATTTTATGCCCCTGTTCATTGTGACTGCCTTTTTTGTTGATCTCATCTTCCAGTTGCCGCAACTGCGACAAGCCTGACGCGGGCCACTGGGCCCAAACATGCCGCGCAGGCCGCACCAAAAAACTAAAACACCATTGGAAGTGAATTGACTTTGTTTTCTGGAGCGAGTGAAACGCTGGCTTGACAAAAGTAAGGATTCTTTGCTCGTGGGTCTTCTTCTTTGTATGACTCCGGATTATGGTCTCGTTCCATGCAGAGAGTCCCACATCGGCACGCCGCTTTTGAGTATATCGCTTTCTCGTATACCTTGCAAACAACACCCCCTTCAAATACTTCCACTCAATTATGTCTTTTCAAATGTTCCCTCCTGATATAAAGCCCAATCTAGGCAGATTCCCTTAGAATAATTTCTAATATATCTTTTTTCAACGAATCCCTTAGAAATATCCCTTTTCTAATTTTTCCTCTAGCCATGCGATTATCGTGCCCATGTAAAAAAAAGTAGGTAGGCTCCTTCTGAAACGATATCTGATGAAACTGCAAAGTACCGGCAGGCCAATTAAAACACAGACAAACTTGCACCCATACCTCCACTAATCCAGTAGTCAAGCCAAAATTTCTGCCATGATCCGTTGGCGTGCTGAGCGCAGGTTTCCAATACAAAAGTCTTGACTAATTTTCACCCAAAAAATGACCCGACATAGACCAGGGAACAGAGCTAGAAACAAAATAAAAAAATTCATTGACATTCATGCTCGACATTATTTGGGATACGTCGAAATAAACTGAAAATCAGGCGAACAAGTGGTTGAGAACCCTTAAGTATAGCGCGTGTATTGTCTGTTTTTTGACCGCGATTTACGGCCAAGATAAGACCTTGGTCAAACCAGACTTCTGTGAAAGCATACAAAAGTGCATCACAGGCTCAAAAGATGTCGAAATCACAAATTATGTCGATTTTTTTGGTCCTTCTTTCCTGACTAGTAACACACTTTTAGACAGACAAAGGCTACCTCCGCTTGACATTCAAACTGCCAATTTCACAGATCACTTTTGTCCCATCGTCTTGTCTTGTCATTTCATTCAGATGAAGTCAAGTAAGAATCCACCGCCGTTGAATATCAATTTGCCGCAATTGAACTAAAGTTGAGAGCCTTTAGTGTGATTGCTGGGTGTTTTTTAAAGCTCAGCATGATTTAGCTGTGGCGGCTCAAACATTTATTTCCGTATTAGTGGGGCAACCTCACAACTGCCCCGCACTTTCGAGATACCAAGCGACAAAAAGATTGCAGCACCACAATTTCGCATATGGTCTCCCACTACACTACTCAGTGTGGCCCTATGCAGCTTAACTAACGTTGATCGGACGGGAAACAGTGCTTCCTGCATGGTATGGCCGCAACCGATGAATGAAACTGATAGACAAATATATCAATTAGTTGTATATAATATGTACATAGTGCATTTTGATGTTAATATAAGGTACAGTTTTTGAATATACTGTGAAATCCCTAGACCCTTAAAAAGATCTTATCTTACAACGACCGGTGCTCTCACTTGGTACGTAGCTGGGAGCTGTTTAAATGTTTTTTATATATATTATTTATATAGTTTTGCCCCTTTAATCAGATGAATCTACCAAAAGAAAAAAAATCTTTACAAACCAATCGGTTTATCATGCTCCACGCTCGTCGCCAAGAAATCAAGATAGGGTGAACAAAAAACTTTCAGAGACATTGGGTTCAGACTCAACAAGATCGGGAAACTCAAGCATCTACTCAATCATACATGCCCTCCTTAGGAGGCTCCTTGAATACAACTTCAGGAACTCACATTCTCGAACACACGCCATCATCACAGAGTCCCCAGAAAACAAACGATGATATAAATCACGCCAAAGTATCAAAGGCAAACAAACCTGAATGCCGGAAAAGCCAGTCTACAATTCCCCCATTGCCTGCAACCTCTCAAACTCAGCCACAGCTCACTAGACAAAACTTTAGTTTACGTTTCCAAGCAGTACTAATGGCAGATTTCACCAAAGCATTTGATCGCATCTCACATCAATATATTTATTAAGTACTCACGAAAATGGGATTTTGATACCCGGCACTTCGACTAATAATACTGATCATAACGGAGTAGTCAGCAACTGTATCACAAATCATAGTCACTGGTTATGTCCATTTGAGTCTTTTTTTGGTTGGCCCCTTCTTAGGGGGTCATTTCCAGCCTCGATGTATCACTCTTTGAGCTGCTAGTATGACTTATGTTTCCATCGCTTGTTCAGCCTCTGGCTCTTGTGTGGCAGCTGAGTTGGACTCTTTGATTACTGGATCTTCTTGGGTTTTGGAGATGTCTTGTGTTGTTTCTTTCTCGAGTCCAGTCTTTGTCCGTTTAGATGGGGACTTTGATAGACGTAGCCCCCGGGAAAGGAGAACTTTTTAGGAAGTTCTAGGAGATTGGTCACTATTGCTAGAGTGAAAGCGTTTGCTGGGCAGGTACTTATGGGTCACTTGTTTCCCTGGTATTATTCCTTTTAGGTTCATGAGGCGCGTTATCTTAATAGTTCTGCTCCTTTAATTATATCTTCTTGCATCCAACAAGCGTAAGAAACTCGAGGTAGAGGACCTTGCAAGCTACCATCAGTCCACACCCTCCTTCCCCACTAACAAAGCCATGTCATTCAGGAGAATTGACCATCTATATTTCCCTATATCATGGCGTAGCAATGTCCTATACTACAAGATTGAAAAACCACCAGTGATCACGTCCTCGCATCATTTGATTGCAGTATACTTTTGCACAGATCAACCCTTATCTACTAAAAAAAAAGAAAAGGTACGCTGACGGCAACAGCTCTATGGGTACACTGACTGAACGGTGTCTGCTGGGCCTCATCCAGGAAGATTACATACCAAACCTCATGAGATTGAAGCAATACAAGGTACGGCATCTCATTCTTTGAGCTGGAGTAAACAGGAAGAACTTCCACCCTTTTGTCCGGGGAGTTTCCTTGTCATCTGCCCCGAATTGAAGGCGATGAAAGGCTGACAAAAATTTTGGAAAGAATTATACAAACAAGAATGGTTTGTGCAAAAAGATCTCCTCGCCATCCATATATTCAATCACGGCTCCTATATTCCCTTTCATGATAATGAGGATGGGGCGTCGAATGCAGGTTGTGTTTGAAAAGCTGTTATAGTGATCAGAAGCTTACCCACCTCTACAATGCGTGTGAGATTGTGCACTTCTGGTGGCAAAAGATCGCCTTTTAGGCTCCAATGCACCTAAGAGAGATGCTAGTTTCTTTATTCACTTCCTTTGATAATCTAAGAAACCTTATTTTGATTTGTTAAAGTCGTTCGCAGAGTTTATTTGCTTAGGGACCAGGAGGCAAAGACAAATGTAAGTCTCGCCGCCTTGTCAAATGAACTATGGTCACCCTTACGAAAACACATCCTATTGGACGATGAAATGTAGTTAATTTTATTCAAGTGGTTGACATTGGTTGTGGGCAGACGTCTTCTTGAGGGGAGTCACATTTGGGAGACTTCGTGAATAGTATTCGCGCCTTCTCAGCTGAGCCAATGTAGCGATCTTTTTTTTTTTGGTAGATTCATCTGATTGATCTTTTTTAGATTTCTTCTCGATGGTTCTTCATTAGTGGTGGGGTTTTACATCCTGCGAGTGACACTCTATAATATGATAAATCAAAAAAAAAGAAAGCGATGATGCAATATCCAATACCTAAACAGATGCGGGCCAAGAGGAACACCCAGGCCGTAATTACCGAAAAGGAACGGGTCGTATATTGACACTAAGCACATATCTGGGAGACGCTTAAAAGCTATTTACCTTTTTTGGCTTCGTTTCTTTAGTTATATGAATCTACGAATAAAAAAAAGCGTTTCTTCCATATATCCAGACTCATAATCGATGACTGCAAAAGATGCGGCTTCTAAGAACACTTTCAGGATGGCTACGTGCTTACAATGCATATAACATATCGCTTGCTATTTGAGAATTGTTTTCTTCTTTGGTCTGAAAGAACGAATTGAGTTTTTTTTGCCTTGCTAAAATATTGCATGCTACCTATATTTCCTATTCTGTAAAATTTAGAAAATGTAACGTCTTCTCATTTTTACCCCCGCACTTTCTCACAATAGTAACATTTAGTTTCAATAATAAAAAATACGAAACTCACTTAAACGGAAAAAAAAACCCAAAGTAAGACAAACGCCTTCGTCTTAAAGATGTATTCTCATTTATATGAAGGTATTCAACTTTGGCTGCCCCCAATAAACCCTTTTTTCTGTTCGGGATACTGTATTCTTGGTTAAGACGAGTGACGCGATATCTTTTTATCTGCAGCGCAATAATTATTTGCTTCTTCACGAACTTTTTTTTAGTATATATTTAATAGTTGCGGGTGTCTAACCTCTTATCATCTAGACAGCTATATAATCGATAGAAACAACATATTCAAAGAACTAAATCAATTGGGGAAAATTTCACACACCAACTAGACGCAGCACTATAAAGACCTCCAAGTTTCCTTTTGAGTGTTCGCGTCACTTTTGAGCCTTCTGCGTTCATAAACTTACTGAAAAGAGCAGGAATTAACTTTATTATATGTTTCAATAAATACAAGCAGAGCTGTGCTGGTAGATGAACTATAAATAAGTTCGTTATTTCGCTTCATCCTATAGACTGTATGAGGAAGTACACAGCTTATGCGATGGAAAGGTATTGGTCGGATTAAAGGTGGATCACACGTCGAGCCTCTTCTTTTTATCGGTAAATCTTCACTTTAGGTCAGACACAAAAAACTTTTTCTATAAAAATAGCGATACATGCTCTTGAACTTTCTAGAAAGGAGCCTTTAGCCCAAGCGTTATGTATCTGCTTAAATAGTAATTTACTTAATTCAAGGAGCTGAGATACGACAAATTAGGCCTTTTTTCGATGAACAAAATAATGATCTCACATATTTTTATAGGTTTAGGAGATTATAAAATGAGGTCTGAAATTTTTAATTCTTTTCTATTGGTAGACTTTTTAAGTATGGCCATGGAAATATTGAGGATTGTTCACTCACTGAGACCCTGATCTATTTTTTTCCTGACATAGCGCGGATTAATTTCGCAGCTAATTTGATGAATCTACCACAAAGTCTCTCCGTTGGAACATAACCTTTTTGTTGTTGCAATTGCCTGGAAAGGAAAAGAGTAGATAGTTTATTAGTCAAAGAGAAATTAAACTAGTATTTTTGCTTGTCGTGTATTTTTGTGGTAGTTCATCTTGAAGATAAATGGGATTTAAATACTGCAGATGATACATGTCACCTTTTTTTGGTAGACTCATCTGATTTAAGGAGCAAAACTACTAATATCCATTTAACCCTTTGATGAAAATAATTTAAATTACTGACTAGAATAAGAATCATTATAGTATAGATGAATCTACCAACAAAAAAAGAAGGCTTGTGATTATCTATTGACAACAAGTAAGTGTGGTATTGTAAAATTGAGGGTGCACGATCCTCACGACCCTTTTTAGTCACACTTTTTTTCGAAAGAAACATCATATTAGGTTGTCGCCGGAGGGATGTAAGACCCCCCCACTTTTATTTTATAAAATCACCTGATCAAAGGGACAAAACTATTTAATAATGTATATGAAAACATCAAACCAGCTTCCAAATACGTATCGAGTGTCGAAAAGCGGCTCATTTCCCTCCGTTGACCACGGCCTGGATGGTCCTCTCGACACGCACTTGTTTCTACGTAGTGAATTGACGCAAAAAGAAAAAAAAAATCAGATACCAACATAGCTCAGGTGAGAAGGTGCCAACACCAATTCACGAAAACTCCCAAAGGAGATGTGACTCCCCTGAAAAAAGCATCTGCCCATAACCGATGTCATCCTTCTTTCTTTGATAATCTCGCTTTATGTAGCTCCAAGTCCCTTACTTCAGGTATTTCCAGGTATCTCCTCATTGTGACCGAGAGGAATTGGTCTCTCTACCCAATATGCATATGCATTTTTATATGCAACCGATTTTATATACAAAGGTTGAAGAAAGTCATATACAGAACGTCATCAGATTTAAGTAATGTGTATGGCATACCAGAACAAATTTCAAGATCGGAGGTTGTGGCAGAGTTAGTAACTAACTCCTCTTCAGTGGGAACGTGAGTTCGAATCCATTGATCAATCTCTTGTAAAACACACAGGGCGTGTGGCGCAGTTGGTAGCGCGTTCGCTTCGCATGCGAAAGGTCTCGGGTTCGACTCCTGACTCGTCCAATTCTTTTTGCAACCTGACCGATTTTGACGTAATTCCACTTTTTTTAGACGTGTCATGCTTACGCTTTACGAGACATAATTGGTAAATCTAAAGGAGATGTACCAAAAACCAAATATTATCACCCCTGGAAATATGAGCTCTAAGGATTTTGATTAGATTTTACGTGAACACCGGGTACGAGGGTATGATTTTGAATGTCCAAGAAAACAAATCAGCCCTTCGAAATTTTCGAGTCGAAGCAACTACTACGGAAGACCAGAAGACATTGAAAAAAAGACATAAGAAAAGAATTATTCTTCGAACTAACGACGTAAAGAGATGCGTGCTAAAGATGATGGTTCAAGGCTTGAATTATGGGAGGATGGAGCAATGATCTGACCGTCTGTTCAGTTTCGAAAGCAAAGAGAAGTGTTTCATGAATTTCATATATAATAAAGCCAGTAAAATTTCGTTTGATTAGGCTATTCTGATGTGGCACAACTCCTCAATCTGAACTGGCATTCTTCCAAATGACATTGTTTATGATAACGTATTTGTTGTGAATAAAATTACTATAAACATTGATTGAACTCCAAATCGAGTTTTTCGAGTTTAAGAGTAGTAATTGTCTATGATTCGACATGTGTTTTCTATACCAAAAACCGGGTTCTCCAACAGGACTCCAAAACCCGAGTCAACGGGTCATGAATGGAAAAAAGGCTGTAAATGTTTGCCCAAGAACACTTTTAGAATACTCGAATAAGTTGTTAAGTCTTTGAAAATACATGATTGAGGAATACAAGATATTGTTGATAAAGGTTAGGATCAGCTGGAGTGAAGCCGACTTTTCGATTTCTCTACGTTTATTTGATTTTCAAATCATCAAAATCTTTCAAAAATACTTTACAAAATCTGTTAAAGGATGGCTCTTGAAGGCTTCTGATTCGAGGCGATCAAATAGTTCAAATTTTAAAAATAGGACAAATTATCAAGGAGCGCTTACAGCACCAAGTTGAGTAGAATTTGGATACATATATAGTATTTCACCTCGCCTGTGTCGTAAAGAAGGGAAAGCAACAATGGAAATATAAACAGTTTATTCAATAACAATAAGCAATAAGAGTATCGGCGCGTTGAGTACAAGTCCCATTTTGAAACATACCAGTCTCCATATTAGTGATGAATGCGGTCAAGGCTTTGGTGAAGTTTGTCATTAAAACCTTCTGGATTTTGCTCTTTCATCTTTAAATCAATAAATGGATTTTTCATAGTGTTTCTGGCAGATTTTTAGATCCTAAGTGAAAGCTGATAACTTTTGGGAAGGTTTTTTGATTCTTGAGTGCAAACTTCTTTTGCTTGCTTCATCTAATTCAAGTGAAAAAACTATGAAATATTATAAAGAGAACACTGATCGAAAATCAATTAGTGCGATGAACTAGAGTACAGTGCTGGTCATTTATTTGTTATCTATGCTGAGTCTACCCAGCCTCATGTTGGAATGACGGTGGTAAAGTTTGAACAAGCTCTGTTTCAAAAACCCTTTTTTTGAGAGATTCATCTGATTAAAGGAGAAAAACTATACAAATAAGATATATAAAAAACCTTTGAACAACTCCCAGATACATACCAAGTATCGGAACTCGGCCCGCCTCTTCCGTCTGTCACAGCCTGGTCGATCCCCCTGGCCCGTATCTGTTTACGTATTGGATATTACGTCATTGACTCCCAGGATAAGTCTCCAGTAGTAGTCGCTTCAACTCAGATGGTTCGAGGGGACTTAAAGAGCTAATTTTCTGCGACTCGCCACTTACTAGAGTGTTAGAGTGTATACCTTGAAAATTTGTGGTGACAAATTAATTTAATTTTGTTAAGTTCTCCAAAGTATTGTCGACCAGGGCCAACATTGAATTCAAGCTCATGGGCTTGGAAAATTTTAGCTCCTGCCACAAGTATTTGAATGTTTCACGGTTTTCGTAGACATGGGTCAGAAAAGCGTCTGTGGCGTCTCCGTTGTTGTGGATTTGGTGTGTACAAAGATGACATTGGAAATCTGATGTGTCACTTGGTAGGGTCCTGCGAGGGACATATGATGCGTAATTGGAGTGATGGATGGACAAAAGATCATATCATCCTGCCGGCCCGTTGAAATGAGAATCATGTGCAGTATAAAGTTTTGGCAGGCTTTCCGCAAGATTTCGTACAGAATAGCACCTATTTAGTTTAACTTAATAAATATGAATATAATTAATCAAATGAATATGAGAATGCGCCATGTTTCTAAAAACATATTCGGGCGTGTGGCGCAGTTGGTAGCGCGTTCCCTTAGCATGGGAAAGGTCTCCGGTTCAAATCCGGACTCGTCCATTATTTTTTGCAACAAATCCTTTGGATTTGTACGGTATCTCTGAAATCGCTCCAACATTAAGTTGGCTCATATTCGGGGTCACTTTTTGTTAAATCAATACCAGGATAGAGTTTCGACTTCCCCATGACCTGCAAATGCTAGCAAAGCCTTCTCGGCTAGAGAAAGCAAAAAGAAAAGCGAATAAGGAGACTTTTGAGTCTTTGAGCCCCATAATGCAAGAAAAGCAAACTCCGATAATGCTACAAAGTCTCGCTCTTCATTGTTTGGAAGTTCAAAACAATTGATATACTTTCGGAAATCACTGCGTGGAGCAGAATAGTTAAGCGGTACGATGTATCATCTCTTCTTCAATTTTGGATCATAAATGACAGAGGCACAAGAGAAATTCTTCTTCGCTATCGGCATAACTGTGAAACATTCAAAACGTTTGGCAAAATTTTTGCCAAACCCATGAGTTTAAATGAGATATTGCGGTCTCCGACCCACATCTCTTGAGGAACTCAATAAATTCGAGCTGACTCGTCACCAATATTTTTTAGGTATACAATCGAAGCGAGTCTCAGGAAGTGAGCTTCTTAAGTCCTCTGCAGTATTCTGAGTTGAAGCGGATACTATAAGAGACTATTCTCACGATGACGTACTGTCCAATACGTGACGCTTGTAACGAGGACTATGCGGAAAGAAAGAGATAGGCCCCGTTCCGACACTAAACCATATTTGGAAGTTGTTCAAAGTTTCATATGTGATTGGTTTTATTTATCTAGTCAGATAAAAACTATATAATAGACACAGACTGGTAGCTGGAGCTGTTTTGAAAAAGAATGTCTTAGCGTTACATTGGATGCGGTTTTTTTCGTTATCCAATCGGCCACAATATGCATTTCCAGACGATTAATCATTTCAATGCAGTGGGCAGATAAAGAGCCATGATTCAATTCAAAACATATTGTGGAAGAGTAGAGATGACACATCTATATGACATCCAAAGAGAAAGTCACCTTTCGTATTGTTAGTTCTGGTAATTCTTGGAAAAAATCAGCACCACCAACCACTTATCCGGTTTCAGGCATCAGCGAATCTGTTAATGGATTTTGTATGGGTCCTCAATACAGCCTCAAATCACGAGAGTGGATAAATCGAATGTACCAGTACAACACGAAAAAAGCCCAGGAGACACTAAAAGACAGGGCTAGAAATCCAAGGATAATCCAAACCCTTCCCAAAGGGCCTTTTCCCCCTGTTCATTTGGCTTGTAATGGTTGCTGCTGAACGAGCATCAAAATTTTATATTTAGCGAGTTATTAGCTACCTGCATCGCCCATGGTGTATTGACGGACACCGAGACCGGTTGGCGGTGGCTGACGCTGACATACAAGTAGGGCGGCGCTTTTGTAAGGAGCCCCTATTTTGAAAACACTTGTCGGAAATCGAAGCTTGTGCTACTCAGTCATGCATATTTGTAACATTTGCAGATCTACTTCTTTTCGTTGGAAGGAAAGTACAGTGTAGGAAGAATGCCGAACTGAAACACAAGGGATGAGGCCTGTTTGGACTAAAAAAATCAGCACGAGCCAGGAACGGGCTTGGGCAGATCTTGACACCTCTTTGAAATCAGGAAGGAGAGACTAGTATACGGCGCAGCATTTCCAGGTCTCATCAGGGACTATACGAACAAACGGGTTCACGGGTCGCACGCCGCTTGTTTACTTTCCTGCGCAGGCGGCCTGCACACAGGACATCCCCAGGTAGTGCGGGTAATTACTCCTCGTCCACCCTCGAGCGTCGCACCGCGGTCGTCCCTTGCTATCTCACTTTTTAGCATTGTACTACCTTGCTTTCTTCCCCACGCTTAGCAGACTTTTGAATAGATCAAGAAGAAAACAACATTGATCATGTCTGAATCCACTGGTGCCTCGCACGAGACAGACAGCTCGAAAGGATCGAGCAGATTGAGGAAATTGACGGAATCGTCGACCTGGACCTCGCCGTTCAGAGCCTCTGGAAGTAGAAAAAACATGATCAAAGAATTCAAAGACAACAACTCGGTGTCGCAAGTGCACGTGCCCAAGAAATTCACCCTGCACCCCAATTTGGACAAGGGCGCCGAGAAAGAGCCCAAAGGAGACGAGCCCAAAGAGAGTGAGCCCAAAGAGAGTGAGCCCAAAGAGAGTGAGCCATTGGCCGAGGAGGAACACAAATCTGTTGCCGCCGATCCTGCTGCTGACGGGGCCCCGGATGCAGTCCCGAAAAATGAGCCAGTGGCACTTGGATCCGACGAGGAGGAGAGGCCATTGACTGAGGCCGAGAAGGCGGAGGTGGAGCGGGCCAAGGAGGAAAACGGCGAGGAGGAGAACGGCGAGGAGAAAAACGGCAAGGAGGCCGAGACCGAGGATCCTGCAAACAGCGAGGCGGACAATGGAGGAACCAACGTGGAAGCCGAAGGAACCTCCGATGGAATCGAAGGGGCCGACAACACCGAAGTAGAAGGTGCTGACACTGCCGAAAACAAGGAAAGTGAAGCCGAGCCGCAAACAGAGGATAAACCCGCCCAGGCTGCGGAAGCCACCGCAGACTCTGCCGGTGCCGAGGAGACGCCTGTCGTCAACGAAAACTCCGGCGACGACCACATCGAGCAGCAGGTGAAAGAGGTGCCTATGGAGATCGACACGGCGCCGGAAAACAAGTATGTGCCGGTGGCGCCGCCTAACCAGAAAGTGTTGGACCTGCTTGCCGACAAACCCGACTTGTTGAACCGGTACCAGGAGTTGAACGGTGCCATCAACAGCCAGGCGTCGACCTCTTTGGATGGCCCCGACAAAGTGGTGAACTTGGGCAGCGGGCTCCTTTTGACCCAGCAGCAGTTGTTGGACATTGCCGCCAAGCGCGTGGCGCCCGTGATTGCCAACATCAACAGCGAGGTCGAAAAGACACAGATGGAGGACCAGCTCATGGAGAAAAAGGAGGTGGACGCGTCGGTCGCCAAGCACGAGGCCAAGTTGGGCAAGCTCTTCGAGAAACACGCGGCCAAGGTGGCGAAGTTGAAGGAGAAGTTCGACAAGGAGATTGCCGTCAAGCTCGGGGAGCTTGAAAAGGAGTCCGAGTCCAGCACGGCAGCGGCCGAGGAGTTCGACACCACCACCAGACAAGAAATCCAGACCGCCAGCGACGAGTACTTGGAGCGCGAGAAGAAGGCCATGGAGCAGCACGAGATCGACAAGGAGACCTTGCTCAAGAACCACGACGAGTTGGAGGCCACCAAGAAGCAGGAGTTGGAGGACGCCAAGACGGGCCAGACCACGGCCACCGAGGAAATCGAGGCCTTGCAGGAAACGAAGTCTGCCTTGGACAACTCCAACACCGAGTTATCCGACGAGATCGAGCGGTTGACGCAGCAGTTGGCCGAGCGCGAGGAGGAGTTGACTGCCGTCACCGGCAAGTTGACCTCCGAAAAGGATGCGTTCAACCAGAACGAAGAAACGAAGAAGAGCTTGAACGAGAAGGTTGTGGTTGCCCAGAAGGGTGTCGAGGAGAAGAAGGAGTCCAAGTCCAAGTTGGCCGTAGAGGTCGGGCTCTTGGGTGCGGCTGTCGCCGCCTACGCTGCGAAGTTGACTTCTTTGAAATCCGATAGCGAGAAGCAGCCCCACCGCATCGCCGCTGCCAAAGAGAAGTTTTCTGCCTGGAACCAGGAGAGGCGGGAAATGGCAGAGAAGATTGCCCGCGAGCATGAGCAGCAGCGCTTGGAGGCCCGCGAGGCCGCTGCCACCGAGAGGGTGATGGCGGAAATCGAGGAGGAGAAGCAGAGGTTGGCCGAGGAGAAACAGCGCGTCTTGGAGGAAAAGGAGCAGATCGAGAGGGAGGAGCAGGAGAAGCTTGCGGCAGAGGAGCAGGCGAAGAAGGATGCTGAGGAGAAGGCTGCCCAGGAAAAGAGGGAGGCCGAAGAAAAGGCTGCCCAGGAGAAGAAGGAGGCTGAAGATAAGGCTAGGAAGGAGGCCGAGGATAAGGCCGCCAAGGAAGCCGAGGAAAAGAGAACGGCCGAAGAGAAGGTGGCCAGAGAGCAGAGGGAGGCTGAGGAAAAGGCGCAGAAAGAGGCGGACGAAAAAGCTAAGAAGGATGCCGAGGAGAAGAAGGCAGCGGCGGCTCTCGCTGTGGCTGAAGAGAAGAAGGCCGCGCAGGCTCAGGCCGCCAAAGAAAAGCAGGAGGCCAAGGAAAGAAAGTTGGCCGAGAAGGAGGCCGCGAAGGAGAGGAAGTTGGCCGAGAAGGAGGCTGCTAAAGAGAAGAAGTTGGCCGACGAGCAAAAAGCCAAAGAGGCCAACGCGGCCAAGGCTGCGGCCGTCGGCAGTGTCTCGCAGACCGCCAACAGCGATGGCGGCGCGGCCGAGCCAAAGTCCGCAAGCAAGAAGGAGACTGTTCCTGGCGCTGCCACCGAAAAGACTGAGGAGCCCGAGAAGAAGGACCACAAGGCCTTGGCTGGCTTTGGCGTGGGCGCCGGCGCCGGTGCTTTGGCCGGAGCAGGCATCAGCGCCATTCCCCGGAAGGGCTCGGATGCCGACAGCGCCCGGAGCCACAGTTTCTCCAAGAAGTTGAAGTCGGTGTTCGGGAGGAAGAACAGCGACGGGGCCGTTTCCGCGAGCACGAAGCAGAAAGCTGCGGTGCCTCTGAAGAAGACCGTCGCGGCTCCTACGGATGACTGGGTGTCTATTTACGAGGAGGTTTCCGACAACGAGTACGAGCAGCACAAGAACGACGAGGACTACATTGAGGTCGATGGCGCCAAGGCCGAGGAGTTGCTCAGGCGCCACCGCGACGTGCTTCCCAAAAAGTAGGGGAGCCGGTAGCCAAGGACGGGACTGGCACCAGCCTGGGGTGGACTCCCCCAGACAGTTCTGTTGCACCACTGATGTGACTGCATCCCATGAACGAAGTTTAGATTATTCTCAATATTCCTGCAATGCTAGTGGTATGTTATCACCGCAATCCGACTCCTCAAATCATCCCGAGAACACATTGCTGACGTAGATGACTCCTACTGATGTTCAGACACTGTTTTGAGAGCGCAATCCTGATGGGCCACCAAAAGTCAGGTCATCCGAAGTACAATACCGAAGTTTATATCATCCCTGAAACATCTTTTTGAGGAAGCAGGGCGAAAATTCCAAACTCTTGTCCCTTGTCACAGCCAACTCGAACTGCTCACATCATACAGGGAGAGCCAGGGCCTGCTCATACAGTATTCGTTTATTTCTGCAAACGCATATTTGCTCACGTTTGAGAACTCACCACCGATGAATATCCTTACTGCTTGATGGTGGCCCCAATTGAGGCTGCCAGCCACTGGTTTCTATTGGCCACACTGTTGTGTCTGGAATGCATGAAGTACGTTGACTTAAACATTAACTAGTGTGATTCTTGGCTTACTTTTGGGAGTATATTACTGTGAGCTACCGAAATAATTACGTCATTTTCTCCATTTCCGTACACAATTGAGGCCAGAATATGCTATCCTGTTTCAGGAAATTCCTTTTTCGTCCACTGAAACGTTGTCGTTGGAGAAATTCACATAGGGGCCTGGCAATACTGAAATTTGGGGCACCATACAAGACATGCCGGAAGGCTCTTCAAGGAGTGAAAATATGAATCGCATGGCCCAAAATCATCGTGGGGAGTCTCGCAAGTCTCGCAACTGTCCTGCCTTGCGATTCTCGGTAATTAATGAGTACTATTGCATGAATGACACTGGAACAATGGATGTCCCCGAATCCGGCCTCAGGAGCCAAAGACCCAAAGTAGCAGTGGCCCAATAATTTGCGTAAGTTTATCGTCTACCGTCACTTATTCTTTGATGCGGAAACCGGGTCCAATTTTGGTTATCCATAGCCGAGGTAACATTAGACTCTGGTATTGTAGTTGAAGATGGGAGGTGCGTTTTTAGACCTATAGAGATATCATTCTCATGTCTGCCCGAACACAACCCCATGAGCCGGAAATTTTACGAGTAAGCCACTTTTGCGTTATAAATCAGAACCCGGCGATAGGTTGCGTTTGTGTTTACGGGATACTAAGAATTAAATACCCGGGGACACCAGTGATTGAGAATAAAGACGCGTCCTTCGAGCGCCGGAAATACCGAGTCACTGGTGATGAGATTATTCCTACAATTCTACTGGTGACTAGGTTCTGCTGATTGCGACCACACCAGTGATGGAGGGATCGTTCCTACAATTCTACTGGTGTCTAGATGATTTTGCAATTCGTATGAAGCACATGAGATCAGACGCCCCAGGGCACACCACTAAGAATCCGAGAACTCCGGCAACTTCAATGAGCCACTGAAGACTCGATCATTCCTGCACTTCCACCAATGACCAGGTAATTCTTCTCTTTTCATATACCACCTGTAAGTAGATAACGCCATGCACCACGCCACTAGTAAGTAGATAACGCCATGGACCACGCCACTGGTAAGTAGATAACGCCCCGAAACACGCCACCGATAAGTAGACCATTGCTGAAATCAGATGGGCGTTTCCAGGCCGCCGCCACACATGAGCCGGCACCCCGCACCCGGATGCTTAGTCGAACGTCTTCTTTTTACCCTGTGAAGGCACAATGGCGGCCGACGCACGCTGGGCGGTGGCCAAGGCCACGGACGACTTCATTCTCTTGGCACTGGGCTCGAACGTGCGCTCGGGCGCTCTTTTCTGGGGCCGGGGCGCCGGTCTTTCGGGCCTAGCTTGCCTCTCTTTTCTGTCTCCGCCTTCCTCTTTCTCTCCCACGTCTCTCGTCTCGCGTCTCTCTCTGTAAGCTGCGTTTACAGGAGCTCCGTCGTCGAGCTCGCCCTCAACCACACGGTCGTGGCCAGCGCGCTTGGGGGCACGCTTGGATCTGTCCTCGCCGTACTCTAGGCGCAAGGGTCTGTTGATGAACAGACGGGCAAGCTTCAGCTTGAGCGCGGTGGTGGCGCCCTCCTCGCGCAAGAAGTCCACAAACGCAAAGCCCTTGCACTTGCCGGAATCCTCGAACGTGGCCATGCGGATCTTGACGATCTCGCCGCAGTGGCGGAAATGCTCCTCTAGCAACTCCTGCGTGGTGTCGAAGGACAAGTTGCCCACAAAGAGAATCCGCAGCGGCGGGTTCTTCAGCAACGGCTTCTTGCCGTGGTCCTCGGGCCGGCCTTCGAAAGAAGAGGCGTTCTTGATGAGCAAATTGCGCCCGTTGAGATTCAGCTCGCTGAGCGCCACGACGCTGGCCACGTGCGCGGCCGACGGCACGTCCACGTACGCAAAGCCCTTGATCTTGTCGCCCTTTTTCGGGAGGTTGACCCGCGAGATGTCTTTTTCCTCGATGGGCGGGGTGTCGACGTCTGTATTGGCCTTGGTCTTGGCCACTATGTACCGGACAATGTCGTCCCGGGTCGTTTCGAACGACAAGTTGCCGATCCACACACCAAAGGGCGACTTTTTGGAGACCGGTTCCTGCTCCGTCCCGTCCTCCGCGAGCGGCCGTGGCGCCGGGTGTTTGCGGGCGATTTTGGCCAAGTCCAACTTGCCTTTTTTCAAGAGACGCTGCCTTTTGCGGGACAACGGCATGGCGGCGTTCAAGTCGATTTCGAGCTCGCCGGACGCGGCGCCGCTGGGCTCGCCGGCGCCATTGGCGTGGTCGTTTTGGGCCGCTTTTTCTTCGCCGGCTTGGGACGCCAGTTCCGATTCTAAGGTCTCAGGCCCATCCTCGGGACTGTTTGGAGCTGGGGGCGCGGCGCTCTGGTCGGCATCCTTTTTTTCTTTTTTCTCCTTCTTCCGCTCTCTTTTCTCTTTTTTGCTTTCCGTGGTGGCCATGGTGTTTTATTTTGTGGGGGCAGAGGATTTGGGGCAGGAGACTGGAGTTCGATGCACGCGATGCTCATCGTCATGTATTTTTTTTTTGGATCGCGCCGCGATACAGCTGCGGAGACGAGGGTACAGTAGATAAGCACTTGGATGTACGACTGCAAACAATCAGCGAATGGCGAGTTGGTAGAAGTGCAGGAGAAACCGCATCGGAAGAAACGTGGGAATTGTGTACATCTGCAAAGAAGTAGCAATGCTGTTTGTTTGCAGCAAGCTTATAGCTGCAGACTAGTTACATGGGGCCCCATCTGCAATAAGCGATAAGAAAGGATGTCGAAGACAAGTAGCAAAAGAAAACCAAAGAGAAGGGCAACCTGCAAAAAATGCTCTAGAAAGGATATCTGCAACCCGCCAGTACGGGCGTATATTCGAAAACAGCCAATATGCGAGTGTCTGCTCATATACGCGTATATGTCCACCCAAGTGATCCTTAGGAGGGGCTGGAAACACGTAATAAATGGTAATTCGCAAAAAGAGACAGTTGCGTGGCTGAAAACTGACAAACAAATACCAACAGCTTTGCGCTTTGAACACTCAAGAACGCACAGTTCAAAAAGGCAATAATTAATAGATGCACATGCAATTATTGGAGAGGGGTCATGTAGAACAGATACAGAAGAATGTCTGGAAACAAGCAATGACTTAAGTCCTAAACACGCAATAAAACAATAAGTAAATATTCATGTGGTATCATAAAAAAACATTAAAACGTGATTATGCAAACACTTCAATCCGACTCTTTTCCCGTGAAGTGGTCAAAACTCGCTGACCCAGGCGTGCTTAAGAAGCAAGTCAGTTCTGGATAAAAATGAAAAGAGCCCGTTTCGAAATGCTTTATTCCTTTCTCCTAGAATTAATCCATCCGCTCATGGGCAGGGGAAAGTTGGTCCATCGTACCTGTACTTCGGCTATCCGATGCACGAAATTTCCCGAAATCCAGTCTGGCGTACTGCTAAGCGACGGTTCAAGATTTTTCAGAATGTGCATAAGAAAAACATACTTGGTGGGGATGACTTGTTCTTTTGATGCTCATCATACGTTCGCATACTTTTGCGAGGATGGGTTTCGTGGTATATTTATGATACATCTTTGGATCAGCTATCACACGAATAGTCAAACCTATACCTACCTTCCCGTAGGCTTCACTGGTGTGATATATCAACTTCACTTGTGTGATATATTAACTTCCTTGGTGTGATATATTAACTTCACTGGTGTGAGAAGAAACCAAATCTGAATACACCACTCTAGCAATGTTCGTAAAAGTCGATTCCCGAGTCTCAGCTGATGAGAATTATCGTAAAGTTGCTAAACATGAACTTTAGTCCTGAGGCTAAAGAAAAAATGCTGCCATAAACTTCAAAGCTACAAATAAAGTCATCCCGGCTCTGTTATGATGATTGATTCTGACCCTGCACGGAGCATATTTTGTATTCGTATATGTCTACATCGAGGATATATAAACTTGTTGTGAGGACTAAATATGTCACATGGGAGATTTAGAAGCCCCTAAAGACCAGAACTTAATTCAGCACACTATGAACTGGTCAATGTGTGAGAAAGCGACTCATTTTAGTCCATTTGCTGTCTGCTACTGAAATGTTTTTGCAACCAGCCTCAAAAGATAGATACAATAATAGCTTCACTCTCAATTACATCCAAAAGCCGGCTAAAATGTAGGCCATGTCCTTCCTTGCACAAATCTGTGAATGAGGAAAATTGTTCGATTCATACTTTTTAGATTGATAGTCGTGAGGGCCTTCTACCCTATTCATTGATGAATGTCATGGGGTCATGGATGATGGCTCGATGACGCAGATGATTGTTATACCAAGCATAGACAGTGTAAAAAAGTAGAAATGTCACATTTGTCTAGATGGACTTAAAACATATGGAAGGAAAATCCATGTCTAGATGGACTTTAAACATATGGAAGAAACATCCATGTTTGCTGCGAGATTCCCGGTTATATGCCTTTAGAGAATGTCGACCAGCCCTTTCAGCCAGAAGTAAAATCTGGCGATTTTGTCTTGAATAATTTTATGCTACCTATAACTGGAGACTGACCGCCGAAACGTGTGTCAGATTTTAATCTGGTTATGACCAATAGTGGTTCGCAGCCACTATTCAGTACATAGTGCTCATAAACAACCATGCATGGAGTTTTCTCACAAAAACCATGTACCCACTGCTTCTGGAGATATACAAGACTTGATAAACCCGATTCATGTCGCCTGCTCCAATTTCGTGGGAACAAAAAATTGCCTATTTGGTGGAGAGAGGCATACGAGTGCTTGATGCAAACTGACCCAATTTAAAAACGCCATCTAACTTAGACATGCCCCTGCCTTGAGAAGTCCTTCGGAATCCAGGCCGAATCCTACGTTTTTTCTGTTTGTTCTGAAGCCGGCAACGGTGGGGTGGAAGGCGAGATTGCCCACAGCCTTAACTTGCATCACCAGCATCGCCCACCTCAGATTTAAACCACGCTTGAAGCACAGAAAACCTTGAACAGCCCACCTTGCTACCACGTAAAGCCACACTTAGGCACTGCATGGCTCAAAGGAAGATTCAGCCGCTTGTAAGCTTTTCTCATTCATCCCCGGCAAGGGACGGAATTGAAATCCGCTAAAAATGCACTGCAGAACGACAGAAGTAAAGTGGTCACCAAAAATGTTCAAATCATAGGGAGCAACATCGGCACAAACTGCTCGATGTGATGGCCAGATCATTACCATGTGCTTGACTGACCAACATACCAGCGCAATCTCGGCAGCCTCAAGCAAGAGGACCGCAGCCTATGAAACAACTTTTATACATGACTTTGAAAATAAGCAAGGTCTACTGAGTCGTCTTTTGATACCATTATTACATGCCGCTGGTAATTTCCCCGTGTGCTCCAGTGGAATTGCCACGGGCCCATGACGAGTGAAAGCAACTTATTGAAAGAGAACAGCATCCCACAAATTTCAGCAGCATCGTAGAGAAAGAAATTTAGAAGTAGGAATGCCCCTTATTATATAGCTCCAAGAGGTGATAGATGGGGCATTCCCGTTTTCAGTGGTGGTCTACGGGTTTCATCCCCATAGCGAAGCTATTCGAGCTGCTGCCGAAACAGGCGAGAATAAATACTAATTCCGGGCTTTTTATCTCAAGCACACGTGATACCTCTTGGTGGCGAAAGCCTCCGTGATCCACAGCTTTCTGCAAGTATAGGACACGGGGCTTTGATTTCCATGACTTTCGTGGTTTTCCTCAGACACGGAAGAAAAAATGGATTTCACAAAGGCAATTCCATTTCCAAGTCTATGGGATATATTATTGACGTGACCGAACTCATTTACAGCAAGAATAAGCTCATTACTGACAAATGGAGTCCATTGTCAGCAGCATTGAAATCTAGATACGAGCCAGGCGCTTGCACCCGAATTGGCTGAAAACTACCAGCACGAGCCGCCCAGGGATGGCATCTACAACATAGCTTCATGGACTAAATATATTGGGGTCAACTATCAACAAGACTCTAAGACTCAAGTGCACTGCTTCTTGCCGATGCTGTTTTTCTTGCTTCCATCAGACGTCTAGTGAGCTGACGTCTGCGTACTTGAATATCCACATAAAATCAGGATTCAGGCACAGGCAAAACGCCGCCAAAACATGGCGACAACATTCATTGCTCCTCACAGCTTTGCTAATCTCTATTTCCTTACAGATAAGTGATGCCCGCGCGGCACGTGCCTGAGCCAAACCCCATGCTGACGTTTACGCGGCCTTGTCATGCAAAAGACGAATTGCTTATCAGAAAGCACCACGATCAAGTGCCATTCTCTTTTCTGAACTCCAGGCTAAAGAGTAGCAGTCAGAAAGAAGAAGCGAGTGCTTGGAGACTTTTGGGCCAGCTCACCGAAAACAGCCGCACGTGACCAGCCTTCTCCACCGAATTGCACTAATCTCCTGTACCGGCACCAGCACACGGATTCAACAACACCGTCTTTGGATCAGAAAAGCAGTTTTTGGCTCCATATAGGAATTTCTGGATCAGTAGAAGAATCTTTGAAGCTACAGAAAAATCTTTGAATCTACAGGAGAATCTTTGAATCTACAGAAGAATCTTTGACTATACAGAAGAATCTTTGAATCTACAGAAGAATCTTTGGATCCACAACACAGTCTTTGGATCCACAGCACAATCTTTGAATTAGCAACACAGTCTCAGGATCTACAAGAATCTTTGGACCACAAAATTGTCTTTGAATCTACTGAAGAATCTCGGATTGACAGCAGAATTCTCCGATCAACGAACAAGTACTGGATCCACTAAAACAAGCTCTGAATTCAGCAGAACAAAGAGTCCCCGGCACACGTAAGATGGAATCTCCCGAAGAAAGCACACTAGTGACCGGATACAGCCGGCCGCAAATGGCGGAAGGGCTCGAAGCCCCCTCCAACGCAAAAACGGGCGAAGAAATAGCAGAATTCCCAGTCGACGCTTTGGAATCGGACGACGAGGCACTGGTGCATTCTGTACCAATGCGGCGCAGCGACTCCTCGGTAAGCGTGTCTTTCTTGGACTTGCTGAAGCTCCTAGTGATGCCCGACTACGATTTCGGGTCTGGGTTTGATCAGGTCAGCGACTCCACCAAGCGGAAGTTCATGGAAATGAAGAACCGCACGCGCGAAAAGTTGCTCCGGTTCAAGGCCGACAAGCAGGTGGCCGGCTTGCGCAGCAAAACCAAGAAGTTCTCGCCGCAGGACCTTGCCAAGTTCCAGGAAGGCCTCAACAAGCGGCTCAACCGATTTGACAGCGCCATCCAGGAGAGCCTCCAGAGCCTGGCCACGGAAAAGGCTTTCTACGCTTTTGCCGTGACGTTGATCGGTGCCGCGGGCTTCATTATCGGCAAGTACCCGGTGTATTTCCCCGTGTTCCACACAGTGCTTTTCTGCGTGCTCATGCCCATCCGCTTCTACACGTACTTCAAGCTCGGGTTCCAGTACTACTTGGCGGACTTGTGCTACTACGTGAACGTGCTTCTCCTCCTCTTCCTCTGGGTGTTTCCGCATTCGGAGTCGCTCTTTGTGTCGGTGTTTCTGCTTGCGTTGGGCACGCTCAGCTTTGCCGTGATCACGTGGCGCAACTCGCTCGTGCTCCACCTGATCGAGAAAACCACCAGCTCGTTTATCCACGTGATGCCGCCTCTCACCATGTTCATTCTCGTGCACCAGACCCCTGCCGACTACGTGGCGCGCCGGTACCCTGCTGTGGCGCTGGTGGGAAAGTGGAATTTCGTCAACGGCATCATTGTGACTTCCATATACTACACGGTGTGGCAGGTGGCGTACCACTATTTCATCACGGTAAAGAGACGCGAGCAGATTGCCAAGGGCCGGGTCACGTCGTTCACGTACTTGAAAAAGAGCCAGAGCAAGAGCCCGTTGGGCAGATTCGTCAACTCCCTTCCGTACCCATGGATGCAAATAGCCGCGTTCACGCTCATCCAGTTTGGCTACCAGATGCTCACCATGCTTCCGTGTCCAATCTGGTTCCGGTACAAGTATGCGTGCGGTGCTTTCGTTCTTTTTGTGTTCACCTGGTCGGCGTACAACGGAGCCACCTACTACATCGAGGTGTTTGGCAAGCGGTTCGAAAAAGAGCTGAAGCAGCTCAGGATCGAAATCGAGGAGCTCCAGCTGCGACTCGACCGACAGGAGGGCGAGCGGGACTCGGCAAAAACGAGTCCAGATGTGTCCCCCGTGATCCAGGCCACTTCGGGCGAGCCTCTTGTGGTGAATCAGGGAGACCGGGACGCTGAGATCTAGAGACAATCGGAGTACTAGCCAGACCACAGTGACGAGAAAGAGCCATGAACATTCCGAGAAAAAATTGGGAATGACAGAGTAATCGGAAGATGGCCACCGGAATCAATGTGATTTCGAGCCTGAGGCAAGTCCGAGCCCGAAGTAGAATTCGAGCCTGAAGCAAAGATTAACATCACCTAGAACTGGTATACGCGACCGGTGATCTAGAGGGCGGTCGAGGTTCCCTTAAGGCTGGGCTGGCCTGACTCCACCTAAAACAAACAAGCGTAAGTTCACGCCCAACAAGCAGACATGTTCATTTCTGGTCAACTGAAACAGGCTAGATACCATCTACCCGCTTCGACATGTCAATGCTAGAGAATGAGCTGATGAAGGCGGCATTTTTTGTTCCATTCATGGCGAGATCAAAACCTGGCACCATTCACCTGGACCTGCATTAAGAAAAAAGTCACCACAACGAAGATAAAAAAGAATCAGTCACATCTTTGAGAGCAGTTCATCTGACCTCGTTGTTGCCGGCTGCAAAATACTTCGCTTAGTGAGATTTTGTTCCTGGCAAGGCCGAGGAAATGTGGGTATCAGCAGGTACGAATCTCTCTTACCCACGTTATGTTTCAGCGATCCATGGCCACCCTTAATACCTTGGCCAAACACTTGGAATGCTCCAATCCATTGTTAGTTGTACCCCAATTGCTTGATGATTTCGGGTTTGGGTGCGACTGGGCCCGCGGCGCTGTGTGCAGTACACCCAATCTGAGGTGAGAAAAAAAAACTAGCGTGAACCCAAGCTCTGGTAGCGTCGTCACAGCCATACTGAATCGCCCCAAAAACCAAGCAAAATCACACACAAACCATGTTTAAGTCGGGGTTTTCGCGGGTGCTGTTGAAAACACCAGCGCACCGGTTTTTAACCTGCGGCAGACCTGTTTTGCAGGCTCCGCTGCCAACGAAAGCTTCAAACGCCCATAAGGCGGCAGAACACATGGAATTCTTGCTGAAATTCTACTCCCCCGAGCTCTTGCAGAGTGTGAGGATTGCAGAGTCGCTTGTGTCTCCCGACGAATACCTTGCGTTGCGCAAAAAAGGCCCCAAAGCGCTTTCTCGAGTTGGGCTTACGAACGAATCGCAAGACTTCTCCCACAACGACCCCGAATGGGAGGAGCCGATCATCTACCCGAACCAGGCCACGGACCACACACCATACGCTCGCATCCCGCAGATCCGGGCGCCCGACCGGTCGGACTTGCAGCTTACATTCAGTCTTGAGGACATCAAAAAAAGCCGGCCTAACACCATGGGCGCCAGCCGCGACAAGTTCTTCCAGGAATTGCACCAGTTGACCGGAATGGAGGAGCGGTACATGCGCAGCTTGTACGTGCGTCCCATTGTGATGAAGCGTGTGTCGTGCCAGACGTCCAAGGGTAAAATCCCCAATTTCTACGCGTTGACTGTGGTTGGCGACAAGAACGGCATGATCGGCTTGGGAGAGGGCAAGTCGAGAGACGGAATGCGTGTGTCGTTGCGTAAGGCGCACTGGAATGCCATTAAGAACTTGCAGCCCATCCCACGTTACGAGAACAGGACAATCATCGGAGACGTGGACTACAAGTTCCACGCCGTGAAGTTGTTCCTCAAGTCAGCGCCTGCCGGGTTCGGCTTGCGCGTGAACCCTAACATTTTCGAGGTGTGCCAGGCGGCCGGAATCAAGGACTTGAGGGGTAAGGTGTACAAGTCGAGAAACCCAATGAACGTGGTCAAGGGCTTTGTGGAGGCCTTGACGAAGCAGACCTCTTTGGAGGACTTGGCAGCAGGCCGGGGCAAGAAGTTGGTGGACTTGAGAAAGGTCTACTACTCCGCCTAATTGTGTATATAGGAATAGAACAGACGTTACTATGTGCGTGTAGACATGGCACAACAGGGGGGCTGAACGATGCAAAGCGGGCTTTTTGGCAGTGGTGAGAGGCGGCAGTGTTTTCCCAGATGGCCTCATGGAAGGGGGCCTCGATGCTTGTCGCTATGATGTACTTCTTTTAAGGTGAGAGGTGGTACACTGCATTGTTGAGAATTCTCTTTTGAGGGCCGAGGTGTTATCAAACTAAGGCGCCTGTGCCTGTTCAAAACCGTGACGCTGCCTAAAAGACAATCTCTGTATCAGGCTTTATGGGGGTTCGGCTTCGGGGAAACCGTTGACTAGAAGTTGGCCGACACTGGCGAACGCTTCCATATCCAGAATCGAGAGATAGTGGGAGACGCTAGCTGGGTCGAGGCAAAACGATGAAATACGAAGATCTTCGAAAGGTGGAGATACGGTGGGCAATACAGGCCCGAGTTTAGATTTGGTACTGGTCACGTGCAAGGCCAGAGGCGTCATGTGGCCTTGTCCGCCAGCTTTCAGCGCCGTATCAGGCAGCCGGACCCGATGCTGTGGAGAGACTTGACAATATTGCAGCCACCGAAAAGAAAATCAGAGACGGCCCCGCTCATCATTCGCCCAGCTTGAAATCACGAGGCACTGAAGCGGTGGTGATGCTTTGAGGTCCATTCCAGCCGAGATGCTTATGCAGAGAAGCAGAAATGAAAAGAAAGGACAGATTGCTCGGCCAGGAAAAGCTCGTATTCTAGCATGCCGTCGGCCAGGGGCCTGTCTGTGGAACAGGACCTCGTCTGATCAGATGTCTCTGGAGCAGGGCCACGTGACCCTGTTCCGGCACCACGAATTACAAAGTTGCCGAAGAAAACGCAAAACCGCAAGATCCACAAAAACCCAGATTCGCTTCCAAACACGACTGACCGGCTCGATATCCGGCCTATAAAAATCGGCCGAACCCCCCCGGCCCGTTCGCCGTCGCCACGCCCCAGGAGGGCCAAGCAGGCGTCCTGCACACAGCGCACACGCTCCGTCCCCGATCTCGTCTAGAAGGTCACAAGGGTTCACATGGCGGTACGCCCAGGCACGCAAAAACATTTGGAACCACCCGAAATTCACACGTTTCTGAAACCGCGCGCCATGGTTGTGGACACCACGTACTACGATTTATTGCTGTTGCCGCCCTCGGCCACTGCGCTCGAGATCAAAAAGGCGTACAGAAAGGCGGCTATCAAGTTGCACCCGGACAAGAACCCCAACGACCCCGAGGCCCACGCGCGGTTCCAGGAGGTGGGCCAGGCGTACCAGGTGCTTTCGGACGAAAAACTCCGCGAGAAATACGACAAGTATGGCATCCAGGAGTCCATCCCAAGCGAGGGTTTTGAGGACCCCGCCGAGTTCTTCTCGCAGATCTTTGGGGGCGACGCGTTCAAGGACTGGATCGGCGAGTTGTCGCTTTTCCTGGAGTTGACCAAGTCCGCCGAGCTCTCGGCCGAAATGGACGAAAAACCGGCGGACACCGCCAGCGCTCCCTCCGAAGAACAGAGCGCATTTGGCGGCTCGGAAAACAGTGCCACCGCGCCATCCAGCGCACCCGCGCCGAGCGCCGGGAGCGGCGGCGCGGCCGCCAGCTTGGCGGGCGAGGAGGGCGGCCGGGGCGCTCATAACCAGGAGGAAGCCGGCCGCAGAAGCACGCCCCTTCTTCTTGCCGACGGCCAGGACAGCGCTGGTGGGTCCGGCACGCTCACGGCCGAGGAGCAGGAGAAGAAAAAACGGCAGGAGGAGTTGGAGCGGTTCGAGGAGGAGTGCCGGGTCAAGAAGATCGAGATGCGCAACGAGCTCAGCAAGAAGTTGGTGGAGAGGCTCCTTGTGTTCACGGAGTCGGACATGGCCGACGACGTGGCGGAGTCGTTCCGCCAGAAAATGCAGTACGAGGTCGAGGCGCTCAAGATGGAGAGCTTTGGTTTGGAGATCTTGCACTTGCTCGGCCAGATCTACAAGACCAAGGCGAAGATCTTGCTCAAGAGCCAGACGTTCCTCGGGGGCTTGGGCGGGTTGTGGTGGTCCATGAAGGACAAGGGCGGTGTTGTCAGGGACACCTTCAAGACGTTGGCGTCGGCGCTAGATGCCCAGCTGACCATGCACGAGTACACGAAAATGCAGGAGGACAACGAGTTCCACGCCAAGAAGGAGGCCGAGGAGGTTGCGCGTGCCGAGCTCGAGAAGAACCAGGCGCAGCAGGACGTCGAGCGCTTGGAGGAACAGTTACACAAGATGCAGCAGCAGCTCAAGGAGGGCCACGAGGGGAAGAAGACCAAGGTGCCGGAAAAGCACACGGATGAGGACATCCACGAAATGGAGAAGTACCTCATTGGGAAAGTGCTTGCCGCGGCATGGTCCGGCTCCAAGTTCGAGATCCAGGGCACTGTGCGTGTCGTGTGCGACCAGATCCTCTACGACAAGACCGTGCCGCTAGAACAACGCCTTGCGCGGGCCAGGGGCTTGAAGATCATCGGCCAGGTGTTCAGCGAGGCCTCGCGCACCGAGATGGAGGCCGAGGAGGCGCGTGTTTTCGAGGAGCTTGTTGCAGAGGCGTCGCAGAAGAAGCACCGCAAGAAGCCCCGGCCGGCGGAGCCGAAGGCGTGAGTGGATTACGGGGCCGGCGCCGCAAGCAGCGGTCCCTGAGTCGATGACGGCTTTGCTCCGGCGAAAAGCGGCCATTTCGCGTGGGTCTACGACTCAGAGGTACGGACTACGGGCGAGCATGAAAGCAAAAAGAGCGTGAGGATTAAGAAAAGAAGAGATGGTAAGGACACTCTTTTGCTGGCGTCTGGGCGATCCATGTTCCTGCGGCCACGGCACCGGGGGCCCGCTGCACAACTGCACACCACCCGAGCTGCTGTCCAGCCCGAAGACTTTTGGAGTATCTGCTGTGCTTTGGTTATACGACTGCCAATCCGAGTGCTAGGAGGCGAAACTAGCGGGAGTCCGGCGCCTCCTTCTTGAAGTTGTCCAATCTTCTCTGGTGGTCTTGGATGAACCGAATCACCTTCTTCCTGTTGTCGCGCAACACGTCGTTCCCGACCACGTCCACGTTGTCTAGGTTCATCAACTCCTTCAAAAGCATTTCCTCGAAGTACTTGAACTTGTACTGCTTGTCGTCCTCCGACATTTCGGCATAGTGCTCGATGTAGCTATCGATCTGCGGCACGTACGTCTCTTCAACGTGGTCGAGAATCCGCTGGATTTCCTTGTTGGCCACCTTGGCCTTCGAGGGCTTCTTCTTCTTGGTCTTCGACCTTTTCCCCGCGGCCTGGTTAGAGCTACCTGAAGACACAAGTCTTTGAGCCAAAAATATTGTGGGCATCATGACAAGCGCCAACGTCACCGTGGCGGGCGTGAACTGGAGACTACGGATATCGCTGAAAAGTTCCTCCCTGGTTGTTCCCGAGATATTGGCGATGTACTGTCTTACAGAATGCTCGATGTTTTCCGGGACGTGGTGCTCGAATCTGGCGTATAATTGCGAGAGCGTGTCTGCCACAGAGCCTCTGGCCTGGGCGAAATGAGTGCTGAGATTTTCCATGGCGATTTCCCCTGCGAAGCTTACCAGAAAACACGCGGATTGACAGTCGAAGTCCGAATGTGTGGTGTACTTTGTGCTTTGCAAAAGAGGTGAAATCTGACCAAGCTGTTCACGTAATGCTCGCCCGAACCAGCCGGGACTGCACACAGCATCGTCGGCCCATTTATTCGGTGTGATTGATCGGATTGTTCTGGCTGCGTGGGTTTTGAAGGTGGCTTCAGAATTAATAGGAAAGTTTGAAGAATCTTGTAGCCAGTGTCGATCTGTCTGAATTCAGGCGAAATAAAGATGCTTATGGTGGTCCAAAAACCTGTCACGTGACCCTGAGAACGCCCATGCTAGTTTGGTGGAAGATCATGAATAGAATGAAGTGAAGCAGTGATTTCCTCCAAGCCACTATGAGGTTGAGTCCATGGGATCATTTTATGGTGTTCCTGCAGCTATATTGAAAACTGAATGTTGGGGATGCCACCATCTGCAAGGACGGTATTTCGATAGTCATGATGCTTGATTAAGTATTGGTTAGTTAACTCGTGGTTGTTCACATACTCCAAAGGTAAAGAATTAACTGTGTCAGACACTCAAAAGTCTCTGGTTTTACAAGATGCTTTTCCTGGCCCATGAAAAGCCGAATGTAGGGAGCCTTGGTATTGCAAGAAGCGAATCCAGAAACCCGCCCGAGGTGGGCACAGATCTTGTGCACATTGTTTTGCTGTCCATAACCTTGAAAGTTTTAGCGGTTGAAAGTTCTCGTTGAATCCGCAGTGAAAAGTCTAAAAGATGATACGAAACAATCCAGTTAAATCACTCTAGACTGAGATGAAGTCTTTAATGATTTAGTGAGATTGGCTGAAATGTGAACTCTGAGGGAAGAATTCCGAGAAAAGTTGACAAGACATGTATGATGCATTGCAACTGAGTTGCTTCATCTCTCAACACATCATGAAGGGCCCCCCAGGAATAAGCCTCAAATCGCTGGAGAATAGAAACGATGTTTCAATCATCAGAAGGACGACCCATCTTTGGATCTTATACACAACCTCATGCAATTGAGAACTGTCTAGATGTTTCATGTGGTCCCCAAGGTTATTTTGCTTACGGGGTGTCACCTTTTAGTCATTTTACTGTGAAATTCCACGTCATACCCCGGCCCTTTTATGCAATGTATTGAGCAGCTAGGATCAAGTATATTCGAGGCGACTGTTTAATATCATTTTCGGATCTGTGTTTCAAAAGACAGGTTTGAGCAGGAACTGTATGCGTTTATGTCGCTGCCATGCATAGCGTACGATGGAATTATGAAAGAGGGGACCATTCTGAAAGGTCCCATCCATCGTGCCATGAGTGTTTTCGTCACATGATGAGACATGCCTCCGAGGGTCTATGCTTTGACTGATAATTACACAGCGTCACTACACACCTTTCAAGCACTGGGCCTGGAGTATCTACCACTCATGCACCACTCTTGCCATAGCTTAAATTACCTCAGCCACTGGTGTGACTTGTCTTGTTTGCACATTGACTTCACCTTTTAAGGCGTTTCTAGAGCGCCAAGCCCAATGATACTTATTGGACCCCATGCATGTATAGCCCATCGTCTCTCATCAGTTGTCCCCATCCACTAACGTTGTGTTAGTGATCTATACCAGAATATGAAACCAGTTTTTAGTTCAAGGGAGTAGACTTGGCCATGGAAAAGAATTGCAATCTTTGCTTTGGCCAAACATCAACATGTGCCCTGGAGCCACCTCAAAAGCTGGACCTAATAAGGTTCCTTGGCCTCCAATTCAAGCCATTCATGCGTAGAGGTGCCTGTGTAGCGGACCGTATATTGGCCTAGAACCCGCAGTTGTGCTGCTTGACTTCTGATCAGCCGATGAACCCGAAACTGCCGTGGTCCCGAATTCGGCAATGGTTATGAGGAGATCCCATTTCGCAGCTGGACTCAGGCCAGCCAGCGAGGCTATGTGGCGCAAGAACGAACTTACTGGCATACCACCACTTCACTTGCCTGGAGGCATTGTGTTAGGGCATTTCCAAAATTAGCCTGGGATTTCCACAGTGCTATTTCAACTCAATGTCGAGAAATTCGGGCTGGTGTCCGAAACCTCGGTAGCGTCCGAATTAGGAAGTCCGTGAGCAATTAAGTATCTAATAGGCTTGCCACGCGGGCCCGGACCTGCTTCTACCGGGCCATCACCATGGAATTATGAGTCTTTAATTCTATACTGAAAAGACAAGGGCAAAGCAGCGTCGGTGCTACGATTACATTGGTCTGGCCAGAATAGCATGATTCTGCCGGAAAAGCATTTAACTGGCCATGAAGCATAATGCAGTCACAAGGGCACACCCCACATCGGGCATGCCTTGATAAGGACCAGGCTAAATGAACAAAAAAATAAAAATACATGTCGGGCTCTTTCCGAAAGTCTTCCCACTAATTGCCTGCGCACTGCCAGGAATTCCAAAGAGCCATGCCCAGGATACGCGGGCAAAAAACCCCTAAAATTATTGCAAACCACACAGGCCCGCGGGCCTCGAGATCTGGTTCCATCACCACGCGAGCCTCACCGCTGTGTAGATCTGGCCAAAAGAAAAGGGCCAAATTCTCCCGATTGGCTGAGCAATTATCGCAGACATCGCAAGCGTCGCATTTGTCGCAATGCCTGTCTGAGGTACATAGGGGCAGGAGGATTTTCCGGGGGCGCATTTCCGGCGAGCAAGCTTGGCCGCATTCGGCAACAAAATTGCCATGTTGCAATTGCCCACATGGAAAGCTTATGTCGTGGGCAGGCGTTCCCCAATCGCGGCGGCGAGAGGCGAAAGAAGCAAGGGGAAAAACCCACTCAGCAAGCAAGACGCGCATTTAGAGATGAAGCAGAAGCGCAGCGCACTATCGTGCCTGCACGAGACCCGGACCACGTCTAAAGCCGTAGTCCAACTGCTGCGCCCGCAAGAGTTTCTCCGCTCCTTCATACACCTGTTTCCGCCCCAAAAAAAAAGGCAGAGTGTCCCCGGAGCTTTTGTTGGCATTTCGGCCTTTCTGTCACGTGCAACGGGCAGGCACGGTTTGCGGCAGCCCTGGCGGCCTTGCTATTTTGCGGCCGGTCCGCCGGCCCAATAGGATTTCCCCACACTTGGCGTGTGGAGAGAAGGCGCCCATAGTTTACGAATGTTGAAAACGGCACGAGGCGTAGATCTCTAGCGGCGGGGCATGCAGGCGGCAGGCCTCTTGCACATTCTCGCACGAGGTGCTAGAAGTTGCTGGGTGCGGATTTTTGCACATAGTGGGGCGGCCATGACATAATGGGGCGGCCCTATGGAAACAGCAACGCAGGGCCCCGGGCTGGGTTGCTGCTGCCGGCTGCGGCCCCAGATATAAAATGCTTGACGTGGTCGCCCCACCTCGGACTGGGAATTTATTCTGTAAATTGAACTTTTCCTTCGTTCACTTCAGCCTCCAGTCACTTCACACACTAAGCCTAATAAAATGTCCGATATTATGTCCATGGTTTCCTCGATGACCGAGTTGACTGACATGTCCACGATGACCGACATGATGTCTTCCATGACCGACATGTCTTTCATGACCGACATGTCTTCTATGACCGACATGATGGACTCTTCCATGACAGACATGATGGACTCTTCCATGATGATGGACTCTTCCATGATGATGGACTCTTCCATGATGATGGACTCTTCCATGATGATGGACTCTTCCATGATGATGGACTCTTCCATGATGACCTCCATGTCCGACATGTCCGACATGTCCATGATGACGTCCATGTCTGACATGTCGGACATGATGTCGTCCACGATGTCTAGCATGATGTCTGACTCGTCTGCCTCTGGCAACTCGAGCTCGTCAAGCACGGCCTCGTCGGGCGCCGAGGCTGTTGCCGCCAGCTGGAAGAAGGGTGCTGCCATTGCCGCTTTGGTCGGTTTCTCTTTTGCCGTCAACGTCTTGTAGGAAGGCTCTGGGAGCCATGCTTGCTACGTTCTAAGTACGAAATAATATAACTTCTAAGTACGAAATAATATAACTATCTCCTTACAATTACCGTCACACTGTGATGCACTGCCACTACTATGAAACATGGTCACTGTAAAATATCGCCACTGTGAAATATTCGGAATCTAGGATATGCTCGGGGACCCGTGGCCTCAGTCAACTCCACGGCCTTCCCCATTCACTTATTGCCGCATTGGGGAAATTGCGATGGGAAAAGTCTAATTGAATGCCGCGCATTACTGCTATGCACAGTCTGCCAACAATAGACCACGTCTTGTCCTTGTAGTGATGATGGTTTGGAGACCACATTCTATAAACTCCCACCCCCGAACAATGCCGCGTGTTTTCTTGGCTTGTTCTCTGGGGACCCAGCGCGTTGTGCGAGCAGCCGGCTTGTTGACGACGCTTGTTCCTAGCGAGCATATGGGTATTGGTCCTGGGCTTTGAAATAAACTGCCCCGACAAACGTAGCAAAGTGCGGCCGCCTGCAGCGCTAGTGGGCCCAAACTCAGACGTTGCTCTTTCCTAGGCCCGCCTGGAATTAGAGTTTGTTGTTCTGGGCATCCTGTCGCTCGAAATCGTATGTTTTCTTCTATCTTCTTGAATGTCAATTAGCTGCAGACCCTCGCCCATCAACAGCTTTTGGCCACCAAGAGCCCGGTATGACCCGTGTAATCATTTGGCTCGTAACATCTACGAAATCATGTTTCACGGCATCCTCATTCTTCCTCAGCAAGCTGGTACCGCAGGTGGCATGAAATAGCCCGTTCATCTACCCTAGGCGGGCCAATAAATTCAGCCCATGGTGAACATGTGATGGACTCTTCATGGAGTGAAAGACGCTGCAGCGAAAATTGTAGGGGCAAAAAACTAGCCATGTCTCATCAAAGAATACCAATTCTTCACTGAACTGATGAGGCTAGATCAGAGCTCTGGTGCAAACAGGTAAACTGAGCAGTTTGATGAATTGGCGGTCTCTGGACTATCGGAAAGCCCGGGCCATATATTGTTCCGCAGTCCGTAGTAACCCTCGCCGTTCTACGTGTCCACCCTCGCTAAATTTGACTCTGAGTAGAGGCGTGCCAAATTAAGATGCCCTCACATTTGTTGTTGTCAGGGCCCAGTAATACAGCGAGTCAATGAGTTCGATGATGTCATTCACCCAGTGGGGTCATTTCCAGAAGCTTCCCGGTCGAAATTATGCTTGGATTGTACGATTGATTGGCTCTATGCGAATCAAAGAGATTGGCCGGATATATCCGTTGTTGTAGCTGTGTTTTCGTATCTTTACGTAGAACCACCGGCTGTTCCATCGACTGGAGTTGGTATAGAGGTTGGCAGGGCGAAGAACATTTGATTCGACAAGGAAGTTTAGCTCAGTCTCAGCGGGAGACCTGCAAAGACAGCCACACGCATCAAAAATGTTTATTATTTAGAACATTGGATGAGCGGCTTATGAGCTGTGGGAACATCTCCGAAGTGGCTCTTCTGAAGCCAAAAGAGTCGTTCGGGAACTGATCAAAGGCAGCTTACTGAAGCACACCCAAATACCATCTTCAAGCAGAGAACGCAATACGGATTGTGAAGACGGCAGTTTTGGAAATTTTACTTCGAACTCTCTTCGACGTGGACATTATATTGCTTGCACAGGCTAAATATATCGGTGCAAGTTAGGGTCAGCACCCGAAAGAGTCCATGAATATCAAATCAAATTTGCATCAAGTTCACAGACTCTTTTTTACTGGATATGCTTGGGACACGCAGAATACATGGGCGTGGGACATTTGAATCAACGCAACACTAGATACAATCAGTTTCGTATCGGATTATCTGCATCCTCAAAAAAATGCATGACCAAATGAACATTAGACTCAGAAAGCATCTCGAATGCCCACATTGGACCACACAATGGTTTACCTTAACCGGGCAGACGCATCTGGTGGTCATCAAGCAGAATTTTGTGTTGTGGTCTTCGTGAAGTTGGAGAGCGGTGAAATGCTCCAAAGGCACTTCACTGGATGCGGAATAAATCGAAGTTTTGCATCAAAACCATTCACACCAGTGTCTTCACGTGGCCTTTCAAAATATATCCACAAAAATGGCCCAAACTGAAATAATCACGGGAAGTTTTGAGGGAATTGTCGAGTTTGACATTTCTTTGATTTGATCTTCAATCGCTGCGAGGTTTGCAGAGGCAATGCTTCTAAGCAAAACAAGGTCCCTCGTTTTCGAAGGTCTGCATCACAGAGAAGTCCTCCTGGATTTGCTGCACGGAAATACAGCAGAAGACCTATCTGTTTGGTATTCAGAACAGCCTTTTTATTGCTAACAAGATAATTAAGATCCTCTAAAAGACTTATAGTTGAGCAAGGTCGTTTCGAATTTCCTTCTGGAATTGAGTACTTGGGTGTCGTGGAGCGATTAGCACCACGCCCCTTGTCAGCGAGTTTGAGGTGTCCTCACACAAGGTGAGCCTCAAGGTATTTTGCTAAAGCATATAGCTTTAAGGTGGTGGAGATTTCCGATGGTGAGATTTACGTGGGTCTCCCCAATGATGCTTGGGGTGCAGGGCTCTGGACGGGTGATTTCAGGAGCATTCTGACGCAAGAACAACCTGTGCTTCGAATCGAAGAGCGAGAATAGCCGACGTTTGTGGCTGTGACAGTTGAGAAGAAACGTGTCCTAGAATGGGCCGGAATTTTGCACCCAAAGGCCTTTTTCAAGAAAGCCCGAAATCTTAGAAAGAGGCGTGGCCAAGCAGCCCCTGACAACCGAGGAGCAAGACGGGCTTTCCCGGAGGCGTTGCATCAAGCCAGCAGCTAGAGATTTGGACTCGGGCTCTATTTTTGGGAGCGAACAGCGGCACGCCTGACGAAATGAGCTGTCATTGCATTCCGGATCGGAGGGGTTTACTTTGGAGTTTCTTGCTGAGTGAACCAGGACCTATTGTGTTGGGAGTATGAATAGAGAACATACCCTCATCCCCCAAGCTTGCGGTCAGCGGCCAAACGTCTTTGGTGTGATCAGAAAAAGGAAGTTCTGGTTGTTTGATCTGACCAGCCAGTTGAAGGGTGTTTTCTGTCTGCCTGTGTTCTGACAAAAAAGGAACATAAGCCAGGCCCTCTGGCCCATGCCCGGGCCAGCATGGATTTTGGGGCTCTGGCGGGATTTAGGGTGCCAGGTGCATGCCGGGAAGACCAGAGGGAAGACCAGAGGGAAACCAGAGGGAAACCAGAGGAAAGACCAGAGAAAGGGAAGTCAATACAAGAGGAGTGGCCAGGCGTCAAGCCATCGAGAATTATTAGATGATGGTAATTATAGGAATATCACACTCTTAAATACATGTAGTTATTATAATTCCAATTCTGATTGTCTTTCACTTCTACTTCCACTTCTACTTCTACTTCCACTTCTACTTCCACTTCTACTTCCACTTCTACTTCTACTTCCACTTCCACTTCCACTTCTACTTCCACTTCTACTTCCACTTCCACTTCCACTTCTACTTCCACTTCTACTTCCACTTCCACTTCCACTTCCACTTCTACTTCCACTTCTACTTCCACTTCCACTTCCACTTCTACTTCCACTTCTACTTCTACTTCTACTTCCACTTCTACTTCTACTTCCACTTCTATTATTATATCTTTATGTAGTACCCTGGGAGCGGAGTATATTATAGTTATATCACTAGAATTTATACGTCAGATGTTAATATATATTGAAATAATATGAAATATATTTGTTATTTAATTGAATGTACTCATCAATTTAGTTTTCTGTGGACATACTTTATATTAATTAGGTAAAGTATCCCGCACCAATTCAAAAATTCAGTTCAAGTATATGCATACTCTGGTGTCAAAATGTAACAATTGACTCTTCAGTTCATTTACTGGCAATCTAAAGTCAAGGAAATGGAAACAAGTTGAAATACGTTCGAAGATATACACAAGTCCTCCCCCGTCCGGGCCTACTGAACAAACATAGACATCACCACAACTAAGTGAAATCAGTACTAAACATAGCAGTGGTTGTCAAAGCCATGGCGATCCTTACATACCGACCCAGCAAAAACTCGAGCAGAGGCGAAGGAACAGTGACCATCGGCGGGGTGTCTTTTGTATTATTTTCTGGGCCTGCTGCGTGTCTTTTGTATTATTTTCTGGGCCGCAGCAGGCACCCATTCTGATTCTTCCCCGGCGCCGTCATCGAGCACCAGGCCGCTTCCATCTCGTAGGCCGCAGCCAAAGAAAAAAAAAAAAATGGAGCCGCCCCGCCAGGGCCAGGACGCCCGCGCGCTGGGACTCGGCGCTGGCCCTGGAGAAAAACCCAGCGGGCCCGCGGCCGATGGTGCCCAGGCCAGCGGCATAACCACCGCCCGCGCCATATTTCCGCCCGCGCCATATTTCTGCCCAGCCAATACTTCTGCCCAGCCCAAATTACCGCCCGCCCAAATTATCGCCCGCCCAAATTATCGCCCGCCCAAATTATCGCCCGGCAAATATTTCCGCCCGCCCAATATCCACAGGGCATGACCCGGCCGCAACACAACTGCCCTCTGTTTTTCTCCCGTAGTCCCCTGAAATGCCCGTGGCTGGATGGGGCGAGCCGGCCGCGCGGGCTCTCTGCAGAACGCTGGCGATGCGCCCCAGGCCCCAGGCCCCAGGCCCCAGGCCCCAGGCCCCAGGCCCCAGGCTTCGCACTGACCTCACCACGCGGTTCCTCCCCCTCCCCCAAAGCCCTCTAGAACCCACGCCAACGGCCCGTTCGTCCCGCAAAACACCGCCCTTCCAGCTCCCACGACAACACCATGAACCCGCGCAAGTACGCCCGGCTCCAGGTCGACGCGGACGCCATCCCCGACGACGACAAGCCGCCCCAGAGCGGCCACACGTTCAACCTCTGGTACTTGAAATGGGCCGGCGGCGACAGCACCGCCCGCGGCACCGCCCGGCGGGCGTTCCGCGTGGACGTCCCGCGCGACGCCGGCGCCACGCGCGGCGCCGACGGCTCGAGCCCGATCTGCCTCTTCTTCGCCCGCGGCTGCTGCTACCGCGGGCGCAAGTGCCCGTATCTCCACCGGCTCCCGCAGGCCGGCGACCGGCGCGTGCCGACGCAGGACTGCTTCGGGCGGGACAAGGCCGCGGCGGACCGCGACGACACGCGCGGCGCCGGGCTGTTGCGGCGCCACAACCGCACGTTGTACGTGGCCGGGGCCCACGTGGACGACCGCGTGCAGGCGCGGCTCCACCGCCAGTTCCTGGAGTTTGGCGCCGTGGACCAGATCCGCGTGCTCGCCGCCCGGCAGTGCGCGTTCGTCAGCTTCCGGCTGGAGGCCGAGGCGGAGTTTGCGCGCGAGGCCATGGACGGGCAGACGCTCGACGGCACCGACGTGCTCACGCTCCGGTGGGCCAACGAGGACCCGGACCCGCGCGCGCAGCAGCAGGCGCAGCGCGCGGTGGAGGCCGAGGCCGTGGCCACGGTCAAGCGGCTCTTGGCGGGCGTGGCGGAGCCGCCGCAGAGCAAGCGGCGCCAGGCGCCGGAGAGGGCCTGCGAGGGGGAGCAGGCCGCGGCCGCTGGGGGCCGCTCGGGGCTCTTGGGAGCGTCCCGCGTGGCTGCCATGCAGGGGTTGAGGCGGGTGGGCCCGGCCCTGGCCAAGACGGCCCGGGGAAAGGCTCCTTTGGATGGGCCACTTCTGGGAAAGACTGTTTTGGGTGAGACACTTCTGAGAAAGACTCCTTTGGATGGGTCACTTCTGAGAAAGACTCCTTTGGATGAGACACCTCTGGCAAAGACTGTTTTGGATGGGTCACATCTGAGAAAGACTCCTTTGGATGAGACACCTCTGGCAAAGACTGTTTTGGATGGGTCACATCTGAGAAAGACTCCTTTGGATGAGACACCTCTGGCAAAGACTCCTTTGAATGAGACACATCTGAGAAAGGCTCCTTTGGATGAGACACCTCTGGCAAAGACTGTTTTGGATGGGTCACATCTGAGAAAGACTCCTTTGGATGAGACACATCTGGGAAAGACTCCTTTGGATGAGACACATCTGGGAAAGACCCCTCTGAATGAGACACCTCTGGCAAAGACCCCTCTGAACAGGACACCCCTCCAGACCCCTCTGAACGGGACAGCACCCTCCGCCACGGCCCCGCCGCCGCCGTTCCTCGCCGGCTACGCCAGCGACGACGAGGCCTAGCCGCCGCCGTCCCTGCGCAGAAGCCACTCCGGCACGCGGCCGCCGCCCTTCTGGAGAAACCGCCGCAAGGGGGCGAACGTGGCGCCGTCGCCGTCGTCCACAAACGTGTGGCTGAGGCCCTCGCGCCCGGCGCGCCCCGTGCGCCCGATCCGGTGCACGTAGTCCTCGAAGCGGCCGCTCATCTGGTAGTTGACCACCATCGACACGTGCGGCACGTCGATGCCCCGTGCGGCCACGTCCGTGGCGACCAACACCAGCACGGCGCGCGCCCGGAACGCGTCGATGGCCCGCTCGCGGGCCTCCTGGCTCTTGGACCCGTGGAGCACGGCCACGGGGCCCACCGCCGCGGCCGCAAGCGCGTCCGCCACGTGCTCCACCACGGTCTTGTAGTTGGCGAAGACGACCACGGAGAACGCGCCGCGCTGGCGGTGTGCCTGGAGGAGCCTGACGAGCCGCGCCACGCGCCCGCTGTCCTCGGCCTGCCTGTCGGCGGGCGCCTTGCCGAGGTAGTCGAAGGTCTGGCGGATGCTGGCCACCAGCTCGCCCGCGCCGCCCACGAAGAGGTACGCGGGCAGGCTCAAGTACTGCTGGGTGATCTTCTCGATGGCCGGCGAGAGCGTGGCCGTGAACATGAGGCTCAGCCGCTTGGCCACGCGGAAAATGCGCCCGTCGAGCAGGCCCGCGAGCTGCTCGCGCCCGGGCAAGTACAGGAGGATCTGCCGGAGCGGCTTCTCGAAGCCCATGTCGATCATCTTGTCCGCCTCGTCCATCGTGAGGTGGTAGCACCGCGAGAGGCTGACGATGCCCCGCTCCAAGGAGTCCACCAAGCGGCCGGGCGTGGCCACCACAATGTGCACGCCGCGGCGGAGCGAGTGCACCGTCTCCTCGTACTGGTGGCCGCCGATGACGGCGACCACGCTCAAGCCCAAGACGCGCGCCATCTTCTCCGCCTCCGCCGCGATCTGGAGCGCCAACTCGCGCGTGGGCGCGAGCACCAACGCTAGCGCCCTGTTGTGGTTGCTCTCCTGCGCGTGCTCGTGCTGCATGTACGCGTCCTCGATGTTCAAGAGGTACGCCAACATGGGGACGAGGAACGCGAGTGTCTTGCCGGACCCGGTCTCGGCGACGCCCACCACGTCGCGGCTCCGCAACGCCACGGGCACCGCTGCCCGCTGGATGGGCGTCGGCTCCGTGTACCGGAGCTCGTGCTCCACGACGTCCCGCAACCGCGCCGGGAGAAGCGGCTCCTCGGCCCACCGCCGGAGCGGGGGCGCAATGTCCTTGCCCTTGGACGTGATGTTGAACTCGCCCTTGAAGATGCGCCAGTCGCGCGCCGTCATGGCCAGAAGCGGTTTCTGCGACCAGTGGGCCCCGGGCACCGCCGCGCTGTCGGCCTCCGGGTGTGCCGCGTCGACCTCTACCAACGGCTGGAACGCGCCTGCCGTGTCGTCGTCGGAGTCCCACGACAACGCGTACGTGCCGGTCGGCGTCTTCCGCCGCTTGTGCGCCGGCTCCGGGGCGGCCTCCGCGGCGTCGTCCGGGGCGGCCTGCTGCCGCCCGGCGGGTGCCGGGGACCCCTCTTTGGACGGGTCCTCCCGGCTGGCTTCCTGCCTGAGCTTGGTGCGCTTTTTGCGCGAGAGAAAGCGCGGCTTGGCGGCCTCGAGCTCGCGCAGAAGGAGCTCCTCGGCGGAAAGGGGGCGGGACATGTCGTGGGGTCGCTTGGAATGGATGGTTGCTGGCGAAAAAAGTGGGAAAGTCCGCCGTGTGGTGTTTCGCTGATGGGCCTCAGGTGCCGCAGCGATGCGGAAAGTATGGGGAAGCGAGATTCGCGCGCGCACTATGGAGCTCCGCGAAATTACGCCGGGACCGGTGCCGCCATCCAACGGCTCGTTTATGGCACCCAACGGCTCGTTCATATCCAGCGGCTCGCTCACGGTTCCTTGTATTTGGGGCCCTTTTGCGCAGCGTGACTTCCGGCCAATGGCGTGTTTTGCTCGACGGGCCGCGGACCTCGCTTGCCCAGCTCATTGTATTTCTCTTGCAGAGCCACCAAGAAAGCGCTTCCGAGACTCGGGGCGGGGAATGGCCAGACTTTCGGCGCCAAGCGCTGAATTCAGAAAAAGAACCGGACGTCGTGGCCACCCACTGGGGCCGTGCCGCCGCTGGGTGAAGCATGGGAGAGCCGGGGGACCAGCGGTCACGTGACCGGGCGAGCGCCCCGGCCGCCTGGCGAGGGTCGTGCCGGCGCCCAAAGCGTCGAGAAATTTTCCAGGCAAGCACCCGCACCCCAATCCGGCCCTGCCTTCTATCAGATCTGACAAATCACACGAAAACAAAAAATGCCCATTGACCAAGAGAAATTAGCCAAGTTGCAGAAGGCAGGCCCAAGAAAGGTCGGCGGTGCCAGAGTCAAGGCCAAGAAGGTCAAGTCCGAGAGCGACGACGTCAAGTTGATGGAGACCTTGGGCAAGTTCAAGGCCATCAAGGTGGAGAATGTCGAGGAGGCCAACTTCTTCAAGGACGACGGCAAGGTCTTGCACTTCCCCAGAGTCGGGGTGCAGGCTGCGTCTGCCTCCAACACCTTCGCTTTCTCCGGCTACCCACAAGAGAAGGACATCACGCAGTTGATCCCAAACATCTTGCCTCACTTGGGTGCCGAGAACTTGGACGTCTTGAGAAACTTGGCCGAGCAGATCCAGGCCGGCAAGGCGCCCACTGAGTTGAACGCGGGCGGTGCTGGCGAGGACGACATCCCCGACTTGGTTGCTGGTGAGAAGTTCGACGATGTCGAGTAGATCCCCAAGTCGGGCTTGCAGGTGAATGTATGTGGATATGCCTGACGAATGCATCTTACAGAAACCTCCCGCCTCAGGCGCGACGCTGTGGCTTTTGGCCGATACAGGCCGGGTTTGCAAGCGTGCTCTCACGTGCTGAGGCGCTGTAGAGGAACCAGACTCCCCGCCGCTAGTCGAGTGTCAGTGTAGTTGTATTTTGTATATTTTGAGCAGCTACGTGCCGTGATCAACTTTTGTAGACTGCCTGGTCTGGGGATATGGGGAACCACGCCCGGCAGGCTGCATGCACTCCGCCTAGGCACCAAGTACAACGAAGAGTCTTCCCGAGACCACACGACGGATATCCTCTCATCCAGATTCGTATATCGGCTACAAATCAGCGTTGTTTGTTGTATGCTCATTTTCGGTAATATGAGCAACGGCTGTCCACCAATTGACTTGCACATATCCCTTACCTGAAAAACCGGGAGGCAGACCAGCCAAATAAACAATATTCTTTCAGGCGGTAATAAAACACACAAGTAATTCTGGTTCTCGGCTGTGTATTACCGCCTTTGTCGCCAGTATGGTTCTAGCATAGAGGCGCACTTTCTCAGACAGCGAATTTTGCACCCGCAACGAAAATCCCGGCTTCATCAAATGAGCCGCAACAGTCTCAGAGCAGGGTCGGCTCAGTGACGGAGTCCAGCCCTGGCAAGATCCACTTGAAAGCATCCCCCGGACACGGTCACGGCGTGGTCACGTGACCGGGCTTATCGCCCGCCCTGCCACGCGTGGTTTCTTTGTATTGCTGCAAATTTTGAGTCTCGAGTTCTGACGCGATGTGTACACAGCTCTAACGCGATGCGTACACTTTGCAGGCTTTGCCCATTTCTCTCGTCCACGTCTCTCTCTATTGTTCCCATACCGCCGTTGGTCTGTGTGCAGGACGCCGTTGGCCAGGTACGTTTATTAGCACCAACGCGTCTAGCCACGTTTCAAATCATAAAATCTCGCCCGGCCCCGGATTCATTCTTCCCGGACCCCGGCCGCTGTAACATTCTCGAAATACCAACGTATCTGTACCCAGGCGTTGTCGTGCGCGGTCACCAAACAGATTCAACCATCGTCAGACTTAGAAAGTAGATCTCCAGCTACAAAAAAGAAAACCGATAAGGCCAAATCAGCAGCATGTCTCAGGATTCGGTTCTGACGGAAAGTGCTGCGCCCACCACTCTCTTTGTGGCTGATCCAGACCTCATCTCAGGCGAATTGGCCGGGCAGTCGGAGCATGCCACTTTCTACTTTGACCAGACGTCCCAGTTCTACTCACTGCCTAGGGTCCCTGTGGCGACCGGTGGCACGTCGGAAGCAGAAGACGAATTCATGTCTGATTCGAGTTTTGAAGCAAGCACAAGACACTACACAAGACCAAAGATCGAGCTGGACCTCCAATCGGACCTTGAATCGGGCCATGGGCCGAATCCAGAATCGGGCCTCGAATCGGGCCTGAAATCAGAACATGAACAGAACCTGAAACCGGACTATGAACCGAACCATATACCGGACCATGAACCGAACCTAGAACCGGAGCATGGACTGGACCATGAATCGGGCCTCGAGTCCGAAACCGGAGGAAAAATGCAGACTCCAAAAACAAAAAGAAGAAGAGTTTGGCACAACCAAAGCCCGCTTCTGAAACCAGGAGGTGCCTCCGCAAAGAAAGAGGCCATTTCTCGCCGCACCAGGTCACGAGAAGAAAGGCGTTTTCGCGAGGTGGGGAACGTGACCATCATAATCGACAGTCTGGAGATCGAGTCTTCAGATGAGGAACCCACCAACTTCCGGCGCGAGTCGCCGGCGGTGAAGAGCGAAATCAAGCTGGAACCCGGCGTTGAGAATGGCATCAAAATGGAGCCTGGGAGCACTGTAAACGTTCTGTACGACCATGGCTCCGCTGGCCCCAATATGACCAAACTGGAGCCGCAAAGTAGCGTGGCATCACCCTCGTCTCTGGAGAATGGTAGCAACACGGGCAAGCAGATCGCCAGGCCAGTAGTCAGTGACTCTGATGGCGAAGACAGCGACGACATACATGACAATTCTGGCCCCATGCCCATGGCCAGCTGCACACAAGACATGGCTACCCAGCGAAACAACGGAGAGGGCAATAGCTACGATATCGCGCCAAACACAGAGTGCATTTACACTCGGCCCATGATTCTAGTAGGTGAAGAATCCAGCGAAGACGACGTTTTCTTATCTTTGGAAAGTGAAGAAGAAGACGCAGGAGGACCTCCGTCGGACGCCATAAACCAAAAGAAGCAAAATTCCAAGCATGCAAATGATATTGCCAGGCCAGCACGGGGAAACGAAGGACAAAAAAATGACCAATTGCAGCTGAAAGAAAAATCAATGGCCTCAGGCGATCTTGGACATAAGGACTCTCTGTCTGCTGTGTCTATTGAAGCCACAAAAAGAGGCACCAAAAAGCCTAGGGCCTCAGTTGACACCCTCAGCTTTGAATGCAGTAAGTGTCCTCATCGTGTGAAAAATAAAAGTCAGCTAATGAAGCACCTTGAGGGACATGGGGGAACCCGTAAACTAAAGTGCCGTTTTTGTGATTGGACTGCAAACCGGCTTGATTATTTGGACAGTCACATGTGCTTCCATAAAGAATATGACGAGGTCAAAGACCAGCTTCGCAAAGACTTCTTGCTTCTCGGAAAGCCTCTGGGAAAGGCCGAGTCCAGCGATGATTTCAAGTATCGCTGTGACCAGTGCCAAATGGCGTTCAAGCGCAAAGATCATCTCACATCCCACATAATCGTGCATTCGAAGGAACGACTCTTTAAATGTGAGCTCTGTACACAGTCGTTCAAAAGAAAACTGGACTACAAGAGCCATAAAAGTATTTGTCCCAACAACATGAAACAGTGCCCGGACTGCCAGAAGACTTTTAAAAACATGGCTCTGCTTGAGCGGCACAGGGAAGAACATATGGTCTTGAAATGCACGCTATGTATGCGGGCTTTCAAGAACAAGCGGGCTCTCGCACTACATCAAAGATTGAAGCACTCATCTGAAGAAGACCGCTTGCAAATCGAAGAGCTCGAACATGAAGGGCAGAGAAATATCAGAAGTAAAGGACCGCAAAGTGGGAGTGAAGAGGAACTGGGGGACGAGGTGAAGCAAGAACAGCAAAGTGAGGACCTGGTGCAAACAAAAGAGGACCCAGGTGACGGCCCAAGGTCTTCACACACGCTTTTAGATAGGGCCCGAGATTGGTTTCATTGAGGAACTTGGTGATTTGAGTAATAGCGCAAGCTTCAGCCAATTTATGCCGCAATAACGGGAAGTTTCCTGGTTTGTGGATTTAACCTTACACAGTAGATTTTCTGTTGCGGTTTTTCACACATCAACGACGCGTGAAATGTGCTCTCGGGTGATCTGTGCCGATGAACACATCAAGCTGAGACGTTCGGCTTATTTGGGTCTCGAGCCGCTTATACCTTTTAGCGGCTCTTAAATGCCAAATTCCCTTGGGTCGAACGAGTTGCTGCTCCTGATGTAAAATTGACTTTCGTCACACTTTACATAATTGCCTTGGTGGCTACCCTGCTTTCGGGTTGATCTATTAAAACTACGGCACCCCCAAACAAAGGAGGATTTATTAACTTTAAAACAAGTGCTTCAGTGAGAAATGAGATGGTATACATAAGCGCTTTTTCAGAAAATCACATGTTGAACAACTAAGGTCGAGGTGCAAAGCGATGAGCCAGAAAAGGCCAACAAATATCATACTATAGACTGGTGGTCCCTGCATTAAATCAAGGAATTGTTCAAACCCATGGCGTGGTTCATATTCTCGTAGCAGTCTGTCTGAAGTTTTTAGCGAGCTTTGCTTGAAGCGAAGTTCTCTGAGAGCACCTAGAAATAAGAACTTTTCTCAGACATTTCATTAGGCAGTTGTGGGGTAAGTTCAACTTCTTCAAAACAGATATGTGTGAACACATGATTTCCAAGCATATATAGCGGGTATAAGGTATCCTACTGCTCAGAATCATTTTTTGCAAGAATTCACATACTGCTGGCTTCAAAAATTGTGACGTGAAGAGCTAAATAAGCCCTGTCATAACTTGAGTCTCTGGAATCCAATGTGTCTCAAAAATCACGACATTTTGCTCCAGGAGCTTCAAGCCAGGTCACACTTCCTATTGCATCGTATTTGAGGTTTCTTCTCCAAAGACTTTAGTGGCGATGAGTTAAAACCAAAGGCACAATATCAAAAAATCTTCTACACGATTCGCTGCATACAATGAATGAAAAGCCCGCAAATTATTTCTTTTCTTAATGACACATTCGTAATTTGTAACGTTGCTCCTGAAAATTTCACCCCATTCTGACTGAATTAGGCGGTTCCTGCGTCGTTTAGCCTTGCATAAATAGAACAGACTGCAACCACTCAAAATTTTTCTATTTTCCAAAATATTTGGACGGCGTATAGTAAAGGCAGAACGGCATGTGTTCCACACAACCCGATGACTACATTTCAAAACAATAGACTCTATAGTGAAGCCGATAATTGACCCTACTATTATATCCCGCATTGAAAAGTTTCTTTTCATATTTAAGTCTTGTAGATGTATTACATAATTTCGATTTCATACTTCTATATGCTTTGTTTCTGTTTAAACCTGATCTATTACAATGCATCAAATGGGATATGGAAGGCATGGTGGAGTTTTTGAACACCCTGTGATTTTGGGTTTAAAGCATGACCCTAATTTGACCTTTTGTTTGCGGTAGATGCAAGAAAGTTTAAATAACTGTTGTTTCTGAGCCTTCTACTTTCCATTGGTTATTCAGCTACAGAAATTCTACCACCTATGCTTTCTCTCATCTCTGCTCATGTTGCATTTTTCTGTTACTTATGTTGAGGAGCAAGACAGTTGTTTTACCGGCGATCAAAGATTAATATGCGCAGTCAGCAAATGACTCGCTTCAATATCTCGGCTAGTCTCTAATTTTGTTCGTTTAATAAATTAGGTTAATTTTCTTGATCAGCGCTACACAAAGCTTCCGTACAGTTATTTCACAATCATGAAAGCTGTATTGGGGTTGAATTAAGGGGCGAATCTTCTCTTATGTTTTCGCCTGTATACAGAAAAAAAGATGACGCAGAGAGAAGTCACTGAGACGTGGAACAATAGACCCTCAGTCCACCGCGTAAACACCAATTACGGTCATCAATACTTTGATTGACAGGTTTCCCTATTCATTTTTTGTGCCGGTGACACGTGCCTGATAGAAATAAAACCACAATGTTCCATCAATCCTTGAATGTCACTACAGGCTCATAATCAGACCATGTGGTATTTTTTTCGAAACATTAGCTATAAAAAGGAAGAAAAACTTCTTTAGTAGCTCAGATTATATCACATAAATAAATATCAAGCACTCTAAACAAAATGAAGCTTCTCGCCACATTGCCTCTTTTTTCTTTGGTCCTCGCTGCGCCAAGATTAATCCCAGATATTAAGCCCCTAGCCGGAATCTTATCGGTTAAAAACGCCAAAACCCCAGAACAACTTGGAAGTGGATTCATCTCCTATAATGGCAGTGTAAGTAAGAAAATTGAACCTCACATGTTTTTTGCAGAGAAAGGACACGTGTATATACAATTATTGGGCGAAGATGGTCAGAATGCAAATAGACTTTTCATGGGTCTCGACGCAGAAAAAAAGCTTGTGATGAAAGACTACGCGGAGACAAATGTTAAAATCATAGAGGATATTCACTGTAAGGATTTCTTCTTGAGTGCCAATAATGGTGGCATCTTTCAGGTCTGTGAAGACGGTCTGATCGGCCATAATAGTGGTTGCGAATCTACCGAGACAATTGAGATTCAATGGATCATTCAATGAGCTGTTTCAAAATGAGGATTATTGCTTGGCCTTTTTATGTATAGACCTACAGCTGTCCATATATAATTTAGTGTATGTTTAATACATCCACATTGGAATAACAAGTAAAAGGACCTTTGAACAAAATTCAAAAGATCTGTGAAAGCAAGCAGGGTCGTACAACTTGGAAACCCAATTGTTAAATGAAACAATGTATTTAATATATGGCTATATCTTGGAGCATATTGTATGCGACATAACGACAAACATATCGACCAAATTCCGAGAAGGAAATCTTAAAAACTGCCTTGAACTGATCAGATGATTAGCTCAAGAAGCACCAATGAGTGTCTTCGTACAACACCTCAATATCTCACCCGCAATTGGCGTTTTTCTACTGGAGCAACAAGGTCTTCCCTGACTATATTGGCACAGGCGAGTCTAGTCATGTTGGCGTAGTGCACAACGATCGAACGGTCTCCCACAAAGGCCCTGTTCCCGGGGTTTAGTGAAATAAACTGGTCGCTGTAGCTTTCACGAAGAGAGCTGCCATTTATGACCCCATGCTTCCCCGAGAGATCCCCGACTTCAAATTCGGCCAAAGATCCAGCATTTTGAATACCGCTGTATGGGTTGAAGTGTCCCAATGTTCCTTCACAATTGCCGTCTGCTGGAACAGGCATTTCGTGTACATGGTATGCGAAAGGCCCGCCAGAAGCAGGTAAATTGTTGATGTCTACGTCCACAAGGACAGTCCCGTTTATGCTTGAGAATTTGACTGAGCCAGCAATTGCATCGTTGAAGTTAGCGGCATAGACAACGTTGGTAGGCGAGTCATTTGTTTCAGGGGCAGCATCAGCGTTGATAAGACCGAGAACAGCCAAGGTGGCAAACAACGAAAGAGATACCATGGAGAATATGTGCTCAATGAAGTATGTGGAAATAATAGGGAGCGTTAGTCAGTAATTGTGAGAGAAAAAACACAGCCATATCCCAGCAGCCGACTGAAAATGAACCAAATATATATATATGAATTTGCCAGCTTGGCGACATGCCGTTAAACAGAAACGAAAGACATCAAACACCAAAAGTTTCTCTCAACAACGTACTTGTTGAGAAAGATGTGTTATGCACTTATTATTTGTGACAGGTTGTACTGACTGTGTTACCTTTTCGAATCATGTCGGATACCTCATTTTGATTTCCGCATATACTTTTTCCAGTCACACTAGTTTACGGGACCTAAAGGTTATAGTCTGAAGGTTTTTCTACCCATTACTTCCTAAATTCGAATTGCAGAACGAAGGACAAAGTGTGTGGGTTTAGAGATTCGAGAAAGCCGTGCTGCTTAAGCTTTGAAACATAATCATTAAATTTTCATTAGATGTATAGCTTCATTAGATGTATAGCTTCATTAGATGTATATCTTCATTAGATGTATAGCTTCATTAGAAATGGCTCGAATTGAATCAACCCATATCCTCGTCTGCGATGTATCTCATGCTTATCAAGGAACCTGAACACTCATAAATTTAGTGGCAGCGTCTAGCTCGAAAAATGATAGAAAGTTTCATGAAAGATCATCCTCAGCAGATCAAAAAGAATGTCGGCAGATCATAAAAATACGTGATGTTCAGTCATGCAATTTGAAGAGCTACAGGTATTCACGGCCTAACATACAAGACTTGGTGCGACATGCACCTATTGCCCCAAAAAGTTGGTGTTGATAGTTTGAAAACAGCCTTCCAATTTACCCCATTTGTGCAAAAAAAAAAAAATGAAATGGCAGTCTTGCTGAGTCGTTTCCGTTATTTTTCTAGGTGACAACTGTCATTGTGTTTAAAAGTATTGTTTGGGAGAAGCACCTCTCAACTGTTTTATGACATCCTATCATTTTACGCCTTTATGAACAGACTACTTTATCGTTTCATTCTAAAGCATCCAAAGTTTGAAAGCGGCATGTTCCCTCAATTACAACTTTAGCAGCTTATGAAGTGAGCTAGCAGCATACCATTAAATTTGTCACGGAGGCGTGACATTGTAGGTTTAAAATTGCGAACAGAAGGTATATTTTCCTAATTTTGCCTTGAAAAAGAGTCGTTTCAGTTGGGTATTGGATAATGTGCAAGTGATCTTCTGAGAGCTTCTGTTTGTTAGAGGTATTTTGCTTCAGTCAAGCATGTTTTGTTCGCTTGTTGATGAACCATGCCAGCAGAAATCGCCGTTTGCGCAGACGACCACAAAGCAGAGAGCCAAAGAGCTCATAATGAATGCATCAAATTGATCTATAAAAACGGTGTGCTATTAAGTCTATGGGGCGTAGTCGCCTGTATTGTAGATGGAAATGTCACTTTCAGCCTTGACATCGACCATGTCGGAAGCGTCGATACACGCATCAACGGCCATCCCCCGGTTGCTGAACTCCCTAATTCTCTGGTTCTGCGCCCTGATCTGTTCCAACTCCTGGAGGTAGTTGTCCTCGACACCGGTGACATATTTACCAGTGAAGACACCGACCTCGAAGGTCAGGGTTTTCTCGCTCGTGCAGCAATCGATCAAGTCCTGCAAGTCCTGGAAGAAGACCTCGTCGGCACCAATGGCGTTGGCAATCTCCTTCTCCGTACGGTTGTAGCCAACAAGAGCCTTTGTGTCGGCCAAATCAATGCCGTAGATGTGGTTGTATCTGATGGGAGGTGCACACGAGGCAATAAACACCTTCTTGGCACCTGCCTCGCGGGCCATAGCAACAATCTCCTTGGATGTGGTACCACGAACAATGGAGTCGTCGACAAGCAACACGTTGCGGCCCTTGAACTCCGACTCCATGGCGTTCAACTTCCGTCTCACGCTGGAGCGGCGCTCCTGCTGGTTTGGCATGATGAATGTACGGCCAATGTATCTGTTTTTGACGAAGCCCTCTCTGTAAGGCACATTCAAGGACACCGAGCACTGCAAGGCAGAGGTACGGGAGGTGTCAGGCACGGGGATCACAACGTCGATCTCGCCCAAGACGTCGTGGTTGGGGAAGCCGCGTCTGATCTTGGCTGCGAGGCGGTTGCCCATCTCGATACGCGAGCGGTACACGGAGACGCCATCCAAGACCGAGTCGGGACGCGCAAAGTATACGTACTCGAAGATGTCCGGCGCGAATGTCTTGGGCTCGACCACTTGCCTAAACTCCGGTTTCTGGGTGGCATCGCCGGCGGAGTCCTTGCGGATGATGACGGCCTCGCCCGGGCTCAAGTCGCGGAAGCTTTGGAAGCCGTGGGCCTTCAAGACCACGGACTCGGACGCGAGCATGTAGTCGCTCAGGCCGTCGTCGTTGACGCGCTCGCCAAACAACAAGGGCCGTACGCCGTTGGGGTCGCGGAAGCCGATCAAGCCGTAGCCCGCAATCATGGCCACCACCGCGTAGGCGCCACGCACCTGCTCCATGGTCTGCTCCAACGTGCTGAACACATCGCTGTTGTTGACACGCGACTTGTTGAACTTGTCCAACTCGCAGGCGAAGATGTTGAGCAAGAGCTCGGAGTCCGAGTCCGTGTTGATGTGGCGGTGCACGGCCTCGTCCAAGTAGCGGCGCAAGTCGGCCGAGTTGACCAAGTTTCCGTTGTGGCTCATGGCAATGCCGTAGGGCGAGTTGACGTAGAACGGCTGCGCCTCGCTGCCGGCGCTCAGCCCGGCGGTGGGGTAGCGCAAATGGGTGATGCCCATGTTGCCGACCAAGTTCAACATGCGCGCCTGGGTGAACACGTCACGTGCCATGCCGTTGCCCTTGCACTGGTAGAAACGGCCGCGGGCCCCGCATGTGACAATGCCGGCGGCGTCCTGGCCCCTGTGCTGCAAAAACATGGCGCCTTCAAAAAGCTCTGCCGCCACGTTTTTTTTCTGGTCAGCTAGCACGACTCCAAGGATTCCGCACATGGTGGTTTTGTGTTTTTCAGGGCGGTTCAGGGGGTTTTGTGTTGCGGGTGTCTGGCGATGCGCAGACTTGGGCGGGTAATCGATAGGAAGGCGGCTGGCTTGAAGGAGCGGTGCCGGGTTTCTTTTATTTTTTTGACGGCGTCAAAAGAAAAAGCGTGTTTGTTGAAAACGAAACGGGAAACTGGCCGTGCGGGCGGGTTTCGGGGTGTGTTTTGGTGAAGAGGAGGGTTCTTGAAGTGATGCCTTTTTTTTTTTCGTTGTACAATTTATCAGGTGAGGCTTCGCGGGTCCGAGTCAGCGGAAAATTGCACTGTATTATCGCGCTCGAGATCGGGCCGCCGTTTATCAGTGTGGGGCAAGGCCAGGCGCGTTCCTGTATGTATGGGCTTTGTTGAGGTGAGATGACAACTTGGTGCCGTGGATCTTGGTGCGGTGGGTGAAGATTGGGAGGGTGTGGGTGTGAGTGATGGCTGGTTTCAGTACTTGTTAGATTCAGTATCGATTTAAGTATTGACTTGGTTTGAGTACTGGCTAATTTCAGTACTGGTTGAATATAATATTGGCTTATTTCAGTACTGGTTGAATATAATATTGGCTTATTTCAGTACTGATTGAATGTAATATTGGCTAATCTCAATACTGGTTGAATGTAATATTGGCTAATCTTAATAATGGCTGAATATAATATTGGCTAATTTTAGTACTGGCTAATTTCAGTATTGATTAAATTCGGGATTGGCCAATTCCAGTATTGACTAACTTTGAGTATTGGTTTCTTTCAGTATTGATACAATTTGGCAGTATTGATTAATGCAGCATGCTACTATTCAGTATTGACTCATTGCAGTATGGATTGATTTTAGATTCTGGCTCTTTTCTGTATTGGCTTGGCTTGAGTATTGGCTATTTTCAGTATTGACTTAGTCTGAGTACTGGCCAATTTCAGTACTGGCTAAACTGAATATTGGCTAATTCCAGTATTGACTAATTTTGAGTATTGGCTAATTTCTATACTGCCTTAGTTTGAGTTTCCACTAACTTCAGTTTTGACTTATTACAGTATTGACTTACTTTGAGAATTAACTAGTTTCAGTATTGACTTATTTGGGTATTGACTGATCCGATACTGATTCAGTTCAGTATATCTTTGACATATTTTGAACACTGGATGATATCTGTATTGACTTTTTTTGACTTATGGCTGATTTAAGTATTGGCTAGTTTTTTATTTGCTATTTCCAGGGCTAGCTTCATATTCGTGAGTCTCAGGATTAGTCAAATGGCTTCTTCAGTTCTGGCTTCTGTAATTTCACTACTGCTCAAATCAGTGTTGTTCGGGGTCCCAGTATTAGTCCAAGGCTTCCCTGAACATTGGCTAACTCGGTCCTGATTTTATTATCGAAAATTTCCAACTCTGCATCCCACACTGGCTTTTTATTTTTGATGGTTTTTGGTGAAAAGAACTCTGATCTGTTGGATGGGCATTGATGCATACTGCTCTGGTGGAGGATTACTAGTGTCTGGAATTCTGCACCACAATATTCGAGGATGTGACTCGAAATCCTGATGGGTGTGATTCAGAGTGTGTTTGTTGCAGATTCAGAGAGTATAAGCACACGTTGTACATGGCCTTCTCAAATATGTACTTAGCCTTAAGATATGGCGTCTCATATTCTGTGCAACTACGTGCATAGAATTACATGACCTTATACTAGACGTGTTCTCGAAACTTTGATGTTGCCGCTGATTTCAGTCGCGTTTTGCATGCCACCTCTGTCTTCTCCAGAAGCTTTGGTTTTGCCTATTGCCTACTTTTGCTACATGGACCTTGAGAAAGATGCTGCACGGCCATAAATTTAGCGCTGATTTATTCACGTGCCATACACCACCCCCATGTTTCCCAATCTCCATATCACTTTCTGCTCGACAGCAAATAAAAGCACTGCCTTTTTTCCACCCAAAGTCAGGAAATATAGTCGAAGCAAAATATCTGCCTGAGGATACTTATTGCACGCGGGATTTATGGGTGCAAAGTCTGCCTGTACCCGCTTTTTTCACGAATGATTTTTTGGCAACTAACAAAATCAGTAAAGTTTGCCATAGCCCTCAAGACCGAATCTTCGAGTAGATAAAGGTGCATGGAACATTCTTCCCAGAAAAGGAAATTGAAGTAGATACCTTTGGGGTTAGTACCACAAAATCCAAGATATCAACTATCGTATCTATTGTTCTCAGATTCGACAAACCAGCAGGCGCTGATCCTGTATTTTTTGGATTCATATGACAATGTGAAACGCTTTATGACAATCTCAAGGACGTTCTTCGCCTCAGAATGACGGAACACGTGTGGTATGTCAAACTTACTGAAAGTCATCAAGAGTCACCGGATAGCGTGATCATAGTTTACTTCTGTGGCCTAGATTATGCTTGAATTCGAAGCTATATAACTAGAAAATTTAAAAAAAAAAATAAGAAGTAAATGCTAGTGCTTGCGCAGAGGGGTCCGTGATGAAGTCATTATTAACCAGATAATAATTGTCTGGCAGATGCGAAAGTCATTAATCGTAAAAGGAATGTAGGGTCTCAAAGAGGCCTTGTGCTTGATTATTGCTGCAGTATTTCGTTTGCTGATGAGATGTTTTGGTATCACCCTATGGCATCCAATCGCTTGACGGCAATCCTGTGCCTTTTCTTTCCTTCCGAATTCTCATCGCAAAAAACTCTGGCTTGCATTTTCTTCTTAGTGATTTGGTTTTTAAAGGGAATGTTTTTTTTGACTTTTGTTTCTTTTATTTTTTTTTCGCTTTTTTTATGGTTTTTTTTTTGTTATGTTTTTGTTCCTTATCCGGGAAGGTGTAACCAGAGCAAGGTTATAAACCAATGCAATTATTGTTGTTGTTGCACAGGAAATTGCCCGCCAAATTGTGGAGGATACCCATTATATTGCGGAGGAACCTGGTACTGGTTTGGATAGTTGAACTGGGGAGGGACTCCTTGTGGATATTGTGGATATTGAACTCCAAGTTGGCCTTGAGCTGGGATTTGACTGGGCTGGTGTTGCTGTGGTGGTGATTGAGACGCTGGTGGTTGGCTCTGGTATTGATAAGGGGCTTGTTGTTGGATAGCTTGCTGCTGGATGGCTTGCTGCTGGATGGCTTGCTGTTGAATGGCGTTTTGATGAAGTGCTTGTTGTTGGCCGTTTTGTTGCACCTGAGGTTGGCCTTGATATTCAAACCCGCCTCTTCTATCCTTGCCTCTTGGTAACTCCTCGAGCTTAAAAGGTCTGGGAATGGATTCTTCGTTTTCGTTCACGTACAATGATTTGTCAATAGTAGCAGGGATTGGCTTAATCTCAGTTCCCAACTCCTGTTCGATCTGGTACAATGAGTATCTATCATTCCAGCTCATCAAATTGATGGCCAAACCCAAGTGACCAAACCTACCAGAACGACCGATTCTGTGCAAATATGTCTCTGCCGATTTAGGGAAATCAAAGTTGATGACAACATTGACAGCTTGCACATCAATACCTCTGGTCAATAAATCGGAGCATACCAAGTTTCTGACTTTCCCTTGTCTGAACTCGTGGAACACCTTGTTTCTAGCCTGTTGAGGCATCTTCGCGTGCGAATAGTAGCAAGAGTAGCCAAGCTCTGTGATCTTCTTGGCCAACAACTCGACTCTGTTGGTGGAGTTGCAGAAAATAATGGACTGATTAATTTGCAACTTGGAGAATAAAGTGTTCAAACAATGTAACTTTTGCTTCTCCTCGACAAAAGCATAGAACTGCGAAATGCCTCTCAAGGTCAACTCATCCATCAAGTTGATCTCGTAAGGCTTCGTCAAGTGCTTATCCATGAAAGACTTGACTACGTAGGGGAATGTAGCGGAAAACAATAAGGACTGTCTCTTTTGAGGAAAAAATGATAGGATTTGCTCGATGACGCTCTTGAACTCTCTGGACAACATTTTGTCCGCTTCGTCCATGACAAACAAGGGGCATTCCGAAAAGTCGGCCACTGATCTGGCGGCCAAATCCAAGACTCTGCCTGGAGTGCCCACTAAGATGTGGACAGGCTCGTTCAATCTCATAATATCGTCTTTCAAGTTGGTTCCACCGGTGGTGACCATACAGTTGATACCCAAGTGTTTACCCAAGGTTCTGACGACCTGGGAGGTCTGCAAAGCCAACTCTCTGGTGGGCACCAAAATTAATACCTGGGTCTTGTTGAGTTTCGATTTGACCAGTTGCAAGGCAGGGATCACAAAAGAGGCCGTTTTCCCCGTTCCGTTCTTGGCCCTGGCCAAGATATCTCTTCCTGCGAGCGCCATGGGGATGGACTCCTCCTGAATCGGGGAAGGCTTTTCAAAGCCAGCCTCGAAGATGCCCATCAACAACTCTCTCTTCAAATTGAGGTCTTCAAAACTCTTTCCCTTTGTGTTGAGCACATCCTCGGTCTGTACTCGTGTATCCTTTTCTGGGATGTTCAACGAATCCTTCCAGTTTTGGTCCGTCATTGTGTGTTTATGTGAAGTATGTAGGGTCAGTGCTGTCGTGAGATAGTCTCGGTGACTATGGAGATACGTGGGCAGATTGGTGGACTCTGGTGACTTCTATATCGAAAAGTCACAACGCTGTTTTTCAGTCTTGTTTCGGGCCGGTATCAAGGTTTGTGGAATACCGCGGGACGAGAAGAAAAGGGAAAGCCGGTTGGAATTACTCTGTAGCTTTGGAGGATATTTCGTCTTTGAAGGAAGATGTATAGCTTGGGGTAGATTATTAGCGGATAAGAGGCGTGGGTTTAATAAGGGAGTTGGCAGGCGGTGAGGTGGGCGGCCACAACAATTCGATGTTTTGGTGCGCGCACGCCCGCGCGATTGGCGCGTTACCCGGTCCGGCGGCCACGTGAGCGAGTGTCACGGGGCAGCAAGGCCAGGCGTCGGCCCGAGCCCGAAAAACAAGCTGCGTATTCCTTTGGCGCTGTCGGGGAATGGCAGCACGCCGTTTCTTTCACGTGACTGGCGCGGCGCGGGCCTGTGGGGGCAAAATTACGAAAGTGTGGAATACTGCTGGGAAGTGATGGGGGCATCCGCGAGACTCAAAAGTGCGGCCCGATCGTAGTGTCTTTTCCGGCCCTTCTTTCGTTTAATATTCTTTCTTCCAATATTCTTTCGTTAAATATTCTCTCTTTTAATATTCTCTCTTTTAATATTCTTTCTTTTAATATTCTTTCTTTTAATATTCCCTTCTTATCCTTTCTTTCTTCCAGCCTTTTTTTCTGTAGGTTTCCGATTATACCCAGCCTTTCTCTCTTCTTCTCTCTTCTGGCCCTTCTCTCTCCTGCCCTTCTCTCTCCTGCCCTTCTCTTTTCTGCCCTTTCTCCTGGCCTTTCTCCCGGCCTTTCTCCTGGCCTTTCTCGCTTCTGGCCCTTCTATCCAGCCCGTCGGTCTGTCTCGGTCTTACTCCCCCAGGCCGTGGTGTTTTTCCGGCGTGACTGACCAGTGTGGTTTTTGGCACCCATGCCCCAGCATTTCACGGCTGGGTGTCGCCGTCGCTTTTGGTCATGAAGCGGGCGGTGCGCGGGTCCACTTGCGCGCGGGCCAATTTGTCGCCCATTTGCGCCATGATCTCCAGCTCGCTGGTGCGGAGCGTCAAGCCCTGGCGCCGGACCTCATCCATGGGCAAGTTGAATGGGTAGGCGCACGCCTCGTTCGGGCAGCTGAGAATCGCCTGGGACGGCGAGAGAAGGTGTTTCCGCAACTCAGAGGCACACAAGGGGCAGTTCATGGTGGGGGGCCAGGTGCTTTTCTGGCGAGTCGGGGGATGTGAGAGGCTGGGGTTGCGGGGCCGGGTCTGGGGTTGCACGGCAAGTAGGGCGGTCGCTTGGGGCGGCGAGTTCAGTGGACGCGCGAAGGGCAGGTGGCCCGATGAGCAGGCGCCGATTCGGCGAGGCCCTGGCGGCCCGCGAAAGTCTCGGGCCGGGGGGCCGCACTGGACGGGGCCGCACTGGATGGGGCCGCACTGGACGGGGCCGCGACTGCATCCACGGGGCTGCCCACCCATCTAGCACGGGCAGTGGCTTCGGGCAGTCTGGCTTCGGGCAGTCTGGCTTTGGGCAGTGGCTTTGGGCAGTGGCTTTGGTCTCTGGCAGTTTTTCTGGTTTGCGTTTTTTTTTTTTTGGCATGGCTGGTCTTGCTGGCGTGTCTTGTTTCGGTTTCCTTTCTGTTTTTTGTTTTTTTTGTTTTGTCTTCGTTTTGTTTTTTGTGTTGTTCCGTTTAGTTTTTTGTTTTGTTTGCTTGTCTTTTTTGTTTGCTTGTCTGTTTTTGTTTGCCTGCCTGTCTGGTGGCTTGCCTGTCTGGTGGCTTGTCTGTCTGGCCCCTGCCCTTTATTTAGCTCCATAGATAATAAAGGGCTTATAAGATAATTAGATACAGTTTTACATATTGATATTTCATAAAAACAATTATCTGCACGTGTAGTCTCTGAAATACCCACTATTTTCATAAATCTCTTGGATAGATAAATATAATGTTTATATGATATCTGTCTGGCTTGGCGCCCCCGCTGGGCGGTCTCCCCGGCCATTTCCTTATTCTTCTCGCGTGGCGGCCCCAGGGCCCTTTTCGCACCCAAAAAAAGGCCCCAGGCCCGCAAAGGCTCGCGCCGCGAACTGGCCATGGTGCGCCCGGGCCGCTTTGAAAGCTCCAACCTCGCAGCTCTTTCTCTCCAATCCCCACACAAAACCCGCCTGGTCCCCCAAAAATGAAACTCTCGCCGCAGACAGTGGAGACGCTCCAGGCCAACCAGGCCAACGTGCGCAACATCTGTATTTTGGCGCACGTGGACCACGGGAAAACGTCGCTCAGCGACTCGCTTTTGGCCACCAACGGCATCATCTCGCAGAGAATGGCCGGCAAGGTGCGCTTCTTGGACTCCAGGGAGGACGAGCAGCTGCGGGGCATCACCATGGAGTCCTCGGCCATCTCCCTCTACTTCAAGATCTTGAGGCGCAAGGAAAACACCGAGGCCGTCGAGACGAACGAGTACTTGATCAACTTGATCGACTCGCCGGGCCACATCGATTTCTCGTCGGAAGTGTCGTCCGCGGCGCGGCTCTGTGACGGCGCGGTGGTCTTGGTGGACTCCGTGGAAGGCGTGAGCTCGCAAACAATCAATGTCTTGAGACAGTGCTGGGTCGACCGCATCAAGCCGCTCCTCGTGGTCAACAAGATCGACCGCTTGATCACAGAGTGGCGCATGACGCCGCTGGAGGCGTACCTGCACATCTCCAAAATCATCGAGCAGGTCAACGTGGTCATGGCGTCCTTCTTCTCCGGCGACAGGATGCAAGACGACCTAAACTGGCGGGAAAGCGGCTCTCGGGAAGCCTACGTCGAGAGATCCGACTCCGATCTCTACTTTGCGCCGGAGAAAAACAACGTCATCTTTGCCTCTGCCATCGACGGCTGGGCGTTCTCCGTCAACACCTTTGCCAAGATCTACCTGGCGAAGTTGGGCTTCTCCCAGTCCGTCTTGGCCAAGACGCTCTGGGGAGACTTCTACTTGGACATGAAGAACAAGAAAATTCTTCCGGGCTCCAAGTTGAAGCCCTCGCAGCTGTCTTTAAAACCCCTCTTTGTGTCGTTGATCTTGGAGCAGATATGGAGCATCTACGACGCTTGTGTCGTGGAGCGTGACGAGGAAAAGCTCCAGAAGATCGTCGCCAAATTGAATGCCAGAGTCTCCCCCAGGGATATGCGTTCCAGCGACCACAAGAGCTTGCTCAATGTGATCATGTCTCAGTGGATTCCTCTCAGTCATTCCCTTTTAGGCGCAGTCATCGAGTACTTGCCCGGGCCGCAAAAAGCCCAGCAGGATCGCATGGAGAACACCTTAGACGAGGTCTTGTACAGTGCGATCACTGATCCCACGGTGGACAAAAACTCCCTCATTGAGCCTGATTTCAAGAGCGCCATGGTCAACTGCGAGGTCTCCAACCCGGATGTGCACACGTTGGCGTATGTGTCCAAGATGATTTCTGTCCCTGAGAGTGAACTCCCCAAGGAAATCGTGCAAAAGCTAAGTTCAGAAGAAGTCCTAGAGAAACAGAAGAAGGTAAGAGAGAAGGCCAGGCAGGCAGAAGTAGCGGCTGCTGCGGCTGCCTTGGAGGCCGCCAAATTGGCTGACGGCGACGACATCTATCTAGAGACACGCCCTGACCAGTTCCAGTGGGAGTTTGAGGATGACGAAGATGCAGAGGCGGAAGAAGAGTTGGAGAAAGAAGTCTTGGTGGCGTTCACAAGAATATACGCCGGGGAGTTGTCCAAAGGCCAGAAAGTATGTGTCGTGGGAGCCCGGTATGACCCGTCCTTGCCCAAAACCCATCCGACAAACCTCGAGCAGCTCAGGGAGGATATTGAAATTGAAGACCTTCTTCTCCTAATGGGCAGAGAGTTTGTGAGAGTCAACTCGGTGCCTGCTGGAAACATTGTAGGCGTCGTTGGCCTCGGCGACTTTGTTTTGAAGAACGCCACCATCATGTCAGAAGTCCCTGAAGGCAAGCCGTACCTCAACATGGCATCAACATCGACCTTGATCCATAACAAACCGATTGTCAGTGTTGCCATTGAGCCGCAAGACCCGTTCAAGTTGTTCAAATTGGAAAAGGGGCTAGATTTGCTTTCGAAAGCTGACCCAGTGTTGGAGTGGTACGTTGATGACGATTCTGGTGAGCTCATTGTATGTGTGGCGGGTGAGTTGCATCTCGAAAGATGCTTGAATGACTTGCAAAAGCGGTTTGCTCCAGGTTGTGATGTTACCATCAAAGAACCGGTGATTCCGTTCAGGGAAGGATTGTCATATACCGACGAAGTCACCAAGATTCCTGAGGATGATGCCTCGGATGCAGAAGACGCAGAGGTATCTCGCGAGGAGCTTGATTTGCAACTCGAGGTGCATCCAATGAGCCCTGAACTCTGCAAGTTCTTGACTGAACACGAAAACGAGATCAGGGAGGTGGTCGCTTTCAAGCTAAAAAACTCCACGAAAGATGCCTCTGAGCATTCCCTCGAGCTCCGTGAGAAGTTGAAGAATGCTTTGCAAGAAACTGAGTTGGATGCCAAAATACTCGAAGTCTTTGGCACCATCGACTCGTTTATCGACCGTATCATCAGTTTCGGACCCAAGAGAATAGGACCCAACTTCTTTGTTGAGGAACCGACCAATGGCTCGCAGTTCAGACGAGTGTTTGGCGAAGAAAGTGATGAGAAATTCGAGTTCGAGAGCAACGTGTTGAGTGGATACCAATTAGCCATGAACGACGGCCCACTTGCTTCCGAGCCAATCCAGGGCACCATCACGGTGTTGAAGAAAACATACAAACCTGAAAGTGAGGAGCTTCTCCTCAACCTTGGCGGCCGTGTATTGAAACGGACAAAGCAGCTCGTCCACACATCGTTTCTCAAACGCTCGCCCAGGTTGTTCTTGGCAATGTACACCTGCGAGATCCAAACTTCGCCAGAAGTATTAGGTAAGGTTTACGCTGTTGTGCAAAAGAGAGGAGGGTCTATCATATCTGAGGAATTGAAAGAGGGTACTCCCTTTTTCACAATTGGAGCTAGAATCCCTGTTGTCGAGGCATTTGGGTTTTCCGAGGAAATCAGAAAGAGGACTTCCGGTGCAGCCAGTCCGCAGTTGGTGTTTGACGGATTCGACATGTTGGACATTGATCCGTTCTGGATCCCGCGCACAGAAGAGGAGTTGGAAGAGCTTGGAAAGTTTGAAGAGAGAGAAAATGTGGGGCGCAGATACATGAACACCATTAGAAGAAGAAAGGGGTTGTTTGTGGATGAGAAAGTGGTGAAGAACGCCGAGAAGCAGCGAACGTTGAAGAGAGACTAGGCGCGTTTGGTGGGACCGACGTCCGTGAGAACCATGATCCCTGTCATCTCTGGGTCTTTGATGTTTTCGAAGCCACAAAATTCAAACTACATTGAGGAGGCGGGGTGTAAAGAAAGAGAGACAACAGCAACGGTGAACAAGACGGCCGTCTGATAATCCGACTCTTGTTACTAGCACCGTGAAGGTGGAGGCAAGTGCGCGCGCGCATTGGAGCCACTGTGCAATATCAAGAAAAAGTTCCAAACCAGACGACCCAATCGAACAAGGGAATAACAGAACACAGACTACTGAAGCATGCTGAGAAGATGACAAGAGGAAACGTAAAAGAACCCATTGACTCGCATAAAAAACCACTGCCGATGCCGGGAAACTCCCAGCCCAGAGTAGCTCCAGAACACTCTCGTCGGGCATCAGCTTTGCACCGAATGATGGACATCAAGAAGAGCTACGAATACTGGCAAGAACTCGTGAGCAAGAACATGAAACTGAGACTCAAGCCGAGGCGAGCCTCGGATGCGGGGGGAGGCGCTGAAATTTCGAACGACCAGCTGCGAGAGCGTGTGCCTCCATACCGTGAGCCCACTTTAAGAGACCTTATGACCAGCGAGGAGCTTGAACTTTTCTCCAAGCCCGAGTTGCAATCGTTCCGTCAAAAAGTGAGCGAAAAGCTCGCGTTACAAAGGGGGCTACAACTAAAGGACTCTGATGTAGACAAACTCCTTGAGTCCTGTTTGGCGGATCTGCAGTTCAGCCAAGGATTCGACCCATATGGCAACGAAGATGAAGTTGGGCTTCACGATGGCAATTCGTGTACCCAGGACTTGGCTTTGAACACGTACGAGGGGCCGGGGGAATCTGATGAAGATGTCCTTGCGGACGACTATCATATGATGGGACCGTCCAGACACCGCCACTTCGAAGTAGAGCTAAGCGATGGGCCTCCAGGTATTGAGCCGGATCCGAACGAGCCTTCGTGTGAATTCACTTTTGAGTACGACCGCGATGGGAAGTTGATACCCACGTCTAACAACATAGAAGAGAAACTCCGGCTAATGAATTTGCAGTCCCAGATTACCAACGAGGCACTTTCACAAGCCCTGGCCCTGGCCATGGCCATGGCTGCGGGCGGCAAAAAGAAGAAAAAACATAACAAGAAGAAGAAGAAAGCGAAAGGCGAGGAGGACCACGGCACCTGTGTCGAGACAAGGTCTGACTTGTGCTTGTTTTGTCAATACGAGACGTTCTACGGTGTGAAGCCACTTTACTCGATGAGAAAACTGGACTATACGCACAAGTGGGAGATGGAGCGGAGAATGAAATTTCGTGAAAAGCTAGGGGCGGCAAAGCTGTATAAGGCCAAGCATGAGCACAGCCGAGACGACGCCGTGTTGGTGGACGACCTGGAGGACAGTCATGGGACAGTTGAAGACGAATGATGCAAGGCTTAGGCCGGTGTGTATTTTAGGGATAGGAAATCATTAACTTGTTTAGGACGAATTTGTGGTAGGCGTAAATGGGGTGTTTCGGCAATCTGCTCAGCCGTGACGAACTTGATGAATATTCACTTGCTGGTGGCAAAAATTTAGCTGGATTCCTAAATCACAAAAATGCAAGATATCGAGTCCCGGAGTAGTTGGTCCACTTTGTCTTTTGTTCACGGGAGAGATCGTGGAACCTGAATATGCATGTAATATATTATACACGATGGAACGTGAGGACGCCTCATAAGCAGACGGCTGATGAAGCACTAAATGATCTTTGGCCTGATTTTCAAGTCCTCTATAGTTTTGTCGCTTTTTTGCTCTTGTAGCTCTTCTAGATATATAAAAACATCAAAGACTAGATTATACATTTTTTTTAAAGAAGTCTCTAAGTATTTCAAATCGAAGAAAGCATGCTCATTTCTTGATATATTCAAAATTCACAAAGGAGAGAAAAAAATACAAGAGGACAAAAAATCTATAAGTGGCACGAACAAAGGAAGCAGCCACACCTCAAGCTAGCCAATTATCATGAGAATCACAGAAAAAGACTAGTTCTCATCGATGTCGATTCAGGGCCAGTCCAATCATTACAGTCGGGCTAACTTAGAGAATTGAAGCATGGCCAAGCAAATACAACTCCCGGTTCTCTATTGGCTCTTTTTCACGTGCCTGAAACAAATACGAATCTTATTGCAAATAAGGTTCCGATTCCACTTCTAATCCATATATCGGGGGATTGGCTCTATTTCTGCCCTAGACTTGGCCCCACACTATACTGGGGCCGCAGCGCGCCCATCGGCCCAAAGCTCTAAAGTGAACGTGAATCGGCAACGAGAAGTAAACTGCGAGTCAACAACCATTTCAGCGAGTATACCTTGAGTATACACAGATATATTCAGACCCTAAATTCCAGGTCTGCCGAGTCACAAAAGACACTGCAATAAATTTGCGAAATGCTGGCCAAAAGCGCCACTCCCGCCACACCTGTCACGAGGCCTGTATCTCACATCGGCGACTCGACTACGTGGATAAAACAGTGGTACACACCTCTTGAAAACAGCTCTTCGAGCTCAGTTTCCAACTGCAAACTTCGTGGGTGGGTCAAGACAACAAATGCCCCGCTGGAACAAGCCATTGCCATCAGTTCAGACACCTATGATTTGGATAAACATAGCTCCCACCAGGAGCCGGAGGAGGAAAAACCTGTGGTCGAAGAGACGCCTGTGGAACAGACGGAGAACTCCGATTTGAAGCTGGCATTGTCAATGGAGAAACGCGAAGACCAGGTCTCATCATTGTCCGGCTTGGGCATGTAAGCGTCCCAAGGAGTGGGGAATTCTGCTGATATCCGGTACCACTTGCTGTGCTTGGTTCACAATGATGCTTCTCTAGAAAAGCCTGCTTCATCCGGGCAGCAGAAAAACCGGATGTCTAGTCTTGGGCGTGGTACGTCACGCTATGAATGTATAGTAATGCTAATTATTCATGCGAGTCTTCAAAACATACACCGGCCTCTCCTTGGCTTTGTTTCCGCACCGAAATCAGCTAATGTTTCAACGACATGAATGTCATACCTTGTCTTGCAGCGTCAGTGGCCTCCTGGAGCTCAGTGGCTTTATTATAGGTCCACACCTCCTCCTCTGAAAAGTCTGTGATGTCTTTGCCGGCCTTCAATTGTCTCTGAAACAGGCGTTTCACGTAGTTGAGATAGTTCATTTTGGTGGGGTCTCCGCCACCTGTGTTAATGATCAATAAGGAGTCTGTTGGCAACTCGTTGTACAAACGTTCAAGCCGCTTATCCAAGGCCTTGAGCAAACTGGACCGGTCTTCAGTAGAGACAGTTGGGGCTTTCCTCTCAGCTTTGCCTGCTTCGTCAACGATGCGGCCACTGTAATTTGGCGGAAGATTTTTCCTTGCGCAGTTGAACTGGAGCTCTCTGAGCCAGAGAAGGTGCAAAGGTTTGGTTGCTAGATTCTTAATCGCGGTGTCCACGGCCTCATCGTCGTTGGTGACAACAGTCCTGGCCAAGTTTGGCTCTTTCATATCCTTCAAGAGACAGTCGTACTCATTCATCAGGTAATCAACGAGCGAGCTTTGGAACTTTGGATTTGTATCATACGCGCTTCTGAAAAGAGAGGTCCCCAAGACTTTACCAAAATCTGGACCCTCGATTAATTTGAGCTTCACCAAGTCCAAACACGCCCGCAGATCTTCCACTGAAGAATGTCCGGTGCCGTCTTGTTCTCCTTTTTGAATGGACCTGGCCAAGTGGGTCTCTGCCAAGTACTTCAAGGCGTGTTTGAAAGGATATCCTCGGTGATGCTCAAACAAGATCGCGGTATCGATGATGTTTGGATGCCTGATTTTCATGACTTCCAAGTCCGAGTTGAGAGAGTGGCCAATCAAAATGTCGCTGGAAGAGACGAGCGAGAGAACCTTCTCTTGCACGTCCTTCAAGGTGGTGGTCTCGCCAGCAAGCATGTTTTCGGTTATCCCTGAGTACTTAGTCACGTAGTCCACAATCTGCTCGTCGGGTTTCACAAGCTGGTCGTACACGACTTCGTTCTGAAAGTTCACGATGGAGATTCTGGTGAGGACCATGCCTGACTCGGCCTGACAGAATTCACAGTCCAAAGCGAAAGTATGCGAGCCCTCGTGTTCGAATTCTCTCGTTTGCACCCATCCGTCACCGAGCGCATTTTCCGGCGAGGGGTCGAGCAGAGTGTGTATGGGGTATTTGTTGCTCTGCATCTCTTGTTTGGTGAGGAGCAAGTCGTATAGAACCAACTTGACCTGGCTCATTTCGGCAGCGCGCTTTTTCTTTGCATTCTTAGACAACGGCACCAGCAAGAGCACGTTGTTGGGCGAGGGCATGGACTCGGGCAAGGTGGTAGGAAGCACGTATTTGAACAGGCTTGCCAAAAACGGAAGTGACTCGTTCGAACCCGGGGTTTTGTCAAGGGCCCAGAGGGCGGGCGGCCCCTTCAGGGACGCAGGCACGGCAGCAACAGAGAAGTCAGAGATCCGGAGCTCAGGCACGAATGCAAACACGATGTTCTTCAACTTCCAGGGCGCAGACAATTGGAAGCACGGGGTGTTGCACAGCCCCTTGGCCAGGAAGACGTCCAACATGAAGAAACGCAAGTTGTTCAAAGTGATAGCTCGACCCAGCTGCTCTGACCACAGGAGCGAGAGCGGCTCGTTGGTCCGTTTGCTCTTTCTTTTGTGCACCTTGCCCAGCACAAGAGCGATACTGTGGGCCGAGGACCGTCTCCTCTTTGCCGACAGGTGCGGTACTGCGGGAGGGGCCGGCGCAGCAGTGGCGCCAGATTCGTCGGCCTCGTCGTCAAATGGAGACAAGAAAACCGGTGTTTTATTTGCACCCTTTTGGGACTCCGAGAGCATCTCGCGCACGACCTTCAAGTCGGAGCTGGGTTCGGCCATGGAGATGGAGAGACGCGCCGTTGTTTGCGAAAGGGCCTCGGGGCCACTTTGCAGCGGTTGGTCAGATTCCGCAAGATTCATTAGGGGGCCGGAAGGAGGACGTTTGGGGCGTTTTGAGACGGACTTGGGAGGCCTGGGCCGTGGCTCACATAGCCACGCACCGGCCCGCGGTCACGTGACCGGAGATGAACCGGGGACGGGGACGGGACGGGGACGGGGACGGGGATTTTCGATCTCGTTTTTTGAGCCCTTCGGGTAATTTTTCTTGTGGTTTTGTTTGTCGGGTGGCGGCTTTGGGGGAGTTCCGCCGTATCGGCGTCGGCCAATTTCTCTCGGTACCTTGGTGCCGTGCGGCAGTCATGCGACATGGGTCTGGTTTGTTTCTGCCATTCCCATCTGTTTTTCTGGTCTTGTGCTGCTGTTCTGCCACTCTCTTCGAACTCCTCTTTGACCTCTTTGAGCTCATCTTTGAACTAATCTCTGAACTGCTCTTTGTACTGCTCTTTGACCTCTTTGAGCTCCTCTCAGATAACTTCTTTGAGCTGCTCTTCGGCCCCTTCGAACTCCTCTCCGATCTCTTCTCTGTCCTCTCCTCAAAACCCTTGCAATTTTCTTTTCGGTCTTCACCTCAGAGTTCCTCTGTCCTCCTCCTTGAACTCCCCTTTGACCTCTTCGAACTCGTCCTCGAACTCCTCTTTGAACTTCTCTTTAAACTCTCCTTTGACATCTTCAAACTCGTCCTCGAACTCCTTTTTGAATTTTCCTTTCAACTCTCCTTTGACCTCTTCAAACTGCTCTTTGAAGTCCTCTTTGAGCTCCTCTTTGAAGTCCTCTTTGAGCTCCTCTTCGAACTCCCATTTGACCTCTCTGAGCTCATCTTTGGACTGCTCCTTGAACTTCCCTTTGAACTCATTTTCGAACTCGTCCTTGAGCTCCTCTATGGATTCCTCTATGAATTCCTCTCTGAACTCCTCCCAGAAGTTTTCTTAGAAACCCTCTCTGAAACCCTCTTTGAACTGCTCCTTAAACTGCTCCTTGAACTCCTCCTTGAACTGCTCCTTGAACTCCTCCTTGAACTGCTCCTTGAACTCCTCCTTGAACTGCTCCTTGAACTGCCCCTTGAAGTGCTCCTTGAGCCCTTCCTGTCCTCCCCCAGATCTCCCATCTTTCACCCTTTGACGAGTGTGGCCGCACTTTCCATGTGCCCAGACAGCTATGCCTGCTGCCGGGCATGGAGCCTCTGGAGGAACTGCCCGTAGGTCATGGGCAGAGCCGGTTTTTCGGGCAGCCGCGGCCCGGGCCCCTCGTCCAAATACGGCATGAGCCGGGCCTGGGCCGCTTGTAGAACGTAGCCGTCCTCGGATTCCAGGAAGCCCATGGCGTGCACGTCCTCAAAACACCCGTCGTAGGCCTCGTTGAACCGGCGGATCTCGGCCTCGGTCCCGAACAGCCTCGCCATGACCGCAAGCCGCGGAGCAGACCTGGCCACGAGCAAGATCTTGGCCCAGGAGTCCCAGCCCACGGGAATGTACTGGTGGACCAGCACCGGGCCCACGAGCACCGAGCCCTCGGGCGTGTAGACCACGCGGTCGGTGCCCAAGGCGGTGCGGAAAAGCCAGTGGGCCGCCGCAGCCACAACGGTGGTGTTTTCGGCAAGCAGCAGGAGGCCCGAAAGAGCAGCGAAGCGCACGCCGTGTTTGAGTGCCACGAGCCGCAACATCTGCTGCGTGGCCACGTGTTTTGCCGCGAGATAGTCGGCCTCGTCGATGTCGTCGCCGTTCTGCACCACGGCCACCTCGAACGCGGGGGGATAGTCGGCGTGGACGTCGGGCAAAGCCACGCCGGAATCGGCGCGTTGGCCCGGCGTGCCGCCGCCCAAAGAGCGCACCGTGTCCTTGTATTTGGCCACATATTCGGCCCGGCGGCAGAGGGCCCCTTTGCGCTCGCTTTTGTGCACCACGAGCCGGAGAACATCGACAAGCACGGCCATGTCTTGGTGGACCAAGATCACCTTCACCAGCGAGCGCGTTGCCATCCGCTGGAGGAGCGTTCCCAAGTACGGCAAGAAGCTGGGCACACGTGAAAACACGTACACATCCCGGCGGCCCTCCTGCGCGTATTTCACGGACGTGCCGTGGGCGGTTTTGGCCAGGCAGAAGATGACGATGATGCACTCATCTATGCCTGCGGACGCGGCCAGCAAATCCATCAAAAAGGCGTATTTTTTTCCGCTTTGTTTTCGAAAAGTCACACTGCTGCAGATCCCGCAAACGCTGGTGCCTGTTGGGGTGCTTGGAGCTTGGCGGGCAGTGGTGCTTGGGCCGGCTGTGAAGACATGCGAGGTTGGCACTGCCAGATTGCAAATGTAGTGCGGCGTGCGGTGCGGCCCCAGCGCCGTTCGTATGGGCCGTTTTCAGAGGCCCATTCCGGGTGAAAAAAAATAAAAATAAAAAAAAACATTTCCGGGCGTGTTTTATGGTATGGGGAGTCAGGGGCTGTATTCCCAGGTGCTGGCTGAATTGGCTGGGGTGTATTTGATGGGTGTTGGCAGAATCGGTCTGGTGTGTTTTATTAGCAGGGCCAGTGCTCACTGGGGAAGTTTAATTAGCCGGTTTCCTAGGGGTTTTCTTAGCACGGACACAGGCAGTTTTGAACAGGCAAGTACATGTTTTGGACCGATTTGGACCAGAAAAGGGTCTGGACGGCCTAAGTTGGAACTGATGAAGTGTGGCGTGTTCAACTAGTATCGACATAATGTTTGACTTGTGCAGACAGAGCACCGCAGTATTCAATGGGCGTCCTTTATCATCATAGACAGTGCGTAGTGGGGCTTCATGATGTGTTTGATTCTAGCCTTATCCACAGGAGAACCACCCGCCCCCAGAGAAGCCAGCATGGCTCATTGGGATATCCAGAATCCTGTGAGGTACGGATACCCAGCTGGTCGGATCCACAACTGACAATTACACTCATGGCTAAGTTCAGCGGCTGAGCCGCAACAAACCTTGGCCCTCAAGCCTCCTACGCATATGGTCTTGATCTGTGCTGACCAGGTTTGGTATTGCCAGGAGAATGATGGCCATGGAAATGGACATCGACGCGATGTGGCAGAATATTCCAAAGAGAATCAAGATCCCAAAGAAGCCTTCTCGAAAGGAGTGTCTATCTGAAAGCTAGCTAAGACTACGCTACTCAGCGTGCTTGCTGTCGACGTTCTGGATGTACTCGTAGTACCATGCGGTCAACTGCAAGTGGCCGTCAAACAAAATCTTCTCGTCCACACTGTGGATGTTGTTCTCAAACATGTCCACAATCATTGGCGAGTACCTGAAAATGTTCTTTGTCAAGTTCCAGTAGTAGCGAGTGTCCGTGTTCGCGGGCATCAAGCAGGGCGCAGTCACGAGCGGGTATCCAAGAGTGTTGTTAAGCACCAAGTCCTCAAACACGTGTCTTGTGGTCGACGCCAAGTACTCCCACACCTTACCCTTTGATGGAGTGACCGGCGCGTACTCGAGATCCGTGCCAAAAGTGCTCACACTGAACGAGCCAGCAGGCTCCTTTGTTTTGAACACGGGCTTGCCAAAAGCCTCCACATCCATTCCGTACTTTTTCGCCAAGCTCACAACCCTCGAAACAAAGTGGTCCTGGACCTCGGCCACTGTCGTGCCAATGGCGACTCTGTGGTTGACCACCAAAGCCACGTCCTCGGGAAGAGCGTTGGCCTTTTCGCCGCCGTGAATGACATCTGCCGCCTGCGAAGTCTTGATCAAGTACTTCGTCAAGGAGTTCTGGGAAAGCACCTTCACCACCTTGGAGTTGGCGACCTTGTCGAAGCCAGCTCTCAAAATGGCCTTCTTCTGCAACTTGCTCATCTTGTCGCCGCTGTTGACAGCCAAGCATTGCATGTATTGGAGCAACGGGTTCTCATCCGTGAGCAAAGGAGAGTACTGATCCTGTTCGATGTTGTACGCCAATTCCCCCATGATGCCAATTGCACCATGGTCAGGAGGAATTGACGAGTGGCCTCCCTTCATGAACAAGTCGACACGGATGTCGGCATAGCCCTTTTCACCAGTCGCCGGGGCGGCCACCAAGTTCCCGGTCACGGCATCCTGCAACAAGCCTGGGCCCTCGTCGATGATGGCGTAGACCGAGTCCTTGCCGAACTTGTCCTCCAAAAACGCCGCGATTGTGCTTGCGCCACGAGTCCCCGAGATCTCCTCGTCAAAGCCGAACGCCACAAGGACGCCTCTTTGTGGCGCGTAGTTTTCGCTGATGAGCAAGTCCAAGGCCTCCATCACCGCCACAAGGGAGTTCTTGCAGTCAGAGGCGCCGCGGCCGTACACGTATTTGCCATCGTAATGGCCGTCAAACGGAGGATATGTCCAGTCGTTCAACGTGTCCTTCTGCACGGGCACGACGTCCTGGTGGGCCGCAAGAAGCAATGGTTTCAACGAGGAGTCGGCGCCCTTCCAGTGGAAAACGAGGCCCCAGGTGTTGACCTTGAACACGTCGCATGCTTCGTAGATGCGGGGGAAGTGCTGCTCCAAGTACTCGTGGAACTGGGCAAAGTGTTCCCATTTTTCGGGAGCCTCGGCTACGTCCGGCAAATTGTCCGTGACTTGCGTGTCCACGCGCACGGCACTGGAGAGTTTTTTCACCGACTCCATTCTGTAGGCATCGCTGTTCAAAATCCTGAGCACCGTGGAGTTGTCCGTGGCAAACCGAGGGGGAGCACGGGAGTCGAAGACCGGGCAGAGCGAGGCATCAGATGTCAGCTGCAAGAGAATCTTCACGTAGCTAACGAAGTTCGTGAAAAAGAACACCGCGAGAAGAGCCACGGTGGCACTGAATACGTAAACCTTCATTTCGCAGAGTCAATCGCTTGGCGAAGAGGGTGGTGTGGGATATGAGATAAACAGGCCGTTTTCCTTTAATAGAGCGGCCCCGCAGCGCGTCCACCCCACTGGACGAGATAGAGCGTCCAGGTGCAGGACGCCCATAATACGAGCCGGTCGGGTTTCCAGAAAGCGGAAACGCACCCGAGGCACCCGAGGGATATGCGCGGGTCGGGTGACGAAGGACCGCCTCAGCCGCCAGCCGCGCGGCCACGAGTCAGCGGCAGTGTTTGAGATTCCGGCGTGAAAGCCGTGTAAAAAATAACCAAGATTTTAGGGGGCAATCTGTGTCGGTTTCAAAGGGGCCCCTGTCCGCAGCCTCTTTTGGCGCGTAGCATGTTTCTCTACCTCGCTGTCCTATTTGTGAGTGGCCGTGAGGGCGAATACCTTAAATCTCGTATTCCTTTTGTCAAGGAGTAGGACACTTGGGCTGGTGAGATGGCGGCTGCAACGTGTCGTTTTTCTAGCACCCGCTCCATTCCTGAAAGGGATCACAAAACCACCTTTGCTATCTAGCTTTTTTTTTTTTTTGGAAACCTCTTTTGTGCTTGGAACCATGTCCAGCACATGGATGAGTTTACCCGAGTGGCTTCTTTCCCAAACCTAGACTGGGCACCTCTTGAGAAAAGTGCGCCATTCGTCTAAGAGGAGACATCTCAGAATGGACTGGTTTTCAGTAGCGCCTTGGTTGCGTGGGCCCACCGTCGGTGCTGTGTGCACACCCGACTGCAAACACTGCCAACAACATGACTCTGGCAGCAGGTCTGGGCATCTTCATTCTCTTCGGCCTGCTCATGGAAAGTGCCAACAAGTCTTTTATTGTTGGCCATTGAAAGTAGTACTCTAGGATAGTGGAACTCATTGCTGGCGTCTCGATATATCCGGGGCGGCGAGGCTGCTTTCAGCCAGTCTTGGAAACAATAGCCAAAAACACACATATTTCCAGCAGGGGATGTTTGTGACTCCCGGGCATGTAATATTATGGGCGTTGGGCCGCATTTATCACTGTATAATCACAGTAATCTCACTTTCTTCTCAGTTCCTTCTCACTTCATCATCACTCCCTTCTCACTCTCTTCTCACTCCATCCTCACTTTATTACCAGATCTCTCACGTCGTTCTCACCTCATAATAACATTATAATCACCTCCTTGTCACTTCCTTGCACCTCGTAATAAAATCACCATCACTTCCTTCACTTTCCTTCCCACTTCATTCCCACTCCACTCACCCCTCTTTCCCACCGCCGCACCGTCTCACTAACTCTAATACTTCAGCAGAGACACAGCACCTCCCGCCCCTTCGCGCCAGCACCGCCATATTCCTGAAATTACAAAATGATAAAAAACAAACAAGAGCGAGGCCGCCGCCACTGGCCCATAAACTGACAGCTCCCCCAAAAAAACGGAGCTAGGCCGCTGGCGCTGGCGCAGGCAGCCGTCCACCAGAGGCCCGCACCCGTGCACCACGCAAGACACCGTCAAGCACGTACTATATCCAGCCTCAGCCCTGGACTAGCCCCAAATCAGCGAGTATCGACCCGTTTTCACCGCAGAAAAGATGGCCGGAAACGGAATGCCCGCCGCGTCCGCGGACGACGTGTTTGCCCTGGCGCTACCGGGCAACGACGACGTGCCGGACGACAAAATGATCGACGACATCTTTGCAGAGCGCACCACCAAGCACGCAGATGATGCCGTCGATTACGAGGACATCGACGAGCTTGCCGACGACGACGACGACCTTCCGGAAGAGCACCTTGCGGTCCCCGCAACCGGCGCCGGCGGCGCGCTGGGCCGCGTGCTGGCGTTCGAGGAAACAGGGCTCCAGAACGACGCCGAAAACGAGTTCGACGCGCTTTTCGGCGACGAGAACGCGCCGGAACATGGCCATGGCGGCTTTGTGCACGCGGACGTAGATCTCGCGGGGCCCGTGGGCCACGCGGGGCTCGACATTTTGCATGACATGGGCCCCACGGCCGGTCACGAGGACGACGGGCTTAACGACTTGGGGCTTGGCTTCGAGGACGAAACAAGCACCGGTGTGGACCCCGCCGGGCGCCGGCCTGGGCCCGCGGCAACGGCGGCGCCCCGCAAGCGCAAGTCTCCCGACGTGGTGGCGGCCAAGACGGCCAAGTTGCGGAGGCTAGTTCACGACATGGAGGCCCGCCAGAAGGCCCGCATGGTGCGCAGGTACTTTTCGGCGTACTCCGCGGAGAAGCCCTTCAACTTCCATGACATGGTGCTGCCGGAACCGCGGTACTACGCGTACAAGCGCCCGGCCATCGCGTTCAAATCACACCCCAAGCCGCTCGTTCCGTTGAAGATCTCCTTGGACATAGAGCCGGACCAGAAACGGGCGTTCAAGTCCCGCAAAGGCGTGCCCAGTGAGCCTGCGTGCGCCAAGGGCGTCTCGCAGATCACCCAGCAGGACTTGGACTTCATCGAGGGCTTGCACTCAACTGGCGACCCGCGATCGCGGGTGAAGGTGTTGCCCATCATGGAGCAGGATGGCGTGGAGAACGACAAGTTCTCCGACTTCAGCAAGGACCTTGTGCTCGCCACGGCTGACTGGGACGACAACTCCATCATCAGTGCTGGCAACTCTGAGACCGAGGAAGCCCCTGCCCGTGCGAAACTGGTCACCGACAGCTTCGAAATGGACGACATTCTGTACGACGACGAAAACATTCTCAATGCTCAGATCAGCCAGGAGAAATTCGAGTTGAACATGAACGACCCGCATCTTTTGTTTGTGCCCGACGTGAAGAGAATCGAGCATACAAAGTCCAAAGCAGTGGTGCCGAGTGATAACAAGCTACTACACCAAAAGTTCAACGTCTCGAATGACAAGGCGTACGAGATCTTCGAGAACAACTACAACACCAAGGTCAGAAGTCAGTTGAGTAACTTGAACATCGAGCATTCCATCCCCGCCTTGCGGCTTCAAACGCCGTACTATAAGATCAAGTTGTCGAGGGAAGAGTCCAGAGCTTTTCACCGGCCCAAATTCCAAGTTATACAGGGCTCTTTAATCTGTTTCTCCAAACCAAGATTGCGGAAGAAAAAGAAAGACCGGGGCAAAACTCCACAGGAAGTCTTTTCCAGAACCAACGATCTCTCTGTGGCCGACTCCGCGACTCTTATTGCCATGGAGTATTCCGAGGAATATCCCAGCATCTTATCTAATTTTGGTATGGGAAGCAAAATGATAAATTACTACCGAAAAGAAAAGGAAGAAGACAACACGCGACCAAAGGCACTCTTGGGAGAAACACACGTCCTTGGGGTCGAGGACCGGTCTCCGTTCTGGAACTTTGGGCATGTTGCAAAAGGAGATTTTGTGCCTACACTTTACAACAATATGATCAGAGCACCAATTTTCAAACAGGAATCCAAGTCCACGGATTTCCTCTTGATCCGATCGCAGGGCTGTGGAAACCATCAGAGATATTTCCTCAGGCGTATCGATCATCTATTCGCAGTGGGAAACATATTTCCAGCTGTGGAAGTGCCAGCCCCTCACTCAAGAAAAGTCACCAACACATCCAAAAATCGCTTAAAAATGATCGTTTTTCGCACCATGAACCAGAACGGAACAGCCAGATTGTCTGTAAAAGATATCTCGCTGCATTTTCCCGATCAGAATGACATGCAAAATAGACAGCGCTTGAAGGAGTTCATGGAGTATCAAAGGCAAGGAGATGACCAGGGTTTCTGGAAAATTCGGGGTGCTGACGCCGTTCCTACAGAAGAGGAGATCAAGTCCATGATCACGCCTGAAGATGCGGCTCTTCTAGATTGTATGCAGCATGGGCAGCAAGTCTTAGACGATATTGAGTCTCTATACAACGATGACGCAAGAAAGCTAGATTTCAGAAAGGACAAGAAAGAGAATGAAAAAGAGGATATCGAGACTGACGAAAAGAAGGAACTCGAAAAGAAGAAGGACAAGAACACCGACATCGACGAAACTATAGATGAAGGGCTTACACCTTGGAGTTCCTCTAGGAGCTTTATCATTTCCAATCAAACCAAAGCCATGCTTCAGCTTAATGGAGAGGGAGACCCAACAGGAATAGGTCTCGGGTTTTCTTTTCTTCGCGCAACACAGAAGCATGGCTTTAAGCCTTTGATCCCCCCACCCAAGGACACTGTTCCTAAAAACACAACAGCTTCGTATCAGCAAAAGCTTTACGAAAATGAGATTTCGAGAATTTGGTATGGGCAAAGAAGCTCTCTCACTGTCGATAACACCGAAGGGCATTCTCTTGATGATATCTATCGCGAGTATAAACCACTTGATCACACGAAATACATCAAGAGTAAAATCGATAAGGAGCGCGAAGATATCGTCAAGAATGAGGGCCAAAAGGCGGCAAACCAAAATGTTTTAAAGATCACCCGTTTGGTAAGAGACGAGAATAACATAGTGCAGCGGAAAGTCGAATATTTGCACGATCCCAGATTGATCAAGGCGTACATCAAGAGAAAAAAGCAGATCGAAGGAGACAAGATGTCGATGGCCGATGTGAACGAAATTATTCCAACAAACGATGCTGAGATGAACAAAATCAGGCGTAAAGCATTGGAGGAGAAAATTGCAAATCTTCAAAAGAGAGCTAAACTCAGCAAAGGGCGTAAGCCTAACAAAGATCCGTTGCATCTTGCAGCCGCTGCTGGAGGAACAATTATCGACGCCAACACTGTCATGTTGCCCGATGGTTCCATCGCCTTTGGAGGCAAGGGAATCGGGAAAGGAAAGAGCACGACAAGGAGATGCAAGTCGTGCGGGGCTTTCGGTCACATCAGGACCAACAAGGCGTGTCCGCTTTACCATGCGACAAAGGGAGGCACCATACAGATACCGCAGGAACAAAAGGATATCTTGCTTGCATCAGCGAAGGACAGACCCGAAGGCTTCGAGACGGCAACCTCGGGCAACGAAACGCCTGCTGTGGAGCTTTCTGCCGCCGGAAGCCCGGCGGCGCCTACATACTAATTATGATACTCAATGGGCTAGTATATTAATTAGAAAAAAAAAGGACAAAATAACAACGGGGAAAAAGACCTGTGGAAGGCCGATTAACGTACGAGAAAGAAATGCTGACAACTGTTGAAGTGCCACTTGATAAAAGATGCCCAATGAGACACATGCGGCGAAGACTTAGCACCACATTCGGTAGATTCTGTACCAGAAGGGTCTGGAGCGGATGTAAGCCTTTTCCTCGGCGATCTCCTGTTTGATGACCTCAATGTCTATTTCCCTCCTGCCTGTGTCCAAGTCAATGTCTTCGAGCCTCACCATAAGCATGTTCCACGAGCCGGCGTATGTTTTGTATCCGGCCCACAAAACAATCATGAGTGGCAACGAGAGGCAGGCTTGCCAGAAACCAATGTTGGAGGCGCCGTCGTTCCCGATGGGCCAGATGGCGGTCCAGATCAAACCTACAACAATCAAGGATAAAATGACCATACCCGAAAGCGAGCCCCAGACGCCGGTGGGAGCCACGAAAAGCACCTCGTCGGTGCTCCGGCCCTGCTTTGCGAGGGCCCATCTGAATCTGAGGTGGGTGAAGCAAATGGCAATCCAAGTGAAGAAAGCGGCCAACGAGCAGACAGAAAAGAACCACGTGAACACCACATCTTGGTTTTCTGCGTCCGCAGCCAAGTACCCAAGCAAGCCAAACATGTTGGTGATCATGATGGCAACAAGCGGCCTACCGGCTCTGTCCACGTAGGCAATGCTTTTAGGAAGCAAGCCCTGGACGGCCAACGAGGCCAAAGACCGCGAGCAGCCGTAGACCGAGGAGTTTCCAACCGAAACCACGGCAATCAAAATCACCGCGTTCATGATGTCGGGGAGCACCTTGATGCCTCCGTTGTTGATGGCAATGACAAATGGCGATGCGGTCACGTCCTCATACGAAGTGCCGGAAAGCAATCTCTCGTCCGTGTACGGCACCAAGCACCCGATGATCACTGCGGTCAAGATGTAGAAAATGGTGATACGCCAGAACACCTGCTTGGTGGCCCTGGGCAACGACTTGCGGGGGTTGGCGGTCTCGGACGCGGCCAACGCCACAAGCTCCACACCACCAAAGGAGAACGCAGCGGAAATAAAACAAGAACACACACCTTTGAAGCCATTGTTAAACGCTCCGGGGTCGTGCCAGTACTGGGCGCCAATGTAGCCCTGGTCGCCGACACCCAATATAAGACAGACGCCAAGAATGATAAAGCCCACCACGGCCAACACTTTGATGATCGAGAGACCAAACTCCACCTCACCGTAGCCTTTGACGCCGAACATGTTGATGGAACAGATAAGTATGTAGAACACGGTGATCCACACGGCCGGGTTGATGCTGCTGTTCCAGTACAGGATGGTGATCGAGCATGCCACCAACTCCGAGGGGAACGAAATCAACCAGGACAACGCATACAAGAGGCCCACGGTGAAACCCCAGGCGGGGTCGACGAAACGCGAGAAGAAGGCATTGAAGGAACCAGAAACAGGAAACTGCACGGACATTTCGCCCAAGGCGTTCACCACGCAGAACAACGAGTAGCCCACCAAGATGTACGATATAAGCTGTCCAGCAGGGCCACCCTGCCAAAGCGCATATCCAGAGCCGACAAAAAGACCGGTACCAATGGAACCGCCAATGGCAATCATCTGCAAGTGTCTGCCTTTCAAGCTCCGGGCCAACGGGTGTCTGCTGGTGGCGTAGATAGACTTCTCCATCTCGGTCATCTGCGAGGTGTCAACGCCGTCATCTTCCAAGTTCATCGGCTTGAACGAGTCTATGAAACGGTTAAAAAAGGGCCGTTCATCAACTGACTTGGCGGAGTATGTGTCTGAGGGGTCGTTTGAAAACACCGACAGGTGCTCTCCGCTGACACCCTTTGTGTATTCGGGACTCTGGTCTTCTTGTTTTTCCGCCGACATCATTCCAGATATGTTTGGGTTGAGTATGATTTTGCAACTAGTGGTTTTAATTGCAATGTTAGTGAACCAGCTAGAGAAAACAACAAAGAGGAGACGCAAGAAAAGGGCGGAGATGCACACCTATAAATGCAAGGTCTGGTGGCCTGTTTGTTCCTGTATTCGCTCTTGCTTCCAACAAGTAAAAATCCGGAAAAGTCTTCGCCGTCCTGAAAGGTCTGGATGGACAAATGTCGCGGAGGCTTATTCCCGCTTTTTTTTACCTCAACAAGTACGCGAAGTATTATGCACAACGTTCGATGCACGATTTTTCCGACCTTCACCCTGGGCACAGCCTCGCAAACTCCGTGCATTTGTCAAGCAAATGTCGCGCTTTCATGTATGTTTGCTCCTGGGTGATCTTTTTTTCGCACCGCCGCGAATGGCGCCATTCAAACAATAGAAACAATAAAGGGGGGCGTGAAATGCGACAATCTAAATCAAATGCCCCTCCTGCGAGGAGTATATGAAAAAGTCTCGGGTTCTCAGTTCGCAAGATCGAGTGGCTCCTTAGCTTGCTTTCCCTTATTGAAAGTGTTGTGCCACAGTGGAGAGAAACATGCTTGAATGGATTTATACGGACTTTCTTCGACGCAAATAGATATCTCTTTTGCATATTTTCAGTGCACTGCATGATAAAGCAGGTTTTTAGTGCAGAGATAATATCTAGAGTAGCCAAGGAAGGAATGACAGGTGGTTTGACGAAGATTGAGACACTAATATCCAGACATGCTTTCTTTGAACAAGGCTTTAGCGACCTGTTTCGGTCAAGACTGCAGGCTTTTGCCAAACATAAATCAAGAAAAAGCTGCTATTATGGTACCTCAGATCCATTCAAAAAGACGTACTGAAATATGATATTCTAATATAATATAAATACCGGGTATGTCATTAATAGTTCTTGTAGTGATAAATCAAAAAGCAAATACTTGTATAACCGCAACAAACAGTCATCGATGCGGGGTAGCTGCTCTGGCCCAGCATGTGTACTCCTATTTCTATCCAAGTATGAAACATAATGAGCAACTGAGTTGTGACAGTTCTTGGGAATTGTGGGAGATGGGAATTGGGAATTGAAATACTCAATCAAGTGCCGCCACCTTCAACCGTGTTTCATCATAGAATTCATGATATCCTTATTCAGGTGGTGGTTATTTCTTTGTCGTTTCCATATTCAGATTGTCATAGATCAAATGACATATAAATAAGTGATCCTAGAGATCGAGGAGGAGCTCTGTCTCATGGCTTTGTTGCATCGTTTTGCCACAATTGTTTTTACACGGAATCGAATTATGTACTGTGTCTCACAAACCACTATTTGAGCAAATCTTTCACAAACAAAAGCGTACTTGCTGTATTTTGTGAGAGAGCTCATATAACAGAATTCTGGAGGCAGATCTACTTCAAACTTGCTAATTAGTTTCCTTTCGTTGAAGTCATCTTTGAAGCGGGAGACTCTGATCGGATCGCATACCTGTTCGCATCTATTACGCACAAGTCTGCGCCAGATCATTCCTGCATGTGGATTTTCGATTAGTGCTTCCTTCATATACGCATGCTGCCCTGCCCATATTTGAAGCCGCTCGATGCATGCAATGGTACGTAAGCAAGGTATATGAAGGGCAAATCTTCGCAGGGCAAAAGAAGAAATACGACTGAGCGAATTGAATATAGAGCTAAATCAAAAGCATACAAAGTTTGACAACACTTGAGCTAAAATTCAATACTTCGAAGGAGTGCATTGTGAAGGCCGAACGAATGAGAAGTTTCAATCGGTCTCGTTAATGCAAGGGCTCAAACTCCTACCTCGAACATGCAATTATTACCAGATATGGCGAGCGCGACATTCGCGCCATGTCGTCTTCGTACAGTCAAGAACTGCATGTATATAAAAGACCATATTTAAGGTACGAGACGAAGTCAACATCAAATAAAATTGCAGATTTTTCCCAAGGTCCACGTAGATTGCAGTTTCCTGAACTATATGCTGCTTGGGTGTAGAGGCGTAATATTGGGATCAAAAGCAAGCCGCAACGAGGCTTGAATCGTGGGGTATATATTGTCTGCATTCGCAAGGGCAGGCATTAATCGTCCGTAGTGTATCGTGCCTGTCTTCAGGCGGTGTGCGTAAAATTTCGGCTTTAGTACGATAAGCTTTCGGCGAGCTGACAACAAAAATTTGCCCCTATAGGTTGCCCGACCACTGTAGCGTTCTACCATAGAAATCACGGTTTGAGTTCTTCCATATGTTCTTCTATGTGAGAAATTCAAGTGCAACAAGAATCATAATGTTTTGATCAATATAGCCAGGTCCTTGGAAGGATTGAAATTGAATCGAATTTTCTTGAAATAAATTTGGTTTTCTATATGCTGCAGGTCAAGATGCAGTAATTTCAACATTCAGACCGACATCCGTACAAGCGCTCACCAGCCAATGGAGACGCATGGAATGCTTTTCCAGAAAGCCCTTGAAGGAGAGAACTTGAAAGATTTAAAGTCAGGCACACTTCAGATAAAACAGGAGACCACTTCAGCAGATCCCCAGCTAAATAAATATGAACGCTATCTCAGTTTTACAAAGATATGCAATCTTGAGCCGAGAAGTTCAGCCACAGATTTAAACAATGCACCGCTGTTTCACTTCTTCAAACTCAAAACTTTAGTCAGCTCTTCGAAATTATTCAATGTTGTGAAGTTTACCTCTTGCGTTCCATTGTGAATAGTGAAAAGTGAAGCAGTCAGAGTCTTGCACGTTGACATACTGGAACTTTCTTGGCACAACAAACCGCGTTGAGGGCAAAACAACTGTGTGCGTATTCAATATGGCACCTTTCTAGTTGAATTAAACCTAAATCTCCTGTCTCTCAAGCTTTTTGAGATATATATCGTAGAGCAACAGCTCAAGTAAATATCGTGCTCCCGAATATAAATGCGCAAGATATACAAAACCTTGGCCTAGTCATATTACGTGCGATTCCTGAAGCATCAGTTTGTGAGGAATAAGATTCTCATGCAGTAGCTGAGGCTTTATCAGAATATGGTTGTGAGTTCTTTAAAGGATAAGCATATTCCAATATCCCTCCTAAGCAAATTTTTTCAAAAAAAAAAACACGCCCCTTGAGTCAAACATAAAATCAAGGTCCTGAATATTGCATGAAGGTCTAGAGTTGGAAAAGAGTACTTGGCATTGGTTACGGCTCTTTTTTGAGTTCATTGTTTTCAAACAGGTAGTATCCTTAATTCGTGGAGAAAGTGATCGTTCACTCAATCACAGGTCAGTTTTCAAACCGGTGATTGTCAACTCACTAAAACCGTAAAGCAGTGCATACAATTTTGGCATCCAACTTTGTGGGCCAGGGCTCTGTACTTGTTGTTTTCCCAGAAGCTACTTTTCTTGGATTGTTAGTGATCCGCGTCGATTGGGCCCAAGCTGATATGGCGGTCATGTGGCTTTCGTATTTTTCACAGCATTTTGTTGAAAAAGAACTACTACAAAACCCCAGTGTATGATATGAGGATGTGTCAAAAAATGACAAGTCCTTCTCTGCGAATGTCCCCCTACTACTTTTAGTGGCTTAGTTTGATATAATTATATGCACTTTCTCCAAGCTTTCTCTGCGGCACGAACGCGTATTTGCAAGAAGGGGGAAATTTACTTATTTTGGCTTTTGATTCCTGTAGTGCAACTGCGATATCTAGGAAGGAGCATCATATTTACTTGGCCATTATACTTGTCAGGCTCTCTGTGGAATTTGACGTGAGTTCTGGTAATCACGCCACCTTGAGGCGTATTCCTGGACGACGATGTTGAATTCTGCTTTGCGAAGAAGGCGGACAGTATAGACACTGCTGCTTTTCGTGCTGCAGGCACTCCAGAACCCTGACAGACTTTGGTGGTAGAAACCATGGTTAGTGGTTAGATTTACCAGAGCCTTGATAGAAGACAGTTTTAAAACCTTGCTTCAGCAGAAAAGGCAACATGCGAATAGAGTTGGTTAGTAAGATGTGGCTTTTGTTTTCGGATGGGGAACATTTTGCAGGCCCCTTGGAGTGTCTACAAAAATAATGAAGGCGACGTGGCATTTGTTGGTGTTCGTGTTCAGAAGTCGACCACTGTTGATCCTACGAGATGCCTAGTACAAAAGGTGATTTTACATCCCAAGTTGCTTGCACCTTTGCGCCCGCAATGAACTTCTGGATTTTTGAACATCACTGGTCATATGTGAGCTTGTATCAATGAGGGAAGTGATGGGGTGCGTTTTTAACCAATATGCCCAAATCATTTCCAGAGGAACTACAGTCGGACCAATCAAAACACGCGAGACGGAGGCACGTGATCCATTCACGTGCGCGGCTCTAGCTAAGCTACAGGCGGTTTGTTCGTTCCGAATAGTTGTTTATTGAATATGTGATGGTTCCCCTTAATGAGGGTGTAAGGTAGATGGGCCCGAAATCTCGTCCTCAAAAATTTTTTTGAAAGAAGAGGTCTTATAGTAGTATTTCGTCATCCAGACGGCTCCGCAGGCGTAGAGGAATCCTCCTGTGAGAAGTGCGCGCGTGGGCGTGATCATCAGGTGCTGTTTGGTAGATTGTGTGTGATTTGCGAGTCTGTCCCAGGATGGTCAAGCTCTGAGGAAAAATGATTAAATTGTTGGTTGGCGAGGCTGGTAGCATTCTGTTTCATCCATCCCCAAATTTATATGATTTTGGCGGTCACACCACTTCAGGGGCAATCAGGTGAGATTCCCCGCGATCACATGATCCCCGCCCATCATACGAGGGGTGGTTCCACTTCAAGGCGCGTCTCCGCGAATCTTACCACTTATGGTCAACATAGCAGTTTGAGTGGTCACTAATGTGGGCAGATTTGGCCTGCCCGGCCGGGCACAAGATTGCTGTGTGGGCGAAACCATATGTGCCCGCTTTGGCATGTCGCGTCTGCAACAGGCTTCGATGCTTTGAGGGCCAGTCGGGTGCCGGGCTAATAAATAAGAATGTGTAAATTCCAGTGTACTTTCGACTTGTAGTCTAGTAAGAGCGTACCGCATCGCTGTTTGGGAGGCTTGGCAAAAAGTGACCCACGATCATCATGGGCAAATCAAACAAGTCACGCTTCACCGTCCAGACCGAGCAGAACTCAATAAACGCCACGTCCGTAAGCTGTGCATTTGTCTTGGAAGTCGACATGCGGTGGTCGGAGGGTCTCTTGATCAACTTGCACTTGGTGAAAATGGTCAGATGGAGACTCCCGATGGCCACGGACTTGAAGAGGCGGAAGTACTCGACGATAGACTCGTCGTCGTACATCAATTCGATGATGAAGGTGCGTTTGGAAAGCACGTCGGAAATATTGAGTCCCAAGATGTCCGCCAAATGAGCCAGCATCAGCACAATCTCGCCCGTGCGGCGCCAGATGATCATAGGCGATGCGTTTAAGCGTGAGAGATTCTCGAAGTCGAGAAGACACCGCTGGAACAGCATCTCCAAGAACTGGAAGTCGAACGGCTGAAAGAGCGACTTGTGGGCGCTGATGAACGTCGGGCGGTACGAGGCAATGAGCTTGAGAATCACGAGGAGGTTGTGTCTTTTGCGGGCCCGGACCTCGGGCGTCGCGTGCTTGCTTGCCACCGAGAACCGGTTCTTTAGAAAGAACGTGAGCGAGTGGTACGACAGGGGGTAGTCGAAGTTGATGATGCGGTTGGAGTAGATGTCCTGCACCGTCTGGTAAATGTGGTGGGACAACAAGGGCAGCACATACTCTTGGTCGTCGCTAGCCCGGAGGTCAAAGTTAAAGCCGTTCTCCCGCGCCAGCTTGCCGGCGCCGTCTCCCAATGAGATGTACGGCCGGGATTCGGCGCCGTCGCCCATGCCGTCAAGACCATCGAAAAACTCCGGGGTCACAAGCTGCCCGGGCACCGGCGCAAACGCGGGCGACGGCAGCAGCGGCTTCAGAATGAGGTCGCCCAACATCATGTACTCTTGGTTCAAAAACATCGAGTGGAAGTTGGCCGTGGTCGACGGCGTGGAGCCAGGCGTCTCCCTGCTTTGTTCCTGGAAGGTGTCTAGCGATGTGTGGGTAGACCCCGTCTGGGACTCTAGCGGCTCCATTGTGGCCATCTGAGGCTCCATTGTGGCCATTGGCTGCGGCTCTATCGTGGCCATCTGAGACTCCATAGTGGCCATCTGAGACTCCACAGTGGCCATCTGAGGCTCCATAGTAGCCATCTGAGGCCGCGGTTCAGCGTGCGTTTGATGATGTGCATCGGTGTTGATTTTAGGCTGTGTTGAGGAATCTGGAAGAGTCCCTAGCGGCGGACCCAGAACCACATACGAGGGATACTCCGGCGCCATAGCCTCCGGTTTCCCGGCCGGCGCTAGCTCCGGGAAACATTCCCCGGCGCTGCTTTCTTGCAGGCTGCTGCTGGCCGAGCTGCTGGATCTGTGCTCGCTTGCCGCCGCCGAGTTTTTCCTGGAAATCTTCAGTTCTCTTCCCGGCAATAAATACAGGGCCCGCTTCCGGACTATATCCTTACACCCGTGTTCGATTTTGCGCTTGACACAGTTTTGGCACGGCCGCGTGTTCAGGCACTGGAGGTGCTTCAGATGGCAAAAAGTGCACGCCCGCAGCGTGGGCTTGCGCCCGACTTTTTCGCCGGGCGTCAACTTTCTGGTCATGGTTTCGTGTGATTTGTAGCGTTCACTCTCCCCTGTGCAGATTTCGGCCTAGCGACATTCGTTAGGAGAAATATGATGATCCGCAGGGTAGGCTAGAGACGCTGAGATGCAAAAAAGATGTGGGGAAAAAATTGGAAAAAAATGTATGCGCTTATTGGGCGTGATGTGTTGGTGTTGATGGTGTTTTCGATTCTGGGGTAAAAATCTGGGGTATCCCGGCGAAAGCAGGGTGCAGATTTTTTCTTGCAGGCGATGGCAACCGTGCGTCTGCATATAGGCCCCGGGCCCGGCGTTTCTCGGGCGCCCCTCTGGCTCGTGCGCAATTCCTCGGCTGATCGCTTGACGGTGTATACTTAGTGTGGGGGGGTTTATCTCCCCGGCAAATTCTGCTGTTTGGCTTCGCTCACTATCCAGGCTTTTGTTTTAGACTCTATCGCCAACTTCGTAATCTGATTCTTCGTTTGTATGGGCTTTCTGGTTTTTGCTGTGTTTTGGTGTTGGTAATCAGTTCACTGGGCGAGTGCGGTTGAGCGGCACGCCATATGAACCGCACCAGGGTCCATTCTACCCCACAAATAGAAAATGTGCACAAGGCAAAACCACGTCTTGTTCGCCACATCGAAAACTGGCACCTCACGTGACTCCTGGAAAACACTTGTCCAACTTGCTTGCTCGATTCATATACGTATTCTTCGAATCAAGCTGGAGGATTCGTCAATTCCGCTATAGCCGCCCGCTTTGTGGGGAGGCAAAAGAGTTTATTTTTATTACACACCATTGCGGGTCTCAAGATTGAGGATCGTCCCCATTCAAACCTAATTTGTAATGTGAAGCATCAATCTCTCACATCCAACTGCTATTTTTTGGGAAATCGTCGGAGCGTAGACCATCGAGAGGTCAGTCCGGAACCTGAGAAGTATAAGCGGTTTTTCAAATCAAATAGGTCGTTGGTGTTTTTGTCCACGGTCGATCAGCCCCTTGGGCTTTAATTGCACATGGATACCGGGGAAGTGTATACATAACAGACACGTGCTCCAAATCACGTGTGTCTACTCTCAGTCCTTGGCGTCTTGCCCGAAACCAATCGAGATAATTTGTTTCATGTACGAAACGACAGCTGTCTTAGCTTGCAAACTTTCTTTCATTAAAATCCTTGATGAAATATTAGCTATGGCGGCAGACTGGCACAAACTTTGAACCTGGCACACAAATGAAATTATTTCTACTACAATTAAAATCTGCCAAAAAAGTCAAACATTTAGTCCATACAGTGAAAAATTATGAGACTGGGCAGCTTTCCTAGTCTATTCGCTTGATGTAGAATTGAAGAAGCAGCTGTCATAGTCGAAAGAATTACTTACTATAATCCAGTTGCCGTTCAAGTATCTACCAGCTCATGAAAATATCAGCCTAGAAAGAAATTAGTGTGCGCATTGGCACGTTGAAGTAACAGTCTCGAAAAGGTTGCGCACCTTAAACTATATGATTTTTTTGGGACAGAAAAAAGCGAGTGAGTGATCAAAGCTCTGAGCTTGATATCAGCAGTTCTTATGATTAAAAGTGGCATATTTGTTGAGGTACGTTAAAACATATCTTGGAGATTCTTCTCACTGAGCTTATTTGCTGCGGCTGAAGGTATAAGCGAGACGGTGTTATAAATATCATCACATTTTTATCCTCTACCCTTTCTCACCGCATAATTTTGAGCTCATTCACCAGGGAAATAATTGTCAAAAATTTTGAATCTTTCGGGACCCAAGATCATGCCAGGTGTGAACACTCGGGATTTTGCCTTGCCCCTAAAGTTTAAACTCTCATTTTGCTCCTGAGTTAACCACCATTATGCAAGGTGCCTAGGATACTTGATTTCTCATTATAGACTATTACTGATGTATCACAAAATCAAGATTTTAAGCAAGAAAAATTGCGGCTCTTCACTAAATGTATCAAGAAGGATTTCTTTGAAAAGCCATTGGCTGTTTCTATGGCAGTATTTACCTGGAACCAACTCACAGAATACTGGAAGAGAGTTCCGAAGACACACAAAAGCTGTTATGCGCAGACATATATAATTTCAAGCTCAAATATAAAATAAATACAATCACTTTTCTACTAAGCAGACTGAACAACTATTCAAAAGATTCCTCATAACAGTAAATATCAGGCGCTTTGGGGAGCCATCTGCTTTTATTACAAACCGACTTGATGTTTTGATTGAATGCTTCGGGACCGCAAGAAACGCAAGCAAATGCCTTTCGATAGCTTGGAGAACACAAACGTTCCACAGAAGATGTGATGATGCTCTCAAGATCAGGTCGGCCCTGCAATATTGAAACCCCACCGGTGTCCAAATTTGGGAACGAGCCCCGGGAAGAAGAGGCTTCATCATTAAACTCTGTTGAAGCCTCTCTTATGTTGGTTAATTTCTCCTTGTTTCGCTCATAATTCTCTTCTCCAAAGTTTGCAACTTCTTGAGTAATGTGAAGAACAAGCTGGGCTCTGCCTGAACTGAGAAAAGGTATGAAGTGTCTCCAGAGATGGTCAAACCACTGGAGATTGGCCCACTTTTTGACCACCATGACAATTCTTATCTGAGTGCTTTGAGGGCGATATAAATAGTCCATTGATTCGTCTCTTTGTTGTAAAGTCTGTAACAAGTCCAAGGCCACGGGTAAAGTAAAAGTTGCTCCCGAGCCTGCAGAGAAAAAAACAATCGAATCAAACTTTGTAAGTGGTTGGTAATTTGCACCAAAAGGTCCGTTGATACCTGCTTTTAAGTTGAATATTCGGGAAGATTCAAAACCATCAATCAAACTTTGAAAATTTTCCATTGAAGTCGTAAACACACCAGTACTCAGCTTGATTTCGTTTCCCTTGTCTGTAGAACGAGCTGTTTCGATGACGTGCTCTGAGGTTTCAACTTCTATGCTACTGCATCCTTCGATTGATTCGGGGTCCTCGATCTCGGTCATTTTACACAACTTCTTATGCAACTGTTTGGTGAAACCTGTTTGAACTTTAATCACTAAAACCATTTTTCCAGATTCTGGCAAAGAAGAAATAGTGAAAGGATGGTACGCGAGAAGTGCCACTTTGTTGCAGTTGAATAGTACATGCTGTCCTGCTCTCCAAGTTCTGTATCTGGGCAAAAAGAACCAGTACCATCTGTTGCTTGTTTTACGGGGCTTGATTGGAATGGAAACTCTCACTGTTGATTCATCCAATATCTCGAAGTCACACAACCCTTTTGTGGGACCTCTACGCTTGTGGATGATCCCCATCACTCTCCCCACAATACGATCTGCAACCAAAAGATGAACTCCCAAAATAACAGCTGCATGGTTTCCACCATTGTGGAAGTAGGCAAGCAAAAGCATAATAAAGTTGAAGATCCTATGCTGTGCTAAGAAGAAGTCGAAGGCCATGTTACGGATAAACTTTAAAGAAGCGACATTCATCATTCCGAGACAAGAAAAGGCAATGAAGCCAAAAATTTGAGGCGGAATCAGAACCATAACCTCAAATTTTATCCCAAGCCAGTATTTGAGTGACAAAGACATGTGGATGATGGCAGTAATGAACATTGATCTCCCATACCATTTGTGAAGAAACACTGTTTTATCAATAGTAAGTCCCGAAGCAGCAGAGACAATGTTGTTTTTTGCGACCAATATAAGGGTAATAGGAACATGTGCAATCGATAATCTTCCTACACGCTTGGAAACAATGTAATACCAAGTTTCGTAAGTAAGATCTTTTGTTTCTGAAATAGCAAAAATGGTGGTTATACCAATGTGAAAGGCCGCGACCAATAACAAGCTTGGCTGAAAGTAGAAAACTTTTCCAAACATTTTGTAGTTGAAAGTCTTTGTTAATGTCTCGTAGTATTTGAGAACTGTGAAATACGGCTTGTATTTGATGGTGTCTGCTGTTCGACGTCCTCTAAGGACCCAAGGCACCCACAAGAAAAAAACCCCATGAAGTATAGGGAGTAGGATGGATACTGCCACTGAGAGAAAAAGGTATTTAAAATTTCTTTCTTTCTCCACAAAATATTGTTCAGCGAAAGGAATTGCCATTTCTGCTTGCTTGTGCGAGCTATATTTGTTATCTCTGTGAAGATGGAAAGGATATTTTGACAAAGAAAGTGATGTTCCAATGTATTTTCAGTCCGACAATACAGAAGAAGATTTTCTCAAATTGATCCGATGAATCAGTGATCAATTTGCTGGGGCATGGGCTTAATAGAGGTACATGAGCGATATCTCCACCAGACACATATATCAAAAAACTTGGCGCTACTAAATAGCAGTACATGCCTGCAGCATATTCCTGCAGCACACATGAAAGAAGAAACTTAAAAATCGCATTGCGACTGCACGCGCAATTAAGGATTGGTTGTTGATTTTTCTTGGCCCGGGAGCATGTGTGCTTCTTTTTTTTTTGTCTTGAGACGAAGTTTTTCATGCGCGTCTGGGTCGCGATTTTTTATCTGTTTTATCAGATGCATCTTGGGTCTGCATGCTGGAAAGCTTTTGGGCGGAAAAGCTATTTCGAAATCCTGAAATTGTCGGAAAAGTTGTCAAAGCCAAGTACTTTGTGCTAATAAATACATATATGTCTCTCGAACAGAAAAGGATGAAATAGTCTGAGGTCGTAAAAAGTTTCAAAGGGAAGTAAATCAATCTATTAGATTGACTCGAGGTGAATCGTGAGCTGATTTCGTAAATGAAACATGCGCGTGCAGGCAATGTCTGCCTCCATGAGCTGCAAACAGGCCGAGCCGGCGCACAGCATCAAAAGCAGTCTCCACCGCTTTCCGGGTTCGGAGTTGTATTTCAGCCACCTGCACGATTCGATAATAAATAGTATTCTGGCTCTTCTCGCGACTTTCCAAAGCCATCTGAATTAAATACGTATTCGCCCTAATCATCCCAAACAAAGAATGTTGTATTACCTCCCTGTCTTGACCTTGCTTTCAGGTGTTTTTGCTAACAACTGGAAGACATATCCGGCTGTCCCAAAAACTGCTACCATCAACGGCTTTGCTGACCCGATTTTGAGCAGCTTGCCCTCCTGTGCCCAAGAATGTGTTGAAATATCTGTCTCAAATACGCCTTGTCCATATTGGGATACCGGGTGCTTATGCGTAATGCCCCAGTGGTCAGGCCAAGTGGCTGAGTGCATTGTGGCTTCATGTACGGCTGCCACGGATGTGGCTAGTGCCACCCTCGCGGCCTACTCGCTATGCTCCTCGGTAGGAGCCAACTTGTGGATGATGCCTGCCTCGCTCCTGACAGCACTTCAAAATGCGGCGGTTGTTACCAGCAATTCTGCTAGCAGCAACACCGCTATTGAGGCAGAATTTGCGACTGTTGCGACGGGGTCTTCTGGTACATATTTCTCTGGTTCTGATCACGAAACCTCCTCCGAAACAGCATCTGCGAGCAGCCTTCAAAGCTCCTCAAATGCGGGCGCCGTGACCAATGGAGCGAGATCGCTTGTTGCCTTGTTTTCAGTCATCATATTATCTCTTATAGTCTGAAGCTGCTAGTTTGCAGTTCACCAATAGAAAAGATCCCGCGTCCCACAAATCTTCGTAGTCAAAGCTCAGGCATGAAACCAGGTATCTCAAGTGACTCACCTGAATTTTCTCGTAAACAAAGCCGGGCGCTGGCGGGGTGTCTCGGCCACCTGATGTTTTTGATAAAGCGGCTTTCGTAAAGCGCCTGCATCGCGGGCGGGGCTTTTTTCTGCGCTGGCATGCGCGGAGCTCTAAAAGTTTTTCATCGAAAACTTTATTCTGGTCCGGGCTGCCCAGAACTCTCGGTATGATATGCCTTTAAGAAACCAGAATGCGTGGCGATATCTCCGCCCAGGAAAAGCCGTGCGAGGGAATCTTCTTTGGCACATCTCATCTTACAAAACCTCAAAAATTTTGCAACAACCTGGCGGGGCCCGGTAGTGGGTAGGCAATGAACAGGCCAGGTGCTTGCAACAGAGAAAGCGGCCCCAGAAAAAAATCGTTCGCTCGGTCACCCTTAAAACTGGAAAGTGCATGCATGCCGCTCGGTGTTTGAGGCGCCGCGTCAAAAGCCGCATCCGAGACCGGAGACTGGAACTCGGGATGCAATGTACGAGAAGGGAATACTCTGATGAATGTGTGCAGTTGCTGTAAACAGACAAGAACGCATGGGCCGAGTCTCTTGCCGCTACAGCCTGATCGGGAGCCCGAAGCATATAAAGGGCCAGGTAAATCCTCCCCTCAGTGTCCACTAATTACTCAAATCACTCACTGCTCCTTACCATGTTGTCTGCTTTTATTCCTCTCGCTTCTCTCTTGGCCCTTGCTCAAGCCGGCTATGAAACCTACCCAACGGTAGCCAAAACTGCATCGATCAATGGATTTGCTGACAAGATCTACGATCGATTGCCCGTTTGTGCGCAAGCATGTGTCTCGGAGTCCACCTCTTCCACCCCTTGCCCATACTGGGATTCGGGGTGTCTCTGCGTGATGAGCAACTTTGCCTCCAACATCGCCGACTGCTTTGCCGGAAACTGTGTGGGGGACGATGTGCAGTCCGCCAGGTCCTTGGCCACTTCCATCTGTTCTAGTGCGGGTGTCCAGTCCCCACATTGGTTCATTGATTCCAGTGCCTCTTCCTCATTGGCTGCCGCTGCTCTTAAAGTGGCCTCAGTCGAGCCCACCGCCGCCGAAACTACCGCTGCTGAAACCACTGCTGCCGAGTCCCCTGCTGCCGTCAGTACTGCAAACACTGAACCTGTTGCTTCCACTTTAGAAACTGAAAACACAGCATCCACTTCTGCTGCTGTCACCCGGGCTATTTCTAGTACGGAGACCGAATCTGCCCACACCGAATCTGCCCACACCGAATCTGCCCACACCGAATCTGCCCACACCGAATCTGCCCACACCGAATCTGCCCACACCGAAGCTTCTGCCTATGTTTCTTCAATGACCTCTGCCTCCGAGTCCACCATGAGCTCGTTTTCCTCTGCAACTTCTTGGTCCACACCAGCCGTGTCTTCCGCTTTCAATGCTGCTGGAAGTGCCGTCCCAGCCGCTGCGTGTGGCTTGGCTGCAGGTGTCGCTTTGATCCTCTAAGTGTCTTGTATGCTGAACCTGTGTCTGTTTTTTTATGTCAAAAATGCCTTCACTGTAGTTGGGCTGTTCTGATTTGTTTGTTACTTGTGTATCTCAATACTACGTGAATGTTATCACAGCCTTTCGAGCTCATAGTTTTCTGAGCGTCCACCTAAAAAAGGGACAAAAACCCGACACATTTTCTTGGTAATCAAGCCTATCAAGAAATTGCGCACATTTAACGATTCCGTCAAAATTGACCCTGTCCAGCTTATATTAATTGACTCGCTATGGATACAACAGTATACTATCACATAGACATGGCATCTTGATCATTTTGCCAAATCGAGCGTGTTGGTATGAAACTGTGACAGACTATAATCGAAGTAAAGTGCCTCGACTTGAACGATTCAAAACCAAAAGCTGACAGACGTAATTCACTCGAATTAGCCACTTTTCAGTCAGCTAGAACTAAATGCCTATGATTTCGTGTCAATGGCCCGTTTTGAACAAGTCAATATCTCGCTAATCGTGTAAATATGTGACCATCGGAGCGCTTCACCTATGTTGAGGTGTTTCAGGCGCTTGGAATCATTTGAACCTGGTGCAAAGAAATTTCGTAAACAGTCCTGTGTTGAATTTAGTGAAGCTAAGCTGAAAACTGAAAGAGCCTTGTGATATGCTTTGTGTAAACATGAACATCAAGCTATGCGAGCAGTCAATCACGAGTCGATCAAATAACTACCACGAGATAAAACAAACTGGTCACGTGCAACTCAGGGCAAGATCTAGACATATATTCTGCCAACCAGATGAAGTGCTCTAGAAATTAGATGCAAGAAATACAGAGCGCAATTTTGCCTGCAAAGTAGGTGCTATCTTTGTGCCAAATTTGGATTGTGCTTCAATTGATCAAGCGTTGCATGCTTCATGGAAATATTTCGGTATACAATGCGGGGACTAGCAAAATGCAAGTCGAGTCTGGGTGCTATATATAACTAAGAGAACATTATGGGGATCGCTAAAAATTGCAACCCACGTAGCTGTACGTGCTGATACAACATCGATCTAATCTTATAGTGAGGACTTGACCCCAAAATAGATTATTGCCGGAAGAGCTACAATAATTATCTGCTCAATACCATTCATCTGATAAGTGATACATCGCTTTGTTCTGAGTGCTCACCAAACATTTTTTTGAATCCAGCCAAATTTTATCGGTCAATGGTGTTTGCACTTTAAAAAATATAATACAACCTGCACTATATAAGTGGCAGTACTTCAGTATTCCACTGGATGCACCGCATCCGGGTGTATACGAAATGAGTTAAAATGTTCACACCACGTAATTACAGTTGCTTTAAATCCTGACGTAATAGCAGCGTATAGAGCCTAGTAATTGCCCCACAACTAGAAGGTTTTATGGTGAGGCACGTCATGCAATACGTAGAGCGTCGTTCTTAGAAGAAACCTTTTGCTCAACTCATCAAGAATGCCTCTCCACAGAAGTACGTGGCGGTAGCCTCAGGCAAAAAGATGGTTTCTCAAATAACAAGTTTGATCCATCATTTCGAAGCATTTAACTGAGATTTAGGTTATCTTCCTCTCGAAGATCTCAAGCTCCAAAAAGCCTCGCCCAAGCTAACAATAAGTCGCAACAAATCAGACGTGTATCTTCTGGCTTCGAAATCAAAATCTGAGCGTAGGAAAATGATAGTCAACCCTCTTTGTTCCTCGGTATGAACAAAATTCTTCGTACTTTAAACATCACATTCTAGATTTAAACATTGTGATCGCTTTAAATCTGGAACTAAGCTCTCAAGGAGTTGCTTGTCGTTCAAAGCTCACAATGGGCTGAAGATGAGTTTTAACCGTGCCGAATTTGCAAGCAAGAATAGGCTCACAGATACAATCACCGAAATGTCATTCTAGTACCTAGCCACAGAGATACAATGTAAAGATGAGGGATTGTCATTTCATTCTAACACCAATACGAGTTAATAGGCCTAGACGGTATATTTATATTCAAAATTCTTTAAGCACATGAAACGGGTTCGCAAGTTGTGCAATATCATTCCTTGTTGGGAAAGCTTAAAGGTTACTCGCTCAGATATTGTTCAATGATGGGGCGTATAATCACGTGATTTAGGGTATAAGCAAGGTCAGTAACGGATTACATTTGTTCGAGCGCCCAGTGAGTGTGCTTTTGACAAAACAGAACCCCTACACCAGCTCTATCTGGAAATCAAACAGGCCACATAAAAACTGATACACTGGGATCAACGAGACACCATCCTAAAGCAGTATTGGGCTAAAAACGTGACCACCTGTCTGAGATAAACCTGTACACCCGCTCACGTGATCACTCAAACCTCCAAATGCTTTCAAAGCCTGCAGGACGTGTGAGCCCCGTGTTCCCGAATTACAAATCGTCACTCCCTTAGCTCCGGGTAACCATGGAGACGTTGTTTCATGTGCAGTATAAGCCGCTTTCCTTTTCGGGATCTCATGTCTTTCGGCCTTGGAATCCCATATAATTGAAGCAAAAATTTTAAAATTTCAAATTCAATTCCGACCACACCAACTGTTGCACTCTTGAGAGGCAAAAAAAATCACATATGTGATACACCAGGGCGGTGCAGAAGGCCGCAAGGGTCTTCAAAAAAGCGGGATTTTTGAGGCGGGTCGGACGATGACCGCACAAGAAAAAAGTTTTCCTGATTGGGAACATTCCCGACAACGGCCGACGCCCACTATCTGACAGGAAAGATTATAAATATGCTATTTTCCTTTCCACGTCCCTATTTCCTCTGTAATTCTCTTCTTGCTATTAAACAGAATCCAATTGTTTTTTCTTCCACTCAACTCCAATTATTTCTACCATGCCTGGGGTCTTGTCTTGGAAAGATGTGTCGGTGTCTTCGGGTGCAAAAAATCTACTTGAGAACGTGAGTGGGCACGCAGAACCTGGGACTGTCACAGCGCTTATGGGTCCATCTGGCTCGGGAAAAACTACCTTGCTTTCAGTTTTATCTCAAAGAACTACTAGCTTTAAAAATTTCGATATAACTGGAGATCTTCATTTGGGTGACGAGGTTGTCACGAGTGCCCTTCTCCGTGGGGTTTCTCGATTTGTGGAACAGGAGGATCATCTTTTGGGATGTCTTACTGTTAAAGAGCTGATTGAGTTTTCTATTATGATGCTGGACAAGATGCCGCGAGATGAAAGAAAGGCGCTTGTGGAAAAGACTGTCGATTTCTTCGGTCTCACCAAACAAAAAAGTACAATTGTGGGTACGCCTGTGCAAAAAGGTCTTTCCGGGGGCCAGAAACGGCGACTCTCGGTCGCTTGCCAGGTTGTTACCAAGCCCTCGGTTCTTTTTTTAGATGAGCCCACTTCTGGCTTGGACTCCACTGCGTCTTTCGAGGTGATGAACACTTTAAAGAAGTTTGCCAAGGAAGAAAACGTGATCATCATTGCGTCTATTCATCAGCCTTCAACACTGACATTTGACTTATTCGATAATGTCATGTTTTTGACCGAGGGCAAGATTGCATATGCTGGTCCTCGCGAAAGCTTGAATCAGTATTTCGAGGACGCAGGATATCCAATTCCTCCCCACTACAACCCAGCAGAGTATGTTTTGGATTTGATCAACACTGACTTCAGCTTAGGCGATACATCCCAGAGAGAGGACATGAATGCCCTTGTCGAATTGGCCAAGAAAAAAGCTCTTGCAGAGGAGGATGTGTCAAAAAGCCCTTTTGAGAGTGAGAAACCACAATCTTCCGACTCAGAGAAAGACTTCCCTGGTGGGGTTTCCAAAACCTGGGCTTTGCTTCAACGCGGAATGATCAAAGCGCGTCGTGATTATTTGGCCTATTATGTCAGGTTGGTGATGTACTTTGGCTTAGCAATCTTGATGGGAACTGTGTGGTTGCGGTTGAGCTACAGCCAAGAAAACATTCAGCTTTTCACCAACGCTATATTTTTCTCTGGTGCCTTCATGTCTTTCATGTCCGTGGCATACATCCCAGCATACCTCGAGGACTATTTCTCCTACAGAAAGGAGAGGTCCAACGGACTTTACGGTCCATTCTCCTTCATGGTGGCCAATTTCATTATTGGTGTCCCCTTTCTCTTTCTAATTGTGGTGATGTTTTCTATTATCACATACTTCATGTGCAACTTCACTTTATCTGCAAGGGGCTTCTTTATGTATGTGCTTTACTTGTTTATCAACTTGTTGGCTGCTGAATCCCTCACGATCTTAATAGCAACAATTTTCCCGGTGTTTGTTGTTGCATTGGCGCTCACAGCTTTTGCAAACGGTCTCTGGATGGCGGTGGGGGGATTTTTGGTCTCTGCCTCTGTGTTAAATGTTTTTTGGTACTACACATTCTACTGGATTGACTATCAAAGGTATGCCTTTCAGGGAATGATGTTCAACCAATTCAAAGACACGATTTTTCGCTGCGCTTCCGGCTGTCAGTGCATGTATTCGTCTTCTTTAGAGGACCAATGCTTGATAAAGGGGGCTGCTGTTCTTGAAGCCTTAGGTTATGGATCTGCAGACCACGGTCTCTGGGTTGGTTTGATGTTAGTGTTGACCTTTGTTCTCCGTCTAGCAACTTATATCGTTTTGAAACTCCGGAAATAATGTGGATGATTTTGGAGGCAGTTTCAAGCCAAAGGTATCAACCTGGCTCATGTTCATATATGTATAAGATAATAATTGTTCGGGAGTCTTCTGGATTATCGGTCCCACCTAATTCCTCAATCTCGGAAAATTGACAGCAACAAAATACCAGCTTACAAGACAATACTGAGACATGATTGAGCTTCGAAAATTCCCAGTTTTTTTACTCCTACTTTTCGCCACAGCTATTGTCTTTTCAATTCTCGTCTTTCACAAGGGTTGGAGAATATGATTTACCTAATTTTGCATATAATTGTGCATTTTTAACTTCTCATCTTTATTTAAGTACAAGTTCGAAGACAATGTAGTCTATATGCCGGTTTCGAGGTGTATGGAAGGGAGAAGTTCCTTTTCTCTTGACTTGAGTAGGCCCGCTGCATTTTTTAGACATGAGTACAGTAGACAAACTTTATGTGTATTTCTCTGGTGACATGCATGTAGCCTGAATTCAACATAACCTAACTAAAAAAATCGATGCCCTTTTTACTTTTGGTCTCTCTGGCTACCGTGTAGTATGCTTTCAAATTGTTCCCGGACTTGAGAAAATTTGTTCACCCTCACCACATACTGACGAGACAAGATTGTATATAATTTCTACCTCCTTCATACAGCCAGTGCAGAGTCTCTCTCTGCATGAACGGACACGATTGAATATATTGTTCTGAACTCAATTCCGCATTCCACCTCTGTCTTGCTTCACGTACAATGTTTTTTTTTTTTTTTTCATTGAAACCAATGAAATTATCTCTTCATTAAAAATTACGGCCTGTTGGACCTATGTCACATGAACTGTTATACATTGCATCAGCCAACCCAGATCTCATGCGGTATTTTGCAATGAGCCGTCTACGTCAAGCGTCGTTCTTCGAGTTATTCCCGCGTAACTCTCAGAGAAACTTTACCGCGTGGCTTTCTGCATGCCCTCCCTCTCCGTCGGAAAAAATAAATTATTTCGTTGAAGAATAAAAAATTGCTCACGAAACTAGCCGTCCTTATCATGCTGGACACGGTATCTAGCTTCCCCGCTACTGACTTGGGCAATTGCAGCATTTATGTAGTGGCCCTTAAACAATATTTCAAATAAAATGAATTTCAGCATTGCTTGGGCAGCTTGTTTAGAATGTTTCCTGCTTCTTGAAACCACTATCACTCTTTCCTAGACCCGTATAGTTGGAGTCTTATACCCAGAAAGAAAGAATCATAGTGCTTTCTGGATTAATCCAAAAAAAGAATGCGTCGTTGAGTAATTTTATGGGTCTCACAAGTTTGTATTGTTTTTTAAAAATATCTAAAATACTGAATGCAACATTTCCAATTGAATATCTTTGACTTTCCTCGTAGTCTTGACGAAAACAATGCCTTGTTGATACAATATGAAAGCTTCTCACGAACATTTTTCCCGGTACTCTTTACTCAAAACTCAGTCAGCTCTCATGAAATGAATTCTATCTCAATTTATTCTATATGTAGATAGAAGTTGACGTACTTCAATCGCACCATTGGTCTTGAGTATTACTTATATGATGAGATTTCCACAGTCGAATATTCAGTCTGTTTAGTATTCATGGATAGTTCGATCATAGAATTTAAAGTTTGTGAGAGGTTATGTAATTGCTATTCGACGAGAAGTATACATTTCCGCCGTTCATTGTCTTGCGTTTCCATGCAACCATTATTATCGCGGTAATTGACACAGGTGTACTCTGAGATTTGGAGCATATAAAAGAAGACTTATATGAGCCCCAAATATGAATTTGATTAAGCTCTTTTCAGAATCAGTATCAAAAAACCCATTTTTGCTGCTACTGCACATCAAATTAAGGCCTCCACGACTATGAGATTAGACATTAACGCTGTGGCTGTGGCCATCTCTTTTATGGCGAACTTGGTGTTCGCATTGAACATCACTCAAAATACCGTTGAGATTGCGACTGGCAACCTAAACATTTCAGACATCATAATTCCCAGCGGCTTGTACTTGTCAGTTTTAAACAGCCCAATGATTTCTTTGCTGGGCATTGTCCAAAACAGTGGTGAACTATTCGTGACAAGTACCGAGAATTTGCTGACTTCCGTGAAAATGACTGGGGTTACCTTCGACAATCATGATACTGCCGTTTTCAGGTCATCATCCAATACTTATCGATCTTATTTTCGTCTTCAGCTTAAAAATTATTTTTTAAACCGGGGGAAGATGTTGTTTAGTGTCCCCAAGGCTCAAATGGGAGGAGTTGAATATAGCATCATTTCTGAAATTTCATGGACTAATCTTGGAACAATTGTGTTTGAATGTTTATCAGATACAATGGCTTATTTGATCATTTATCGAACTGTCGATTCAGCTGAAAGTTCTTCTGTTTTAAATGACGGATCAATTTGTTTGCTCAACACCATGTGGGACTCAATGACTAAAGTCAATGGAGATGGTTGTATCAATGTTGGCACTGGCTCAGAGTTGAGGTTGCTGACCAATTTCCTTGCAAGCTCTTCTCCTCAAACCATCTACTTGCTGGCTTCAGACTCGAAGTTGAAGGTTTCTGGCTCTTTGAGTAGGACTGATATTCCCGAGCTTCGAGTTGAGGGCTTCGGCGGTGGAAATCAGATCACATTCTACATCCCTGAAGTCGATATCGACTATTTTTATTCCCCCAAAGAAGGGTCGGTCTCTATCAAAGTTTCCAGAGATCTGAAGCTCGTTTTTCACATTGGTAAAGGGTACGATTCTACCAAATTCAGCTGGAATGTTGATGGTATGGGCGGTCATCTTTCTTACTCAGATACCTTATCACGTGAGATCCCAAAAGAATGCAGATGTGATGCTGCATTTCCCGAAGCCCCAACCACCGTTCTTCCTTCACCATCTTCCTCTGCCTATTCTAGCTACTCTTGGAATAATGTGAGCACATCAACTTTCTCAAATACTGGGACTTCTAGCGGTTCTGCGATAATAACAAGCAATGCTTCTGAAAGTGCCGCCTAGCCAACGAGCAAGACATTTCCAGACGTCTTTTGCAACATAACTCATACACAATCATCGGCTTCAAAATTTTAAAAAATTACAATAGACCACAATACTGAGTGTGATCAAAGTTTCTCTTTTGCGTGAGTATCTTGCCCTAGTATTTCTGTTCTGTGTTGTTGGCTCCTTCAATGGTCTCTATTGTTCGAGTCGAATTACATGAAAAACAAGGTTTACGAGCTCATGTACAATTTTCTTGAAGTTAAGAATGCTTGATAACCACCGGCGGTGTATATATATAAGTTTTTAAATTTTTAGGTCTATTTCTGCATTTTTGGCGTCAATCGGGATGTTTTCTGCTTCGCAACAATAGTGTCTACCTGTCAAAATTATTGGCCTCTCAAGCGCTAAGGCCTTGCACGTGATTAAAGAATTCGGGTATTAATGTCCCGTGAACACATGACTTTGTTGTTTAACATGTGCCATTAGTTTGCGCGGCCGCTCTGCAGTAAAACAGGTACACCGGTGAAGAAATTCTAAAATTAAGGTGAGGGATGAGTTCCCGGGCTTCTATAAACGATATCAGAATTGAACAAGTGATCGACCGTTCTTTTCATCAGTCCACATTATCAGAATTTTAGTCATGTAATCATTTTATTCCAAGATCGGTTCACTGGGCTCTCGCGTTTATCTTTTGTTAGGGACTTCACGGGACATAGGGGTTATGTATTACTATTTGATCACTGGTTTCTCTAGAACTCTACAGGAGTTCTATCCCACCTTTATATAATTTATCCAGAGAAAACGTGAACGGAACCTTTAGAACTCGAGAGAATATTCTATGAGTTGTCTAGAATGATATCTGACGGAACTCACAGTAATAGAAGTGCATATAGTTATATATGCGCTTACAAGGACCATAAGTGTCAAGCTGATACCAGGGACCTTACATCTTTTGTTTTTTTAATTTTTGTTTATTTTTATTTTTGTCTTTACCATTTCCACGTAACATGGGTGTGTTTTTGCTTTCCTTCATATTCGACCCACGATGAGCCATTTGAGAGCCTCAGAAAAAGGGGTTGATGCCAGAATACACCCACGTGTACAGCCGGTGCCGTCAATATATTATCAATTCTGCAAACCAAAAACTCATGAGAGACTCTCTTTTCCCTCAAATAGTTTCCAAATCGAAGATGGCATCCCCCGTTGAGTTAGGGACTTCACTGGTAATAGGTGTATGTATTACTATTTGATCACTGGTTTCTCTATTACTCAACAGAATTCTACTCCACATTGGTACATATCATCTAGATGTCACTTGATAGTAACAAACCTTTGAAACTCGAGAAAAGTTTTATTACTTGTTCAAAATGATCTCTGACAAAACTCACAAAAATAGAAGTGCATATATTTTTATATGCGCTTACATGGACCCTCAGTTTCAAGCTGATACCTGGGACCTTACATTCATGTCTAGAATAGTGATTATATGGGGTGGAAACTCCTTGATGTCTCGCCTTTTGTAGAGTCAATTATGAGAGCTACACATCTTTAAATTTAAGTCTCTCTCTTTCGTCCATCACGTGGGATAATTGATTGACGTCACGCGCTACATTGACCTCTGAATTATTAGACATTATAGGGTCTGGAAGGTTACTGTATCTGTTATAGTATTGGCCAGTCTACGGTGTCAGCCCAGACAGAATAGTTTTTACTGAGATAGGGGTAGATCACGTGGACACAGGTGATCGTGGCCGATGCGGCCGGTAGGTCCTGTGATGCGAAGAAGACTTGAGGCACGTCATTTCACAGGTTTAGAAAGTGATAAATATCTACACACCTCTGTAAAAGCAGCAGATCCGTAAGTAGACTCTGAATAGTACTTCAAATTAATGTCGAAAGAGTTCAAATACACACTTTTCGAATTTGTTCAAATTCTTCGAAACTTTTACTGGGGGTCAGCCCGTTTACAATCCACATTTTCGGAACGTAGAACTGATGTCTATATGTTGACCCATCAGATTGTATCCTTTAAATTGGTAACTCGCCAAGATAAAGTAGTCATAGAGTCCAATAGACCAAAACTGTTGATTAGAACAAAAAAAGCATTCAAAATACTGGTTTTTGAATATGTTGAAAAATGAGCAACTGAAAATCTGGCTTTGCGCCAAATGAAACGCACCAAACGCCACGGGAGTGCATAATATTTGAACAATACCAAGCATACATATGCAGTCCCCAAATTAGACGGTGGAGTAAATAATTGACACAAGAGTTGTTTTGAATTTTTGGATATTTTGGAGCAAAACATTTGCTGGGCTTCATAAAACGGTAATGCATACTACACTCGCTATTCTCTTTTCGGACAATGTCAAACATGATTCTGCCATTTTTCGAGTACTTCCATTTTTCAAACTCTCATCAATGAGCTTATTAATTATCCTCCCAAGCTAAGATTACGTTGCATATTCAATTAAGATTCACATGAGTATTCGCGGGTATTAAATAGGCAAGTTTTGCCAGTCCTCGATGTATTCGTGGTATAGTGAGAAAGTTATTCGTTGGGGGCGAATTTCTCGCAGATCTGCTAATGTCTACTCGCTCTTCACTAAGCGGGCGTTGGACTATACGCAGTATGTGTGCCGGTAACAATGCTGTAGACAGTCCTTCTGTGAGTATAAGGACTCAAATTCATATACGCAGAAGGTGTAAAATTAGGAACAGAGCTAGCAGTGAGTTCCGCTGGAGAAAATATAGGATTAGACCCATTTGGTATGTCATGCAAAAATCCCTTTGAAGGATCATAGGAGTCCTGGTCTTGGAGAGGATTTCTGAAGGACTCATCTTTAGTAGTTGATACATTCATGTTAATCTAGAAACAATTAAAATAAATATGTAAGTTTGGATAGGAAAACACTCACAAGGGAAAAACAATAGAACGAAGAAAGAATCGTTTTCCTATGAATTAGCTGTACCATGGAGATGTGTTGAGATAGATGACCCAACCAGTATGGTGGTTGGGACACGTACTCTAAAGGCGAAGCCACCTCGCAGTGGTCGGCTGTAAAAGACATAAAAAACTTTCCATGTCTCCCTTCTTCCTTCTTTAAGGGAAACTCCTCTTCATAGATCTGCATCTTAATCGGTTCTTACGTTATCATAAGCTAAGTCCCACCGATGTGATCCTTACCATAGTACTGTTTGTTCACATGTTTTCGCCACCCTAGATGCTATACCAAGACGTGCCCGGTATACGCATACTAGGACTGTCTATAACATTGACCAAGGCTCTGGCCGGCTATGGTTTCAATGCAAGATAGACTTCAACAAAATGGCTTCGCACAGTATGCAGTAACGTGGATGGGATATTCCCTTGGGGCTACTGCGAACCTCAACAAGATCTAAGTCTACACTGTCTTTCAGCCCAAAAGGAGATGACATTCTCCTCTTTAAACTAAGCGCCAATCTTAATGTACACTTAACAATGCACAAATTTGATTTATATGAGGAATATTTACTTAAAATAGAGTTAATTCACAGGTCTAAGTATAAAACTAGAACT